ACCATCGATTGATTTTTATACATGTAGATCATTTAAATGCAATGATGATTATTTAAATGCAATGATGAAGTTGGTGCATCATAAGTTTTGAGTGCTCTCATGCCCTCAAATAAACTTCATAATAAAATTTAAAAAAAAAAGTTAAAAAAAGAAACTTAAAAACATTAAAACTACTACTGGTGCTCTCTTGCCCTCTCAGTGGTGCTTCAATGGTCTCCCTTGGGCCATTGTGCATATCCATGCTCTCTTGATTTAGCTTTCCTGTTAACAACACATATATAATTCAAATTTTATGAGGACAGGAGTGGTGACCCTATAAGCCTTTTTTTTCTCGACATGCTAAAATTTGTTTAAGTCCCTCAGCTCAAGGTATGGAGTCACCATCGTCTCAGTAAAGTCGAAAAAAAAAAAAAAAAAAAAAAAAACTTATAGGGTCACCACTCCTGTCCTCTTTCATCTTCCTCTTTATCACACACAACAAAATCAACCAGCAACAACTACTCAAACTCTCTCTTCCTCTTCATCAAACACAGCAAGCAACTTCTCTTACCCTTCATTATTATCATTCATGGATGGTAGGATAAGTGATATGAAATGGAGGCACCTTGATAGAATAGCGAGAATGGAGAAAAATTCATAAGAAAAGAAGAAAGAAATATAAGACGAAGAAAAACGTGAGGCAGCCAAGTCTAAGGGTGAGAGCTTTGTGAGTGGAGAAGGAAATGAGAGGAAGTAAAAATGCATGAGTGTTTTGTGTGATGTGTGATAATAATTTATTCACTTGATTGAATCGTCATGTTTCTCGTGTGTGTTTTATTTCGATGAAGTTGGATGAATTTGGAGAAGTAATGTGTTGTATTATTGTATTGTATGTTTAATTATGTCAACTCATTGCATCATCTCCTCTTGTCACAAGTCTTCTTTTTCCTCTCTATGTTGCTCAATATTTCATACTCAATCTGAGAAGTTGATTGATAACAACAGTCACCCACTCATCAATAAGTTAATTTTTTTTAATTATGTTTATGAATAAATAACCACACCCCTCTTCCTCTTCATCACTCACTACAAAACAAACTTGCAGCTGCTACTCAAACATTCTCTTCTACTTCATCACACACAGCGAGTAACTACTCTTACTCTTCATTATCATCATTCTTGGATGGTAGGATAAGTAATGCGGAATGGAGGTGCCTTGATAGAATAATGAGAATGGAGGAAAATGCATAAGAAAAGAAGAAAGAAAAAGAAGACAAAGAAAAAACTTAAGCCAGCCAATTTTAAGGGTGAGAACTCAGGGAGTGGAGGCAGAAGTGAGAATATGTATAAATGTATGAGTGTTTCATGTGATAATAATTATGTTAGCTCACTGCAGCAACTCTTTTTGTCACATGTCATCTTATTCCTCTTGATGCTCCTTAAAATTTCATACTCATTATGAAAATTTGATTGATAACAACCACCAACTCATCAGTAAGCTAATTTATTTAATTACGTTTATGATTAAATAACCCCAGTGAAAATGGAATTATTTGTAGTTGATTTTGTTCAACTATGACCACTATTTGTTCATGTTCTTTCGGGTCCAAGTCGCCATCAATAGTTACCTTGTTGCTTTCGGTCCATATACTACATGTTTTGATCGCGACGACTTTGTGCATGTCTTCCACACTTGTTACAGAAAAGTGGGGCAACTTGTTCAAGTTTTCAATGGTAGATTTGTTGACAGAGGAAGATTTTGAAAACCATCATCTTGTACAAAGCATTGGTAATGAAAGTCATTTCAATTTAAGACAGAAGAAACTATAGCTAGGGTAAAAGCTCTGTGAGTGGAGACAGAAGTGAGAATAAGTAAAAATGCAAGAGTGTTTTGTGTGATGTGTGATAATAATTTATTCACTTGTGTTGTATGTTTAATTATGTCAACTCATTCCAGCATCTCCTCTTGCCACAAGTCTTCTTCTTCCTCTCTTTGTTGCTAAAAATTTCATACTCAATCTAAGAAGTTGATTGATAACAACAGCCACCCACTCATCAATAAGTTAATTTTTTTAATTATGTTTATGAATAAATAACCACACCTTTCTTCCTCTTCATCACACACAGCGAGCAACTACTCTTATTCTTCATTATCATCATTCTTGGATGGTAGGATAAGTGATGCAGAATGAAGGCGCCTTGATAGAATAGCAAGAATAGAGGAAAAGGAATAAGAAAAGAAGAAAGAAAAAATGTGAGGCTGCCAAGGTGAAAGCTCACGGAGTGGAGGCAGAAGTGAGAATATGCGTAAATGCATGAGTGTTTTGTGTGATAATAATTATGTTAGCTCACTACAGCGACTCTTCTTGTCACACGTCTTCTTCTTCCTCTTGATGCTCCTCAAAATTTCATACTCATTATGAGAAGTTGATTGATAACAGCAACCACCCACTCATCTGTAAGTTAATTTATTTAATTACATTTATGAATAAATAACCCCACTCCTCTTCCTTTTCATCACACACAACAAAACCAACCTGCAGCAACTACTCAAACTCTCTCTTCTTCATCATCAAACACAGCAAGCAATTTCTCTTATCCTTCATTATCATCATTCATAGATGGTAGTAGAGGTGTCAAACGATCCGGGCCAGGCTGACCCATCTCATTTAAACTCGTACTTTTTACGTTTTCGTGCCAGGCTAGGCCGTCCCATTTATTTTATCAGGCCGTGCCATGCTGGCCCATTTAGTAAAATCATTGATCCCAGCTCGGCCCAAAGCCCATGTCCACATTGAAACGGGCCAGGCTGGGTTCGTGTCGTGCCCGTGCTCGTGCTATACTCGGGCCCAAGAACCAACCCATTTAATTTGAATTTTTTTCACTTGATTTTTTTTTCCACTAGATAATTCAAATTATAAATATTAAAAATATAATTAGAGGCAAGAAATTATGAACTATTTGAAAATTTTAATCAATCAAACATCTAAACATTATGAAAGGGCGAAGGGCAAAAAGTTTCCAACACTACAAAGTCCACTTCAACTTTTCATCTTTAAACAACTTATTATTTTATATGTGAAGAAATATCTTGCTTTGATGAATGACATACAATTAGATCGATGTCTAGCACATATATATTTTGATGTATGGTTGATTGGCTTTAAGTGCAAGTGGGGGATTGTTGGAAATATGTCCTAAAAGCCAAATCATGAGAAGAAATCTTTTAAGGATATTTCAGTTAACTAGCTATCGAAGTTAAATCATAAGGTCGATAGTATCATTTCATATAAAAGTTTCATTAATAGTTAAGTTATCTGAACGACAAGTCCATGGGCAATGAGACAAGGAAAGTGGTCTAAATAAGTTAAATCCATGAGACCCTTCCCCTCAAGCTCATTCCCTAAAGTGTTCCTAGCCATAGTATCGTACAACTGGGCATTGATAATCTGTAAAGACCGACATAGACTATATCTGCTCAATTGGGAGGATGACTAGTATCAAGTCATTTGTATGGACAATATGATAGGTATATCGGTGCTCATTATAGAATTAGTACACTGAACGCAATCAATTGAGAAATCTTGTATGGAAGTTTTATCCACTTATCAAACAAGATTTCTATAATTGAAATAATGCAAAGTTAGTCCTTAGACCTTAGGCAACATGGTTGTCTTATGGAAGCGTCTTGGACCTATGATCATATTGAATACTCAAATTCTTTTGAAGGCATGACTCCAAGGTATGGTCGAGGCTCTCAATTAATTCATTGAGGAATGTGAGTATATAACAAGGGATCTTGATTTCCGGTAAAGGGATAGAATACTCTAAGATATGATTCGGGAATCTCTAGCTAGGGTATGAGGTTTGATTGAGAAAGAAAGTTTCTAATCATGCCCAATTGAATCATATAAGACAAAAGAGATCACATTAGGGATTTAACATGAATTCCGTATCCTACTAGTGTGAACAAAAATATTGTAAAAAGAGAAGGACTTATATTGCATTGTAATTCCAACTGAATGGGTTCTTCGACACATTTGTTTCTAGATCGTTAATTGTATTTTGTGGAAGCCCTGAGGACGTTTCGTAACTGGATCCTCACATAAGAGAGATTCAAACGGGAGTTTTGATTCATAATTGATAAAGAAGAGTACGCATATCGCCCACTGCCTCACCATTAAGAACCAATATATTGCACATGGAGTAAAGAGCTCTTTGCACTACAAAAAAAACACCCATTCTGTAACAACTGGATGTTGTCGCCAAACGTCAAAATTTGTTGCTTGAACATATAGGCAACGAAAAATTTTCGTTGCGACGATCGTTGCATTATACCCATGTCCTAATAGAATACGCAATGAAATACATGATTTGTTGCTCGAGCACTACTGCAACGATAAAGTTATGCGTTGGCGTCTGTCTTAGAGAACGACCGTGATGTTGTTTCATATTCTCGTCTCCAAAAACTTTCATGTCGTTGCATATCACGGAAAGAAACCACACGTAACTCGTTTCTTATTATTATAGGAAGGACTTAGCATTGCCTATTGCAAGTTGAAGTTGTTGCCTATTCCATATATTTTTAAAAAATTTAAATTTTTTTAAATCATTAATTCTCTTGCTGGTTATATAAAATATGAATTGATATATACAGAATGAAGCACTTCACACCAAAGTCAATATTTATATTATAAAGTTTTGAACCATGTTCCATCACTTCAAAATATACAAAATATGCAATGTTTGCATGCCTAAGTGTTCAAAGCTTTTTACAAGTAGTCATAAAAAAAGTTGAACACCATCTATTGCTGCCTAATACCTAAGGGTGTTTACCAAAATAAGACACTAATCCTAAGTGTTCAACAAAATACATTTTTAATCAAGTGGTTATAGGTTCAGCAAAATATCCTATAATTATTCATACGGATGACTTTGCAGCATCATGCTTTATATTCATCACTGTTTGCGGGTGATAAGTGGTCATATGCATCATCTCTTGATGGGTGGCGAATCTAGTGTTACTGCTGCGATGATTCACCATTGCTTTGCCCATGAGATCCCTTAATAGCCTCTAATTCAGCCCTCAATTTTTCATTCTCTTTTTGAAGAGCAGAAACACTACCCACAATTTGGCTGAACTGAGTTTGCATCTCAGTCCATTGATCCATAGAAGGCCCAAAACAAAAAGCACGACTAGATGTGGATTTCTGCATCCGAGGAAATGAACCAAGGCCACGAATGGTCCTACCTTTCTTGCCAAGGTCCTCCCCCATAATCTGGAATTCTAATTCCAATGGCACCTTAAGGTCATCTCATTTCTGCTTCATTTTTTCTGGTAAAGTTAAACCATAAAGTAACCAAGTTACTTCCACATTAAATTTGATACATATTAGCTATGATTCAATTTGAATTATAATAACTTGAAATGGTATTCATATTTTCCATGCATCAACATCTGCAATTTGTAATTGGATTATGCAAGTCATACATGAAAAACAAATAGAAAAGACAAGAGAAAGGGCACCCAATCTACTCTAGACATCCTATCCAACTAAACACCAACCAAGAGAACCATATAAATAAACGGTTCTTTTTATTTTCTGTTATCTTTTTATCTTTTTTAATGTTTCACTTAATAACATAACAAAGCAATCATTTCATCAAATTTACTCATTGTTGACTTACATGTTTCTCCTAAGCAATCTCACTGATCCATTGTTGATTCCTATCTAGGTGTAGATCCCCCCAGTTCTCAATGAAAGATGGGAGCTTTCCATTCTTTGTAAATTGAAAGAACAAATGAGTAGGCATCAAAAGAACAACTCAATTTTTAAACATCAAATATTGTACTTCTCTTTCAATTTACGTGTTCTATTCATTTCTTATAACTTCCATCATATAAATTCATTGTATTAAACAGAATTTAAATTAATAGTTTAACTTGTAGTCAAATACTTTTGCTTTTGCTTTTGCTTTTGCTTGCACATGTTGTACAAATGGTTGTGCACCTCCTCTATGGCTATATTTTTGTTGTTTGCGATTGTTTACATTAGCCATACAAATTTCCTACATTTAAAAATTATATTGCATTGCCAAATTAAACATTTAAAAATTATATTGCATTGCCAATCAATGAAACACAAAAAAATATAGATGTGTACCTGATAATCTAGATCCTTAAACAAATCGCAAAGCCAATTCCAATGAGAGAGGAGTTGACCATTCCATAACCCCATCTGAATACTCCTCAGTACGTCGATTGCAATTACGAATCCACTGCCTATCCATATTGGGCTCCTCAAACCAAATGAGTTCTCTTTTGTGGCCGATGGTGACCAACTCTAACACTATGCTTTCAATTTCAGAAAAAATAAGACATTTTCTAAATAGACAATATATATACATAACTATGATATAATATCACCAAAAATTGTTTTTTAACCCAAAAAAAATGAACAAGTTATATGCAACCAACAAATTAATAAAGCCTCATCAGTTTTAAAACTTCCAACCACATAAGATAGCATGTGGTTTCCAGATTTTGATAAACACAAAATTCAACCAATGAAATCAAGTTTTTTGAAAAATCCTAAGCCAAAGACAAGAAATGAACAATACCAAATGCCCAACCTCAACAAATGAAGAATTTATAGTGAAACCCAACAAATTACATGTTTAAGCAGACCAATGCTTCTAGAAAGACATAAACGTATTAGTTACATTAAAACAAAAACAAAAGCTGAACAAGTTATGCAGACAACATATTTAGTAAAGCCTTATAAACAAGGGGCATACCCACCATATTTGTAAATAAGTTAACCACATATTAGTGCAGTGACAAATATACCTTACTCAACAAATTCTTTAAAGAACCTGCAAAGAAGAAGAGACCAAAAAAAAAGAAATGAAACTCTGAAAAACATAGTGAAACTAGAGAAAAGAAAGGTTTTTTTACCCAAAGAAGTAGGGAAATTTGCAGATTAAATACCTTATCCAACAAAAAATTTTAAACGACCTATAAAGAAACAAAGACAAAAAAGAAAAAAGAAAAAAAAGGGTAAATGAAACCCATAAAAAAATCAAGTGAAAACTATTATAAAACAATAGAGAAAATAAAGCTTTTTTTACCCAGAATGAGAGAGACAACGATTTAATGGTGTGGTTGGGATTACCAATTCTAGGTGATGGCCATGGTGCTGGAAAAACAGAGAATGAGTGGGTATTTGGTGTCTCTTCGTGCTACAAGAGAGGATGAGAAGTTGGGATTATAAAAGAAATTTGAAATTAAAAATTAAACAAAAAACTGAGAAATCAAGACCATATCTTCCAGCTAACCTATGTGGGTGGGGTGACCTTTGGTTTTTCTCTATGATTGAGAGAAAGTAAGAGGGTTAAATGGGGTTAGAAAGGAGATGAAGGAGGAGCTGGGATAAGCACAGAAGGTCTGAGTCAAAAAGGAGATTATAGAATTTTGAGATAGAGTTGAGTGCCTTGAAAATATCTCATATTTTTTTTCTTTTTAGGTTTTGTGCGTAAAAATGAATTGGCAACAATACCAATTGTTACTTATTTTAATTAGATTCCTTGGTTTTATTAAAACACAAGGAAACCAATTCCTTGCCTTATGTACGTGACACGTTTTTGCGCTTTCTCTCTATGTCCTTTCCTTATAATTTAAGCAACAATAAACAATTGGGGGCCATAGCTATATGCAAGCACACATGTAGTCGTTGCCTATTACATTTTCATTCTGGCGGCAAATTTCCCCCTCCATGAAATTGGCAACAAAATGAAATTAATAAGTGAGGATCTAGGTTTCCCGCGTTCACAGATGTCAAACTACGCAAGGACTTTCAAAAGTTGTTGCCTATTGTTGTTATAGGCAAGGAGATTTTAGTCTTTGCCGAATCCATGTTTTCTTGTAGTGTTGGATAGTAATTTAGATGATGATTAAATCAAAGACTAAATGGGTTAGTTGATTCGATCAAGATTAATTAAAGAGTTAATTAATTGCATTGATTTAATGAGATGTGAAATGGGCTTAAAATAGAAATCGAGTTCCAAGGCCAATTGGGCTTCTAAGGTTAAGTTGTATGAGATAACTTAAATAAGGAGCCCAACAAAGCTCATTAAGCTGGGAGCTTCTATAATGAGGAGTTAAAGTGAGGAGGTTATTTGAGGAGACCGATCCGACCGTCAAAACATTTAAAATATTTAAGTCCCATGATTTCTTTACATTTGTTGATGGTGAGATTTGACCTCCTTAAATAACCTCCTCACTTTAAGCCCTCATTATAGCCTTTCCGCATTAAGCTAGGTATGGCCGCCATGCTAGTAAGTGTTGGGTCTTTGACCGAACTTAAGCTAAATGGGTCATAAGATGACCGATCATCTTATCTCATAAGGCTATATAAGTCATGTTATGAGTTAGGATTTTTTAGGGTTTCCTTTGTAAGAGGTAAGAGAGAAACAAGCTTTCTCTCTCTCTCTCTACACAAGGAGGTCGGCCATAGCAAGGGAAAGGCTCCTAGCACTCTCCTCTCTTTTATTATATCATCCTTCCAAGGACAGCTTTGGTATGGTAAAGCTGGAGGTTGCACACTTTGGTAAGAACTCATCCAAGGGAGCCAAGATTTTGAACTCAAGCATCCTTGCTTGAGATTGGTCTTCAAGGGTATGTACATCTTTCCTCTCCTTCTTACATTTATAAAATATAGTCTTGAGTATACCAACTGTCACATCTCGGGATCAACTCCGCCGTAGCACGATATTATCCGCTTTGGGCCCCCCTCTCTACTCTAATGGTTTTGGTTATGGGAACTCATGAGCAACTTCCCAGTGGGTCACCTGTCCTGGGATTGCTCTAGCCCCAACTTACTTAACTTCGGAGTTCCCATAACTCCAAAGCCAATGAGCTCCCAAAAGGCCTCGTGTTAGATGGAGGGGGGCATGTACATATAAGGTACATCACCCCCTCTCCATTGGTCGATGTGGGATGTTATAATCCACCCCCTTACCCTTAGGGGCTCAACGTCCTCGTCGGCACACTCGCACCACACGGTAGAGTGGCTCTGATACCAAATTGTCACATCCAGGGATTGGCTCTGCCGTAGCACAATATTGTCTGCTTTGGGCCCCCCCTCTCTGCCCTTATGGTTTTGTTTCTGGGAACTGACAAGCAATTTTCCAGTGGGTCACCCATCCTGGGATTGCTCTAGCCCTAACTCACTTAACTTCGGAGTTCCCATGACTCTGAAGCTAGTGAGCTCTCAAAAGGCCTCGTGTTAGATGGAGGCGGGCATGTACATATAAGGCACATCACCAACACTTTGAATCAAAAGATCCATGGAAGAGGTTTAGGTTAAACCTCTAAAATCAATCATTTGCTTATGTTGCTTCTCGTGATTTTTTTTGTGTTTTAGTGGCTTAACCAACGTAAGAAAATTTAGAACATTCTTCATCTAGTGCATTATATGTTTTTGGACCCTACCCGCACAACTTTGTTCTTGGTCCCTCAAGCCCAAAATGCATCTTACTAAGGGAGATGAACTTTGCACATATAAAGCACTTAGCTTGCCCTCATCCAAGCGATGTGGGACTATGGCACCACTCATGGTCGTCACAATCCACCCCCTTGGAGGCCCGACGTCTTTATCGACACATTTTCAGTTGGGTCCATCTCTAATACCAAATTGTCACAGTCCACTCTCTTAGTATAATATTGTCCACTTTAGGCCCCTCCAACACAGATTTGTTCTTGGGCCCTCAAGCCCAAAACTTATCTTACTATGGGAGACGAACTCTACACATGTAAAGCACTTTATTTTCCCTCACCCAAGTGATGTGGGACTATGGCACCACTCCTGGTTGTCACAGCAAGGCCTTGGCTTGCTTCAACCATGAAGCTATTAAAGAATCGTGCACATGATCTCAATGTATTTATATAATATAATATCAAACTTGATCATTTTTTTAGAGTCAACCCATATCGTCTTGGTCACAACTTCTGGCCACATCTCAAATACGTCCATTAATTCCATTGTTGTATCCCCTACAAACTTCCACATGCAAAGAAATCAGATTCAATTTTCCTTTTTTCTTTTCATTTTTCATTTGTTTTTTGGGTCTTTGACTATTGGGTATTTTAATTTTAATTTTTTTAGTTTAAAATTTTAAATCATTTTATAATATTTTATTTTAATTTTTAATTACTTTATTAATATTTTATTTCAAATTGATGATTTTAGCCCTCAAATTAATGGTAATAATGACGGAATTTAATGGTGGGAACAATTTAACATGAAAGAGAGAATTTTAGTATCATTGGTGTTGAAAATTAGTTTGAGGACCTAAGTGGAAATCAGACAGAAGTTTAAGTACTATTTCGATTAAAACCCTTTATTTTATTTATTTATTTTTTTTTTTAGAAGTAGAATTCATTCATAAAACCAAGGATTGAAATATCGGCCGATACACCGATATATCGACATTTTGAACTGTCGACATCGATATTGGGGGGTAAGGTTATATCTTCCCCTATATCGACGATATATCCCCGATAAGTGCAATATTCCCGATATTTTGCCGAAATTTCCCAAAATTTCCCGATACCCATAACAAAACCCAAAAAAATTAAAAAGTTTTGAAGCAAATTGAAACTGAAAATATTTTTTAGAGGTATATGTGCAGTGATTAGATATGTGTGAAGGCTTTTGGCAATATTCCATGCAAAAGATGTTTTGGAGTATGCATCAAAAGAATCTATGCATAGTCAATTGAAGGGACATACATGTCCTATCTCAAGCTTATTTGCCACTAACTTGGCTTCCCATCTTTTGGTCTAACGTGTATTGATCACAACCACTATATTTGTAAATTTGTAGATTATATGATAGACAAAATATTAGTATAATAATAATTAATAATGTAAAGAAAGTGAGTGACTGTTTTTTGAGCCATGAAAAGAAGAACTTGGAAGAAGAATTGATTCTTTACTTCGTGCTTGGAATACTGTTTTGAGCTTTGGGGTTCTCTTTTTTGGCTTATTGTTCCGCCTTTAAACTGTTGAAAGCTTTTATCTAAGTCTGAGCTTCTTGTGGAGCTCTTTATCATTTAATATTTGTTTCATTTTTTGGTTGTTTCTTTTTCACTTTTCGAAGTCAGACAATTGGCAAAATGCAATTCACTGCCCACATACCTCCAAAAAATTTGGCTACTTTTAGTTCCATCAAAGTCAGAGAATCATCCAACTGGAATCCATAAAATAAAGTCTGCCAAACCCATATACCATTGTCCCCCAACCCCAAAAGTTCCCATTGTTATCACGAGAGAAGCCCTCTTTAAATCAAAGGCTATTTTGCTTTTTTTGGGGCACCAAATCTTCCCTTCTCTTCTCTTTCTTTCTCTATTAGCTTTTCAATTTTTATTTAGTCTGTGAGCTTCTTTCCTTGTTTGCAAGTTCTCTTTGACTGCTATTTCAGGTATGTGGCTCTCCTTCATGGTCTATATTATTTTTGTGATAGATTTGATATTGTAAGTTCATTTAATATATTTTAAGTGTGATAGATTAAAAATGGCAAGTAGTAGTGGACCGAGTGGAGCTAGTGTGCATGGTGGTCTTGATGTGGCATGGAAATATGCTCGTCCAATAGAAGGCAATAAGCATGGCACCATATGCACATTTTGTGAATCCACATTTAAAAGTGGTGGAATTACACGGTTAAAGTATCATTTGGCCGGATTTGATCCACATAAAAGTGTAAAGAAGTGCAAAGAAGTACCACCAGATATTAAGAAGGAGGTAATTGCATGGATAAAGGAGAAAGAGTCTAGCAAACAACATAAGAAATCTGTTGAAGAAAACATAAGATCTACAGCAAGAGAGGGATACATGGGCAATAAAAGTAGCAATCCTGTTGATGATGATGATGACGATGATGACGATGGATATGCATATCCTCCAGACATGCACCCTGCGGAGAAAGAAGATTACCTTGCTGCCATTAGAGCGTCGAAGCAAGAACGGTTTTAGACAAGGAGGAGTTTATGGAATGGGAAGCAAACGATTTGCAGGGGGAGCAAGTGGTAGTAGTCAACCGCAATACCGTCGCACTCAAAGCCTTCGAGACCCACTTCCATCTCCTCCGGTACCAATGCCACACAAGAACACTAGAGCAAAACAGAGAACAATCAAAGGCATGATTAGAAACTCAGCAGAGGTACTTGGAAGATACTGCAGCAAATTCTTCATACTTGAGAATGTGGCTCCTCAAAAAGCAAGTTCCCCTCATTTCAAGAATATGATTGCTGCAGCCCAACAAGCAGGTTTTGCTTTATTCCTTATAACTTTCCTTTCTTGAACTTAAATATTCTAAATACACCAATTACTAATATGAGTTTATATTAGGTCAAGGCGTAGCCACACCATCACCGTATGAAATAAAGCATAAGTACTTAGATATGGAACACACAGACATGCAAGCCTATGTGGAAAAGGTAAAGGTAGATTGGGGCGTGTATGGATGCACCATCATGAGTGATGGATGGACTGGCCCCCACGAGGTTGTCCATAATAAATTTCATGGTCTACTCAAACGGGAAAACAATTTTTTTGAAATCAGTGGATGCTTCAAATAAAACCAAGGATGCAAAGTACATTGCCAAATTGTTGAAGGATGTCATAAAAGAGGTTGGGCCGTCGAATGTTGTTCATATTGTCACCGACAATGGTTCAGCCTTTGTTAAGGCTGGACAAATGATGATGGAGCGGTACCCTATTTATTGGACTCCTTGTGCTGCACATTGCATTGATTTAATATTTGAAGATATTGGGAAGCAAGAGTCGGTGGCTAATGTCATAAATAAGGCTAGGAAATTAACCAACTACATTTACAATCATAGTTGGCTATTGGCTCAGATGAGGATCTTCTGTCAAGGAGATTTGGTCCGACCCGGTGCAACTCGATTTGCGACAAACTACATCACCATCAATAGCATCTTAAATAAGAAAGCTGGGTTGAAGCAACTTTTTACAAGTGAGGAATGGTATAATAGTCGATTTAGTGAATCAGAAGAGGGGAAGAGAATTGAAAGTCGAGTCCTTGATCATAGATTCTGGGATGCCATGGAAGGAGTGCAATCCATCTATGAGCCTTTGTATAGCATCTTGCGAATTGTTGACACAGAGGTAGTTCCTACCATGCCTATCTTATATGATATGTTTCACATAATGAAAGAGAAGATTTCTAAGTTGAAGGGAAAAAAATGGCTTCTCAAAATCATCAATCACAGATGGGATGTCACATTATCTCGTCCATTACATCAAGCTGGTATGTTTTAATCTTTTAGTAAAAATATGCATCAATTTTTAAATTTATACAATGGGTATTAACTACTCTTCATATTTGTAGCCCACTACTTGAACCCTAGATATCAATATGAAACAGGGGTTGGCCACAATAAAGAGTTACTTTCAGGACTCCAACGCGTATTTGAAAGGTTGAACCCAACTGGGGATAGAGGTTTGCAAGCATTTGGGGCTGAGGTAAGTGAACACAAAACAATGTCTTCCTCATTAAATTTAGTTTTATGCATCTTGAACACAAAACATTGTGATCCAGGTGATAAATTTTAGAGACTGTAGAAAGACATTTCGCACTGAGATGGCCGTCAAATCAAGAAAATCGATCCCCCCAGCAGAATGGTGGAATCTTCATGGTGATTTTGCCCCGAACTTGCAAAAAATTGCTATGCGTATATTGTCACAGACAGCATCATCATCGGCATGTGAGCGAAATTGGAGTACATTTGCTCTTATTCACACGAAACAAAGGAACCGTCTCGCATATACTAGGCTGGAAAAGATTGTCTTTTGCTATTATAATATGAAACTTAAGCTACGTGATGAAGAGGCTGAAATGAACAAGGTTGCAGAAAATGACTACATAGACCTTCTTGACATTGCAGGGCAACCATCTGATGATGATAATAATCCAATTCAACAATGGATTATGACAGCTCACTTGGATGATGAACAAGGCAACCCTGATGCCGTTATAGCACAACATGCTGCCCAAGAAGGAGTTGATGTTGATAGAGTCATATCCAAAGATGTTAGGAGTGGAGATACTTCATCATTTGAAAGGGATATGCTTGGACCTAGGCAATGTCAAAGACGTCCCTTGAGAGACGATGCTAGTGCTAGTAGAATGGAAAGTTCATCCAATTCGTCAGATAATGATGGAGGAAGTAATGCTGGATCGGGAGGTAATGAAGAAGGAAGACAATACAGCCCATTTACTGTTGAGGCTGATTTTACTCATGCCACCCAAGATGAGGATCATGGATGCAGAGAAGCTGGACCAGGCATTGGCGCAATTGGGAAGCAATACTCAAAGAAAAGAAGCCAACCAATCAATCCATCTGAAGAGGACATGGCGATCAGTTTTGGATCTATGAGCATAGGAACTAGACCTAGTACTAACTCAAATGAATCTTATGATGGCTATGGTTATGTCATGTCTGATTATAGTGGAACTAGATATGGAGCTCAAGATGAGGAAACAGATTATGGACCTACTAGTTGGGTTAATCCTAACTATCCCATATATGGGATGACAGTAGGGAGCTCAAGAGAGACATATGTGCACCATGTTCAAACATGGCTTACAAACTACTCGGGTTACATGACTTGGTATGATTATTGTATGAATCTAGATGGTTGTTCCTCATTGTTTGAACCTCATAGGAGCTCTTCATTTATGTAGTTGGACACTCATCTAAATTGTAATCCAATGTTTAAATAAACTACGGATTTATGCATGGTTTATTCATTCTAATCAACTTTTTATTTTCAAACTTTTCATTAACGCGCATTACATACCACTTATACTTCATCATATATATATATATATATATATATATCTTATTATTAGTAAATTTTGAGTTTTATTTGTTCAATACATTCATTGACAATGTACATAACATCTATGAAAGTTTTACACCAAAATGATGTGTTTCAATGCCTATATCTGTCATTTTTGTTGATTTCTTCCCGATACCTAAAACGATAACGATATATCCCCCGAAATATTCGTAAATTGGAGGCCCGATATTATCTGCACGGCCGATATTTTAATCCTTGCATAAAACCACAGACGTACAAAGAGCGACCTAATACAGTGGCCTCGTTAAAATCTTCCTAAGACAACCTCATGGGACAAACCCCAAGGGGGGAAAGAGTACCACACATGTCATGGACTAACAAGAGAGTCCAATTCAGGTCACTTTGGACCATTACAATAAAAAAAAACAAGTCAGAAACAAAAACTAACACAAAGACCTCTGACGCAAACCACAACTAGAGACAAACACAATAGACCCACATGAGAGAACCGCAGAAACCCCCAAATAGTAAACCCACAGGAAAGGACCGCAGAACATCCCAGTTGTTAAAAGAAGCCTTCTATGAGCAAAATCATAGTCATTTGACACCCATACAAACTGTAAAGCATACCATAGCAGAAACCAGGAGAGAACACAGAGGAGGAACACAGAAACAACAGTAAAAAGACCCCTGAGAAGCACTCCACTTCAACTCAGAACCTGACAAAGAAAACCTCCTATGACCAGGCATAGTTCTTCGGTCGGCATAAAGTAAAGAAGAGCACCACATCCCAACATCTACCACCAGCGTCGCTACTGCTGCCACCATTAAAACAGAGACAAAACATCAGCCATCAGGTATCATAACTCTCCCAAGGAGAGACACAATGCAGCGTCACTACTATCGTTGCCGCTGAGACAAAGACAACACCAGTCACCTGGAGCACTGCAAAAACAACCAAACAAAACAAACAGACAAACATACCTAGATCTAAATAGATCTAGACTATCTGGGGAGGGGAAAAGGAGGAGAATAGGGGATAAGAGGAAGGAAAAATATGGGAGAAAAATAAAGGGAGATAAGGAGAGGAAGGGGAAGACGGGCGGAGGGGAGGAGGGGGAGTGGCCACCTCCCCCCCTTAACTTCCTTGCGGTTGGTTGTTAGCAAGGAGAAAGGGGACCAGAGTGCGGCTAGACCCTTATTGTTATTATGTTTTTAATACAAGTGATATTGGAAGAAAATAATTTGAGCACAGGTCCATAGGTGTACGAGTAATTTCTCTTAACAATTTTTAAACAAAATATTTTTATAAGAAAAGCAGTTTTTTCTCTGAAGCAGTAACGGAAGCACTTAACAAGCTCTATATCAACGCCAACGAGGCCGAGCGAGCCTTGACTTGCAGATTAGTGGTCTCAGGTTTGAACCCCATGACACCTTTGTAGTGTGTGAGAAACTCTCTTCCCTTCCTAACTTTGGCAAAAAAAAGAAAAAAAAACTTGTCTATTATTACAATATATTTAGAGTTAATTAAAAAAAAGAAAAAAAAAAAAAAAAAAAAAAAAAAAAAAAAAAAAACAAAAAAAAAAATGCAATAAGAAATGGAAAACTTGACACGGTTTCTTCTCTCTCTCTTGCTGGGGTATTAGTGATTTTGTTTCTAGAAAAGACTAGGACAAGAAATAAAAGTAGCGAGTTACCCAACTCGCAAGTAATTGCACAATCCACATAAAATTAGGAAAGAAAAAGAAAAAGAAAAACCTATAAGTACCAACTAAAACCATCACAAACCCTTGCACTCCCTAAATAATCATCACACACAACTCACCCTTATCTCTCAATCGCCTCTCTCTCTCTCTCTCTGCAATAGAATGAAAATCAAGTTCAAGCAAAGCATAAGAGCAAAGGAACTTCCACAAAGTGCGAAGTGCAAAATGCTTGAGAAAAGATTCAAGGATCCTGAGGAGGACATAAATTTAATAGAGACTAGTATATCTGAAACGGCGTTCCTTTTGTGCAAAAGAGTTAAGGAAAACTTTGGGGATGATGCGGACAAGTTTTCAGAATTCTTGGTTCAACTGCACATGTGTAGACAACTGAGGGTCGATTTGACCGAGTTTTTAAACTTGGTGGATGACTCTGTTCGAGCGGAGAACGTCTTATGAAAGATCTTGAGGATTTTTTGGAGAACTGTGGAAGGGCACAGAGCCATTGGTCGCGCAAGCGTAAACGTTTGAATTGAAGTTGGATGATTTTTTGAAAAAGTTTTGTTTAGTTTTACCACTTGTGTAGGATGTTTTAAAGAATTAATAGTAACGAGTTATATAACAACTTAATTCTCTGTGAGATTATAACTGCGTTAAAGATCATCTTTTTGAGATTATAAAAGTTCAAGTTCATATAAGATTAGAGAACAAGTTATTTAAAGGCAAGGTTTCTGCTTTTGGCATGATCTTTCAGTTCCTCCCATGTTTTATGGGCAGTTTCTCCAAGATCTTTCTGTTTCCTCCCATGTTTTATAGGCAGTCTGTTCTGTATTTATTGTTGGGCTGCCATAAGTCTTGTCTACTTCAAGTTTTCCTTTGGCAATTTCTTGCCTCTTGTTTGGCATACTCATGGCTACAGTACCTTCTTCTTCTACTTATTCTTTACATCTTACTGATGCAAAACAGGCTGGGCTTGTTGTTGATTTGGCCACCTTGGAGGATCTCCGCTCTGACCATTGCTTGTGTTTGGTGGGCAAATTAGCCACTGATCGTCCTTTTCATAAAGAGAATTTCCAGAGTACCATGCTTCACCTTTGGAATTTTCTCGAGGGTTAGTGATCCGTGAGGTTGATGACAATTGCTTTCTCTTTCGTTTTTGTTATGATGATGATTGTCTGCGAGTGTTGGCTATGGAGCCCTGGTCTTTCAATCATATTTTGCTGATCCTGGCCCCAACTGATGGTGCAACACCCGTTCGTGAAATCCCTTTGCATACTTGTTCTCTCAAGGTTCATGATCATATGCCTATTCTTGGTATGACAGCCACCATGGCTAAACTCATGGTAACCAGTTTGGAAATTTTTTGGAAGTTTCCACTGAGGATGCTGGTGATTTTGTGGGACGAATTTTACATTTTTGGGTTCGCTTTGATATTACTCAGCCTCTTATTGGGGGTATGAATATCTATTTTAGCCACAATACCCCTAGATGGGTGGAATTTACCTATGAACGATTACCTACGTTCTGCCATAATTGTGGGTGCCTCTTGCATGGTACTAGGGATTGCTCTCACCCTTCAACATCTGAAAGTTTGAGAAGGGAAACCTTATGGTATTTGGATGAAACATTCTTTTGACTCTTATCCACACGGGCCTTCACGTAGTGGTACTCGGAGAGGACTATCTTCCTCCCCGGATCCTCTTGACCAGGATGGTTGTCCGAAGCCGATAATTCAAGCTGAGGTGCAACATGCAGATTTAGGGCAGCAGTTGCAAACAGTTGGTGGCTCTCAGGTAGTTTCTCCTTTGAAAGTGGTTGAACAACAGTTGTTTTTGCCATCTCGTCAAGGACAGTTGGGCATCTCTGTCTCTAATACTCCTAATCTAGTGGACAATATGGCAATTTTAACTCTAGCCTCTGACTCCCATCCAGGAAGATTTTCTAGCAAATCTCATCTGCCTACTCATGTTCCGCCTCTTGTTTCTTTAGGAACTTCCATTTTGACACGGTCTACGTTCCAAAAAAATTATGATGCTTCCAAGCCACTCACTCTTGTTAGGTTTGCAGAGGCTTCACTTGCTGATACCAAGCAGCTTGTCGTTCCTGCTACTTCTGTTCACTCTAGTTCGGTTAAACAAGTAAAAGGTACTTCTGTTCCTCTTTACCCCCCCCCCCCCCCCCCCCCCCCCTCCCCTAGTGGACGATTTGGTGGGTAAGTCCCGCCTTAAGAAATGAAAGTTCTTAGTTGGTGACTTTAATGAAGTGGTTTCTCTTGAAAAGCACAGACAGAGTGATCGGCCTTTGTGGCTCATTCATCAGTTTTGTGATGTTTTGTAAGATTGTGGATTAATTTCTATTTCGTCCATTGGTTCCTCTTATACTTGGTCTAATCAGCGGGTTAGCGATGCTTTGGTGGAAAAACGACTTGATCTTGGTTTAGTCAATATGTTGGTCATGGATTCGTTTCCGCATGTTCTTTATCATCACCTAGTTACCTCTGGATCTGATCACAAACCTTTATTTTTTGAGCTTTGCAAAGATTCATTAAGTGAGGTTTCTAACCGAAGAAAGCGACGATGATTTTAGTTTGAAGAGATGTGGATCGATGAAGAAGGGTGTGAAGATCTGGTTCGCCAGTCATGGGTTTTCGACAATTCATCTGCCTTTGATTTACCTACAAGGTCTCTGCTACTTTTTCTGTTTCAGTTGTTGTCCAAATGTGTTCTCTTCTTAGTATTTTCCTTGTGTATTCGGTTTAGTTTAGGTTGCACCAACTATTTCTTTTGCCCTGCTGTGTTTTTACATTTCCTCTTTACTTTATTCACAATATTCAGCTATATATTTCGGATCATACAACATTTAGCTTATTTGGTGTTTTGTGGAGCCATCTTAGGTTTATGTCTACATCTTTCTTTGGTAATCTTAGGATCATACAACACATTCTTTCTTTGGTAATTCTCTTTAACTGCTATCTCTTCGTTCTTTCCATATATCCTCAGTCTTTAATTGTGAAGGGCTTTGATTATGGTATTTCTCATATGCCAGTTATATCCTAGACAGTTTTTCTGTTTCTTGAGTGTTTTATCATTTTCATGCCTTTCTGCAACAATAAGCTCTGCTATTTTGCTAGGCAACGTAGTAGTAGTCTTTCTTACTCTGTGTTTATATTTGGTTGTTTGTCAAGACCGTTTTCTTTGGTGTTTTCTGGAATTTTCTTAGTTTAATATATGTTCCCTTATAGGGCACTCTTAGGATTATACCACGAATATTGATTTGTTGCAATACTGCTCTTTTTAAATGACATATGTTTGTTTGTTTCCAATTTATCATAAGCTTTATTTGGCTAGGGTTGTGCTGGTGTATATCAGCTGTCCATTACCTTTTATTTTTTTGAGTTATGTTATGAACAGTCTTTATGCTTTCTTGTGTGTTTTGACTCACTATTTTGGTTTTTATATTTGTTGTTTCTATTCTTAACTTTATGATTTTTTGGCTCGACTCAATACCATTGATTTAAACATACTCTTTTCGTGTTTGGCTACCAGGTCTTTTGTCTTATGTTGTATGTTAGTATTGTGGGCTTGGAGGTTTTTTGCTTTTGCCAAGCTTTTTACTTTTCTCATTAGTTTTTGGTCTGTGTTGTATTTTTCAGCTTTGGAATCGCAATGTCTTTGGAAATATTAATAAGAGGATTAAAGCAGTGAAGAATGAGATGGCAGAGGTTCAGGCTTTGTGTCAACCTTCTCGCTATTTGCCTCATCTCAAATGTTTAGAGCACACCTTAGATACTCTTTTAGAAAAGGAAGAGATTTTCTCGTGGCAGCGTTCCAGGGTCTCTTGGCTTAAATATGGTGATTGTAATATAAGATTCTTTCACAAGCGAGCAAAATCTTGTTCACATACAAATACCATTAATGGTATCATGTAAAGATATTAAGAATGAATAGTATATTTCATTGATATCTGATTGATACACGGAATGACTATTATATACAAATTGATATATCTAAATAAGGTAAATATAACAGGATTGATGTAGAGAATCAATCCAGGTTGTCTAGATAAGGTAAATACAATGGGATTGATGAAGAGAATCAATCCAGATCAGCTATGACAGGAAGGCAAAAATCAAGGTTGACTTTGATGAGAGATTGCAGATGATTGCGTTGATGATGAGATGATTTCCTTTGATGAAGGTTCCCTTTTACGCCCCCGCAAGACGGTGGTCCCATCGGAGACACCGATCTTGGACCGGAGAAGCTGAAAACGCAGACGTGGAAGTGGTTTGGTGAGGGCATCGGCAAGTTGGTCAACAGTAGAAACATGTGAAACTTGAAGAAGACCACTATTGACGCGATCCCGGACAAACTGAAAATCAATATCAATATGTTTCATGCGAGAATGGAGAACAGGATTAGCACAATAGAATGTGGCTCCAATGTTGTCACATGAAATGAGCGGTGGACCGGAAAGGGAAATGCCAAGTTCACGTAACAAGGATTGAATCCATGCAATTTCGGCAGTGGTGGTAGCAATGGCTCGATATTCAGCGGAAGAGCGGGCTACAGAGCGTTGCTTGCGAGAGCTCCAAGAGATGAGGTTGCCACCAAGATAAACAACATAGGCAGTAGTGGACTTACGGTCATCAAGATTGCCGGCCCAATCGGCATCAGAGAAAGCATAGAGACGATGAGATGAGCGACGAGACAAATGAAGACCAAAGTATAAGGTGCCCTTCAAGTAACGAAGGAGACGCTTGAGAGCCTGCCAGTGAGACTCCGAAGGCTTATGCATGAATTGAGAGAGCTTATTAACGGCAAAGGAGATGTCAGGGCGTGTGAGGTTGAGATACTGAAGACCACCAATGATTTGACGAAATCAAGTAGCATCAGTAGGTGGAGTCCCATCATTGAGCACAAGACTATCAGAAGGAGATAATGGAGTGCTAACCTCCTTGGCACCGTCCATTTTTGCTTTGAGTAGGAGATCACGAATGTAATGGTGTTGCGAGAGAAAGAGACCAGTCGTGGTGGGAATAACCTCAACACCAAGGAAGTAATGAAGAGACCCCAAGTCTTTGACAGAGAACCGGCGAGCCAATGTGGCAATGAACTGCATTACAAGAGAAGAATTGTTGCCAGTAACAATAAGGTCATCAACATAAACCAAGAAATAAATGACATTTCTACCAAAGGTAGAAATAAATAGGGAGGCATCAGAGGTAGCATTGCGGAAGCCTTGTGAGAGCAAGAAGGAGCTCAATTCCTTGTACCATGCCCGAGGTGCCTGCTTAAGGCCATAAAGAGCCTTTCGGAGTTTACAAACATGAGATGGGAGGTTGGTATCAACAAAACCTGGGGGTTGTGACATATAAACACTGTCACTAAGTGTGCCATGAAGAAAGGCATTGTTGACATCCAACTGACGAATAGGACAGCCATGAGACAAGGCAAGATGCAACACAACACGGATGGTGGTGGGCTTGACCACTGGACTAAAAGTTTCTGAGAAATCGACGCCGAGGCGCTGATGAAAGCCCTTGGCGACCAAACGGGCCTTGTACCTGTCAATAGTGCCATCTGGGTGTCGTTTGATACGAAATACCCATTTACAACCAATGAGATTCTGAGTAGAGTCAGATGGAACAAGTTCCCAAGTTCCATTGCTAATGAGCGCATTAAACTCAGTAGACATGGCAGCTCGCCAAAAGGGATCTTTAATGGCATGAGAAACACATGTCGGTTCAACGGATGAGGGTATGGGGTGTTTGGTGGCGACTAAAGCATACCGTGGATTGGGCTTGCTAATACCGGCTTTGGCACGCGTCACCATTTGGTGATCGGGAACCATGGGTTGTGAGATAGAAGATGGTGGGGGAGGCGATGGGTCAGGGGCTGGGAAGGTAAGAACGAGTCTATTTGGGTTTCTGAGGTAGGTACGGATAGGGGATGGCTGGGGAGGTTGGGTTTCTGGTTCAGTGGGGGTCGGATTGGAAGGGAAATGGGTTGGGGTCATGGTTTGTGAAGGGGTATGAGTAGTATGAGGTGGGTTAGAGGAGGGTGGGTTTTGTGGTGGAAGTGGAGAGACAGTAGGGGCTGGAGGTGGTATGTGCGCAGGGGGGCAGAGCTGCTCCAAGGCAGAAGAGGCAGCGGAGGACGATGTGGATGGTGCAGTCGGTGAGGAGGTGGTAGCCGATGGTGGTGGCATGGGGGCTGCTTGGAAAGGAATAAGAGTAACAGGAGCAAGAGGAAACCAAGAGGTGGAAGTAGGAGAGGGGACAGAAGAAGTGGAATTATGGGCACTAGCAAGAGGGAAAGTGGACTCATCAAATTGGACATGACGAGAGATAAAAAGTTTATTGGATGAGAGATCAAGACATTTGTAGGCACTTTGATTGGAGGAGTAACCAAGAAAAAGACACGCGCGGGAACGAGGAAGTAACTTGTTGGAGTTGTAAGGCCGTAGCCATGGAAAACACAGACATCCAAAGGTACGAAGACGTGAGTAATTGGGTTGTTGATGAAAGAGTTGTTGATATGGTGAGACATTTTTAAGGATGGGAGTGGGCATTCGATTTATGAGGTAGACAGCAGTTTGAAACGCATATGACCAATAGGAAAGAGGTAATGAGGCTTGATGAAGAAGGGTGAGACCGGTTTCGACAACATGACGATGCCGTCGTTCGGCAACACCATTGTGTTGTGGAGTATGTGGTGGTGTGATGAGATGAGAGATGCCAGCGGAAGAGAGAAAGTTTTTGAGTTTGACAAATTCCCCTCCACCATCAGTAAATAAGGTGATGATTTTAGTTTTGAAATAATTTTCAACAAGGGCTTTAAAGGTGGTGAAGGTGGAAAACACATCTGATTTCTTTTTGAGAGGGTATAGCCATATGTACTTGGTAAAATGATCAACAAAAATAAGATAGTAGGAAAAGCCATCAATGGAAGAATAAGGGGCAGGGCCCCAAACATCACTATAAAGGAGCTCTAACGGACCATTGCTTTGAAGGGAAGAAGTACCAAATGGGAGCCTATGGCTCTTATTACATTGACATGAATGACAAAGAGACTCGGACAATTTGGAGGACACATGAATGGAAGAGGAACGAAGAACTTGGTGAAGAGTTTTAGAATGTGGGTGACCAAGACGCCGGTGCCACAAATTTGGAGAGACCACCACACCCACCATGGCCTGAGGTTGACGGAGGGATTGGGAGGACCACTCGTACACATCGTCCTTATTCGGGCCTTGAAGAAGTACCGGCCCCGTGCTCAGATCCTTGACATGAAAGAAATCAGGAAAAAGTTCAATAGACGTATTATTTTGTTTGTTAAATTTGGAAATAGAAATAATATCTTGCTTAATGGAAGGAACACAAAGAACATTAGATAAGGCAAAGGTTTTGGAGGAAGGGGTAGTGAGAGAGGATGAACCGACATGAGTTATACCCAAACCTGAACCATTACCAATAATTATTTCATCAGGGCCAGCATATGTGGAGACATCGGAGAGATTGGTGACTTTGGAGGTAACATGGTGAGAAGCACCGGAATCAAGCAACCATGTGGGAGAGGCATTGTGGCGGCCATGGTAGGTAGAATTGACCACTGGCTGACTTTGGGAGCCAGATTGAAGCTGGGGACAACGTTTGGCACTATGACCTTGTGTACCACACCATTGACAATAGCCACGATAACCAGTGCCAGTAGTGTTGTTTGAACGACGACCGTTGTCAGTGGTTGAGGGCGCGGTGGATTCAGAGGAACCACGGTAATTGTTGCGGAAGCTAGAAGAACCACGATTGTGATTGTAGGTGTGGGAGCGAGAACCACGGTTGGTGGGGGCTCGCTGGGAGCTTTGAGTGACATTAGCAGTGATGACAGGTGTGGTAACTGGAGCGTCGGCACGTGTAAGGGCAGCTTCATGTTCAACCAACTTATCATGAAGATTTTCGAATGAGATAGAGGTGTCACGGGAACGAACAACAGCAGCGATCTCCTTAAATTCAGAACCAACACCATTGAGAATGTAAAGGAGAAGATCATCATCAGAAAGGGGGACATCGATGATGGCAAGTTCATCGGCGATAACCTTAACATCTTGCAAATACTGAGAGACAGGCTTATCCTCACGACGCATAAGAGTAAGGCGTTCCTTGAGACCAAAGACACGAACACGTGCTTTGCTAGCAAAGAGATGGAGCAGTTTGTCCCACGCCTCCTTGGAGGTCTTGGCGGAGGCAATAAGGGATATTACTTGCGGTGATACGGATGCAAGAATGGCATGGAGGAGCAGCTGGTCCTGACGAATCCAAAGGGCGCGAGACGCGGCTGGAGTGTCTGGTGGGCATGTAGAAGAACCATCCACATAGCCCAGGAGGTCATAGCCAATAAGGAGGGCGTTAAACTGGGCACGCCAAGATGGGTAATTTGTAGGGGTAAGCTTGACGGGAAGTTGTGCAGCAGCGTTGATGGTGATTAGGGAGGATAGGGTGTTGGAGTTGGTGTTGGTAATGATTGGGGTGGATATATCAGAGGATTCAGGAGCCATGAGTATAGACTGCTGGAAGAGGAAAAAAAAAGGAACAGAGGATGCTCGTTGGAGCCTTAGGGCTATGATACCATAAAGATATTAAGAATGAATAGTATATTTCATTGATATCTGATTGATACACGGAATGACTATTATATACAAATTGATAATATCTAAATAAGGTAAATATAACAGGATTGATGTAGAGAATCAATCCAAGTTGTCTAGATAAGGTAAATACAATGGGATTGATGAAGAGTATCAATCCAGATCAGCTATGACAGGAAGGCAAAAATCAAGGTTGACTTTGATGAGAGATTGCAGATGATTGCGTTGATGATGAGATGATTTCCTTTGATGAAGGTTCCCTTTTATCATGGATGAACATGGGAACTGGCAAACCAATGAGGAAGAAGTTGGCTAGTTATTGTGCTCTTTTTATAGTACTTTGTTTGCTCAAACAGGTGGCCTAAACATGGATCGTGTAGTGCATTTGATAGATCCTTGTATCACCTCAGATATGTCAGATCTATTGTTACGACCTTTCACAAGAGCTGATTTGGAAGTTGCCCTATTTTATATGCCTCCCACCAAAGCTCCAGGAACCTTTTTTATCAATGTTATTGGAGTATTGTTGGTGACACTGTCAGTGCTGCTTGCTTGCGCATATTTAATGGTAAGTCTAGTGCTCGCCCTTGTAATCACACTTTGATTTCTTTAATTCCCAAAGTTAAAACTCCAACTATTGTCCAAGATTTTCGGCCTATTAGTTTATGCACGGTTGTCTATAAGTTGGTAGCCAAAACTTTTGCTAATTGTCTAAAGTTAGTATTGCCTTCAGTTATTCATGATACACAAAGTGTTTTTGTTCCTCATCGCAATATTTTAGATAATGTGATGGTTGGTTTTGAACTTATGCATTCTGTTAAGCGTATGAAGCAGGGCAAGAGAGTGGCCATGGCGCTCAAGTTGGATATGGCCAAGGCATATGATCATGTTGAATGTTCATTTTTAGAAGCGATGATGCTTTGGCTTGGTTTCCCATCTAGTTTTGTTGTTCGAATTATGGATTGTCTACACTTTGTGTCTTTTTCAGTTCTTTGGCATGGTACTCCTTTTGGTCTCATTATTCCCCATCAAGGTTTGCGACAGGGATGTCCTCTTTCCCCTTATTTATTTTTGACTTGTGCTGAAGGCTTCTCTGGTCTATTGCGTCATGCTGAGTTTGAGGGTCTTTTACGAGGGATATGTGTGGGCCATTCTAGTCCAAGGATCTCACATCTTTTGTTTACAGATGACAGTCTTCTCTTTCTTGAAATGTCAGAATATGTGTGTCTTACTTTGAAGGAGATTTTCTGCATTTATGAAGAGGCTTCAGGTCAGCAAATTAATTTTCATAAATCGGCTTATCTTTTAGTCCTAATGCCTCTCAGGAAATTATAGATGTTGTAGCTGATGCGCTTGGTATTCCAGTCGTAGCATGTAATGAACGATATTTGGGTTTACCAACTAGGCGGGTCTTGGGAGCAGGGAGCAGTTTTTGTTATGTTCGCGATTGTGTGTGGTGTACTCTTAATGGTTGGAAGGAAAAATCTCTATCAACAGCGGGAAAGGAAGTTTTATTATGATCAGTGGTTCAAGCTATACCATCATATTCCATGAGTGTTTTTCGTCTACCCAAGAGTCTTTCTACTGAGTTCTCTTCTATGTGTGCCAATTTCTAGTGGGCAAAAGGAACAACCGCAGAGGGATACATTGGGTTAAATGACGTTCACTTTGTTATCTGAAAGTGGATGGCGGTTTGGGTTTTCGAGATTTTATTAATTTTAATCAAGCTCTGTTGGCTAAGCAATGTTGGCGTATTCTTTCCAATCAAGCTCTGTTGGCTAAGCAATGTTGGCGTATTCTTTCCAATCAAGCTCTGTTGGCTAAGCAGTGTTGTTTCCTTGTGTCGTAGACCAGCAGGCCCAAGCCAGTATATATGCTGGGTTAAGCAGCATTCCGATGCTGAAGCAGTTTGCCTCAAAAGGGTGCTTGCCTAAAATCAGTAAATGCTTCCGGAGACTAGCTGTACTAAACCAAACAATCAGTCATCTGCCTAGGGAGATCTCTTGATGGCTGTTGCTTTTTTCCTGATCTGATAAAGTGCGCCATTTCAGTCTGCATCTTATATTTTGTTTTTGTTGCATGCTAATTGTTGTCTGTTTCTAATGTACCTTTCGTTCCCCATCTGTTCTCAAGTTAAGTAGTTTATGATCTTCAAGCTGATTGTTCTAGTAAAATGCATTCCAGGGTTATGTTGTTTATCGTGTCCATGTAAGGCGTGGTGGTCGCAAGAAGCCTGTTCCAAAGGATATCGTATATGGGAAGCCCACAAACCAAGGTGTGACAAACTAAAATTTCAACGCAGCTTGAGGTCTGTTGCCGAGGAGCGCGCTGACAGGAAATTGGATGGCCTTAGGGTTCTGAATTCATACTGGATCAATGAGGTGACTCAGTTGTAACTTCTTTATTCTTGTACTACTTGGGTTGCAGTACCTGTTTTGCTGTTTTCTTTTTGGGGTCGGCTTGGTGGTAGTTTTATTTTGTGGTGATGCACTTGCTTATTCTTCTTTGCTAATCTATCTATTCTATGGGTGCAGGATTCGACGTACAAGCACTTTGAGATAATCATGGTCGATGTTGTTCATAATGCTACCTGAAATGACCCAAGAATCAACTGGCTCTGCAATCCTGTTCACAAGCACAAGGAGCTTCATCGGCTGACTTCGGCTGGGAAGAAGTGCAGGGGATTGCGTGGAAAGGGTCACCTATACCACAAGGCAAGACCATCTCGCAGGTTAACTTGGAAGAGAAACACCACCCTCTCCCTTCGTCGCTATCGTTTGTGGGAGCGGATATTTTCGTCTCTAATCGCAGCGCGCCACGTGGAAAAGAAGATTATCTCTTTTAATTAATTAATTGAACCAGTTTATCTGGCCAATTAATTAATTGAGATAAATATCTTAATTAACATGATATTATCTTTATTTAATAAGATAATATCATTAATTAAGACATTATCCTAATAAAGAGAAGATAATGTCATTATCTCATATATTATCTCCATAAAAAGAGATAATATCATTAAATCAGATATTATCTCAGTCCGACTCGATCCCTACGAATTTGGGTAGAGAATAAATTCAGCATATTCTCTACGAAACCCTAGCCCCGAGGCTCCTATAAATAGATGACCTCATTCATCATTCAAGGTACATCTAAACCTACTCCTTATACCCGAGAAAAATACCCGAAGCTCTTTCTCCCTCTCCACTCTCCATATTTTCTCCACACGGCTCCGGCCACCACACACGGCTCTGGCCGCCCAGTTCACACCCTACATAAACACTACTCCGTACCCTTTGCTTAGCTATTGTTTTTCTACAAACACTCGAACTAACTTAGGCATCGGAGGGCCTTTGGCCAACACCCCCCGGGTGTGATCTATTTACTCCAATCTGTTTTACAGGAATCGAGGAAGAGAGAGAAGGAAGATCGAAGGTTGAAGGATTCAGAAGCGAATATTCTCCCGTGAGATTATTTGCACAAACATTTGGTGCTTTCATTGAGAGCACGAGTTATACTCAACGCGTGCTCAAGGAATCCGTTCCTCCTATTTTCCAATCCACCGAAGCCTTCCAAACAACCATGGTTGGAAGCAAACGCACTAGGAGCAAAACCGCCGCGATGGCTCAATCCGTGACGGCCTAAAGCCACTCCACCCACGATCATGCTATCGACATGGTGGCACCACCACCTCTCGCCACCGTGCCACCTACCGGACCCGCGGCCGGATCTAGCAACCTCCGTGGCACCGCCGCCGAACATGGTGGAACCTCCTATCAAGGTGGGCTCGTTACCACCACCGACTTAGGCTCGGTCTTGGAGCAACTTCAAGCATTCCCTCCATTGCCTCCACGCTCGATGCACGCTCTCGGGTACACCTCCAATGAAAACCTAGCCCGTGTGCAATTGGGCTCCACACGCTTCTCTCCTCCCGATCCACAAAGTCAAGCAGATCTCAACCTGAGAGTTGACCAGCTAGCTCAGAGAATGGACGACCAAAACGCTCTGATGAGGCAGCTCCTCAATCAAACAAGCGTGGCTCAAAATCTTGGCCTTGGACAACCAGGCGAAGAGAGAAGAATAGACGAACGCACCAGTGGGCAGCTCAACGGGCACCAAGCAGGTCGAGCAGGAGTGAGCAAACAAGGGGATGCACAACCACGTGATCAGCTTGCCGACATGTCGCGAGCATCTGCAAGCCACACACAAAGCAATGTGCAAAAAAGGCTCGGCCCATGACTTGACATCCGTGCTCGCCTGGGCCCACAGGGAAATGTACTTCAAAGGCTAGGCACCCAAGGAGGCCAAACTGGCAATCGCCGCAATGAGGATCGTGAAGAGAGGCGCTCCGTTGCCCACTAGCAGAGAAATGTTCATGAAAGGCTAGGCCCCCAGGGAGGTCAACCCAGTAACCCTTGCAATGAGGATCGTGAAAAGAGGCACTCCACTGCCCGCTCTCGGAGAACCAATTCTCGCCATCAAGCTGTAGAAAATCCCTCGCAAACGCAGTCCACCAACACGCCTTCTAGGCAGCGCGAACGAGAGGACCGACCCTCGCGGACCAACGAGGAGGTCAATCAGCGTCGCCCGAATCGCAAAAGTCGCCAACGTGATCGACTAGCAATGTGCGCGGAAGACGTTGAGAAGCTTATGAATGACCGACTTCGAGACTTGAAGACTGGCGGGAACCTCGAAGATACACTACGTAAGGAGATGGACCAGGTGATCTCTACTCCTTTCACCCCTGAAATCGAGCAGGCTGCTCCCCCGAAGCGATTCTCAACGCCTTCGTTTACGCATTTCAAGGGAGATTTCGATCCCGAGAGCCACCTAAAACACTTCAAAAGTGTCATGATCCTCCACAAGGCCGACGACGCACTGATGTGCAAGGCGTTTGCAATGACCTTGCGAGGAGCAGCTCAGGACTGGTTCCACACCCTGCCATCCGGGTCGATCAACAGTTTCAAGGAGCTTGCCTATGTCTTCACAAAAGAATACACTGCTTATCGGACAATCAAGAAGAACCCAGATCATCTGCTCAACCTGCGCAAGAAGCCCGACGAATCTATTCGAGATTACATCAAGAGGTTCAAAGTAGAAAATGCCAACATCGTAGGGTGCGACGACCAAATCGCATCATCTGCCTTCAAGAAAGGTCTTCTAATAGAACACGAATTATACCGCGAGCTGACTATCACTCCCAGCCAGACTTTAGCAGAGGTCTTCGCGACCCCAAAACGCTACGCGCTCTGGGATGACGATCGAATTGCCACGAAGAAGTCCACTGAGCAGGGAGATCGGCCGACCAAGCGGGCGGGCCAAAGAAGCGATGAATTTAGCAACAAGAATAAGGACAAGTGCAGGTCACACCCGCAAGGGGACGTTAAGGAAGGAGAGAACTACACCAAGTTCACCATCCCTATACATCAAATCCTAGCCCAAGTGAAAAACAAACCTTGGGTAAGAAGACCGCCACCCTTGAAAGGAGATCCAGACATGAGGGATACTAGCAAATACTGTGCCTTCCATGGGACGCATGAACACACTACGAACAACTGCTTTGCTTGAAAAGCACACCTCGAAGAACTCGTGAGGGAAGGTCACTGCATTGAATTCATCGCTAAGCAGGCCATCCAGCAGATAGAGGACCACGACACTGCCAAAGAGCCGCCCCAAAAGGTCATAAGGATTAACACAATCCTAGCCGACTCCGAGGAATCTGGGCTGACCAGCAAGGGAAAAAAAAGGCAGATCAAACAAGCTACTATGATCTCCCAAGTCTCAACTGACCTTCCGCTAGCAGAAGACGATCCTGTAATCGGCTTCCAAAAGAAAGATCTAATTGGCCTTGGTCTACCACACAATGACGCTCTTGTCATCAACATTCAAATCGCTCAGGCCATGGTCGACCGAATCCATGCAGACGAGGGCAGTGCAGCCAACATCCTACAATTGACAGTTATCCAACAGATGGGCTTAAAGGCAAAGATCAATAAATCAGCCAAGTCGCTGACTGGCTTCAATGGAGCAACAACGGTTACCGTAGGCACGATAGAGCTCGATGTCTACACCCCACCTGTAATCAACTCGCAAACGTTCATGGTCATTGATGAAGTCTCACCCTACAATGGCATTCTAGCCAGACCATGGATTAGCAAGATCAACGCCATCACCTCCGCCACGCATCAGCAAGAAATTGGAGCTTGAGCCTGACATGGCTAAGGTCCGCCGCGCTTTGAACATCCCCCAAAAGTTCTGTGAGTGGCGTTGGCTGTTGAGCGAGTATCAGGATGAGGACGGTGGTCTGCCCCCAGCCGAGGATGTCGAAAGATGGAAGCAGAATGGTCCGGACCCTGATGATCTGTCTGCTGAACAAGAGGCATGCTCTGCTGAACCCCCATCAAAAAGGAAGGCTGAAGTCAAGTCTCCGAGAACTCAAGCTACCTCTTCACGGGCGAGGAACGTGTCTCCATTGAGGAAGAAGCCAAAGCTCCCTTCTGCTGAGAAGACCCAAGTAGGAGTTGTTCCCGCCTCATCTGCCAGGGTCAAGCATCTTGTTGGTGCAGACAGCAAGAAGATTGGCGGTATGCGCAACATAAGGGATGCTCCCCTTAAGCCTATTGCTGACGAGTTTGGAGATCCTGATCTGCTCCGTGAAGTGGTCCGTGCGCGATCTAGCTCACCTGTTGAAAGACAAAGAGATGCGGATGTTCCTCCCCGAAGTTCGGGTCGTTTGCACCAGTCGAAGAGTGGAGGTCGATGTGGGAGGTCTGCTCATTCATCCAACCGTCATGATCCAACTGTTGAGTCACGAGCAATCAAGCGTGGAGTTGATTCGACGTCGCAAATTCCTTTGGAAGTGAGGTTGGAGGAGGCTAGGAAAGTAAGAGAGTTATCTGCCCGAACGAAAGGTCCTTCTGCAACGTCAGCAGCTGATCCAAAGGTGGACAAATCTAGCCCTGCAGGGGATGCAGGCGTGTCTGATTTGCTAAAGACGCAATTTCTATCAAGTCCATCCTCTTGTGCTGAGCTGGTTGACCAAATCCGTTAGGCTGGCGATGAAGTGTCACTTCCATTTGTTTTTCCTTCATCGCCAGCCTGACGGATTTGGTCAACTAGCTCAGCACAAGAGGATGGACTTGATAGAAATTGCGTCTTTAGCAGATGAGACACGCCTGCATCCCCTGCAGGGCTAGATTTGTCCACCTTTGGATCAGCCGCTGACGTTGGAGAAAGACCTTTCGTTCGGGCAGATGACTCTCTTGCTTTCCTAGCCTTCGCCAACCTCACTTCCAAAGGAATTTGCGACGTCGAATCAACTCCACGCTTGACTGCCCGTGACTCAACAGTTGGATCATGACGGTTGGATGAATGAGCAGACCTCCCACATCGACCTCCACTCTTCGACTGGTGCAAACGACCCGAACTTCGGGGAGGAACATCCGCATCTCTTTGTCTTTCAACAGGTGAGCTAGATCGCGCACAAACCACTTCGCGGAGCAGATCATGATCTCCAAGCTCGTCAGCAAGAGGCTTAAGGGGAGCATCCCTTATGTTGCGCATACCGCCAATCTTCTTGCTGTCTGCACCAACAAGATGCTTGACCCTGGCAGATGAGGCGGGAACAACTGTGAAGACCCGTATTTTAAAATATATATAAATATATATTGGTTATATTTTTAATTATCTTGGTACATAAATGTAAACATTGTTGTTATAATTTTTTTTACTAATTATTATACTACTACAATAATAACTTATATATATATATAATTATTTTGTTTTAGGTGTTATACTTTTAGATTTTGTTCTTAGTTAAAAAAAAAAAAAAAAAAAAAAAATAGTAGTAATATTAGAAATAAGTTTATGTATTGCTTTTAACTTTATCTCTTCCTTGCCGACCAAGTTGAAGTGGCCTAGATAAATTGTACAAACACACTTTAAGACTCCAAGTGTCAATCTATTGAGATGACTAAGCCTTATTTAGCATGAGGTGTTGGCAAGTTGATAAATAGCTATCCTAAACTTGGAGATCAAGTTCACACGTGGTCATCACCTCTCCACCAATTAGAACAATTTGAAACCTCTTGAGTATTACTATAAATAGGACACTTCCTTTGTTTTTTTGAAAGCATTTTTTACCTGCATGAAAGTTCTTACAAAGAGAGAAGAAAAAAACGTAGAGGGAGAGAAGAAAAAACGTAGAGGGAGAGAGAGCAGTAAGGAAATTCTTGGAGGAGGTACTTAGCTTGGGTTTTCGTAATTTGGAACTAGCTTTGGAGTTAAAGTAGGGGTTTCTTGGGGGGCCTTTTTCAGAGATTGATTTAATTAAATTTCATGAGCATAATATTATACATAATACTGTTTGATTTACGTACTCTTAATTGTTTGAACAATGTGGGCATGATTATATGTACATTGGTGATATTTAAATGATTACATTGTTTTTATGAGATATGTGAACTATATAATGTCATGGAAATTATTTGGAGTTCTTGGGTTGAGAAAATAATGGTGGAAAAAGAGGGTAATGGGAGTGGTCTTTTGTGTAGTTGAGTCTAACTCTTGGCAGGTACCAGGTCTCAGGGATCCCACAGTGCACATGGTTTTTATTGGGTGATTCGGGACTGGCGAAAGGGAGTTAGACAAAATGACTAACAAAAGGGGGAATTATGGATGATTAAAATGGGTGTTAGTTCATATAAATGGGCATTCGGGACCAAGTGGTATAAGCACGGTATGGGACGTGCAGGTCTGCTTGTCCAGTTATATGAATTAACGGGATTAGATGAAGAGCATTCATGCATTGTTACTAATAATGTGAAATTTGGCTGCTTGATTATTTGTCACTTAATTTAATTATGTCAATTTATAGTAAAAAGGTTTATGTCCCTACTGAGCTGTGGTTTCGCTCACCCCCTAATAGATTTTGCAGGTACCGAACCTGAAATCTAGAGCTTGTGATGATTTTTGGCATGTCTATAGAATGTAACATAGCTTGTGGTTGAATAATGAGCTACTCTTTAAGTGAACTCTCGAGTAGTTCTAACTTGTAAAATAATGTAAAATTCTTATGGTTTCAAACGTTATCGTTTCCGCGTTTCTGCTGAATATTTTATGTGAAATATCTATTTTATTTATTTAAATGTCTTCTTCACATTTTAGTTATAGTTTGTATTCAATTCTATAATTAAGATGTGAATCACATCGTAACCCAAGGTTTTGTAAATCCAAGGGTTGGGGTGTGACAACAACTCCTACTTGGATCTTCTCAGCAGAAGGGAGCTTTGGCTTCTTTCTCAATGGAGACACGTTCCTCGCCCGTGAAGAGGTAGCTTGAGTTCTCGGAGACTTGACTTCAGCCTTCCTTTTTTGTGGGGGTTCAGCAGAGCATGCCCCTTGTTCAGCAGACAGATCATCAGGGTCCGGACCATTCTGCTTCCATCTTTCGACATCCTCGGCTAGGGGCAGACCACCGTCCTCATCCCGATACTCGCTCAACAGCCAACGCCACTCACGGAACTTTTGGGGGATGTTCAAAGAGCGGCTGACCTTAGCCATGTCAGGCTCAAGCTCCAATTTCTTGCTGATGTCATCCACTACAAGCAGAAGATAGAAGTTAGTCAGCTACGCTTCAAGAAATTCAAACAAAAATATAGCAGATAGAAGAAAAAACTGCAGAAAGACGTACAATTGCAATAGGTGAGGGGAACAAGGGGACCATCACCAACATCGCCTTCCCACTGTCCGCTGACTTCCAACACATCATCATGCCACACGTGATCTCCTTGACTAAGACTGTCAAACAGCTTGACATTGCAGTTGCGAAGTTGGGCATACTCCTTGAAGCACCTCACTTCAAAAAAATAGAAGAACTCTCACACTGTTAGCTCCAACATGAAGAAACGGCTTAGATTCTCGAAGCACATGATCGCCCGATAAACATTGGGAGTACACTGGCTCGGAGCACACCCCATGGCGCAAAACACCTCCTTGAAGAGCTTCGACAACGGGAATTTGAAGCCCAAGGAGAAGTAAAAGGGACGGAAGGTGATGATTCTCGCATTTGGATCATTCGCATCCACGCAAGGCATGTTGTCAGTCAAAGGCTTCGCCAGCTTGATATGCACATCCTCAGGAATTGCAGAAGCATAAGCAGCCCGCCACCTCTGGAATTGATCTTCATTTGTAACGCGGTGCAGGTTGGCTACAAACCTCTTCTTGTACACTTCAGAAACTCCCTACAAATACAAAGGCACCTGAGAGCTTGGAGCCTTGCTACCGTTTCTGGAAGGCATGGTTAGTCAACGAACAACTGCAAGAAGAGGAGAAAATTCCACAAGTTAGAATCCCAAAAGAAAAAAAACAAAACAAAACAAAAGGGAAAAGAAAAGCTGGCAGCAAACAAAAGGCAGCAAAAAACAAACACCGAAAAACAAGAACACCGTCAGTCCTTCCAGCCCAGCGCGAGCAGCCCGCCAGCGCACGCAGCCCAGCACACATGCGGCCCGGTTCTCCAGCTCCAGCACGCACGGCCTGCTTGCCCAGCGCAAGCCCACGACGCGCAAGGCCCAGCGCCTCTCCGCCTCTGCTCCAAATCCCAGCCCCTTTGTCTCTTTGAGCTTAGCACATGTGCCAGGCCTGCATCACGCCAACTCTAGCCCAGGCCAGGTAGCTCCAAGACCAGCATGCGCCTCATGCTCCATTTGATTCCAGCGCGAATTCTCCAGCTTTTGTCACCATATGCACGAACTTGCAACCCATGCTGGACCACCTCCTTGCTGCCAAAAATCAGAAAAAAAAATATATATGTGCATATATATTTTCACGAGCTCGACTTACTTTGGATGCACGGTAATTCCTCTCTTCAACAAAGCAGTACAAATTCTCTAAGATCTTTCTCAAGCTAGAAGGTAGAGAAGTTAAGTTTGTGATGTGAGAAAGAGTGAAGAAAAGCCCTATATTTATACAAGTTGGACAACCCAGGTCAAGGAGGGATCGCAAGCTTATTACTACTGGGAATCCAACTCCAACAATAGTCAAAAGCCTACACCAATTGGAAATCTGATCTGCAAAGGAGTCCAACTCACATAATAAAGCCCAAACACAGTTGGAGAGCCCGAAAAAAAAATATATAAAAATAATTTCATCTCCTCCATGCCACACAAGCGCCATGCAGAAGTTGGGGGGCATTTGTGGGAGCATATTTTCGTCTCCAATCGCAGCGCGCCACGTGGAAAAGAAGATTATCTCTTTTAATTAATTAATTGAACCAATTTATCTGGCCAATTAATTAATTGGGATAAATATCTTAATTAACATGATATTATCTTTATTTAATAAGATAATATCATTAATTAAGATATTATCCTAATAAAGAGAAGATAATGTCATTATCTCATATATTATCTCCATAAAAAGAGATAATATCATTTAATTAAGATATTATCTCCATAAAAAGAGATAATATCATTAAATCAGATATTATCTCAGTCCAACTCGATCCCTACGAATTTGGGTAGAGAATAAACTCAGCATATTCTCTACGAAACCCTAGCCCCGAGGCTCCTATAAATAGATGACCTCATTCATCATTCAAGGTACATCTAAACCTACTCCTTATACCCGAGAAAAATACCCGAAGCTCTTTCTCCCTCTCCACTCTCCATATTTTCTCCATACGGCTCCGGCCACCACACACGGCTCCGGCCGCCCGGTTCACACCCTACATAAACACTACTTCGTACCCTTTGCTTAGCTATTGTTTTTCTACAAACACTTGAACTAACTTAGGCATCGGAGGGTCTTTGGCCAACATCCCCCGGATGTGGTCTATTTACTCCAATCTGTTTTACAGAAATCGAGGAAGAGAGAGAAGGAAGATCAAAGGTTGAAGGATCCATAAGCGAATATTCTCCCGTGAGATTATTTGCACAAACACCGTTGATTTCGGTCATATTACCGTACGCTTGCTTAGGAAGTTATGTCTTGGTACTTCCAGGAAGACAATGTTTGAATCAAGTATTGTATTTGAATGATTTACCGTCTAATTCGGATAGGCTCTTTATAGTTAGTCTCGTCTTGGTGTTATGTGGGGGTATTATGAGGAAGTTGTTTATGTTTGTCATGAATTTGGTAATTGAAAACTTGAACAAGGTTGTTATTGAATGTTTTACCGTCTAAGTTGATTGTCCCTGGTGACTAAATTGAGAGCTCAAATCCATGACAAAAACATGTTTCTAAAGGGCAGGGTCCCACTTTTATGCTAATTTGGACTCTAGTGTTTTTTTTTCGGTCTGAAGGTTTGGACTCTAGTTTATGCGCTTCTCGGTCAGACAAAAAGGACATTTAGAAATCAGATGCCCAAGAAAACAGCAACGCAATTGCACAGGAAGCTAGCCATTAATTGTTGAGTGAGGAACAAAGGGTGTGGAGTAGGTCACACCTCTCCAGCCCATTAGGCCATTTCCAGTCATGGGCTATATCCCAAATATAGCTCTAAAATAATGCAAAACTCATCTCAAGTCATTGGCTAAACAAAATTAGGGCAACATTTGGCCCTTTAGCCCTCCAACCAGGACACATTAGTCCAGCTTTGGCCTAGGCCAAATTTTTTGTGGGCCCCATGCATGTGCTTTTGAAGAAGATAAATTATCAAGTGTGTGGGCAAGAGCATGAATCATCTCGTGCAAATGCATATCCAACAACCAACAATAAAAGCGCTGACGTAATTGACATATTTTTAAAAGCCTTTTTAAATGTTTTCAATTTGTGTTGTTTAAGAAAAATTTTAAAAAAAATTATTGGTCATGACCGTTGGAGTTTAGACCATTTAACCCCAACCTTTTTTCTTTTTCTTTTTTTTAATGTGGTCACCTTTTTAAATGTTTTCAATTCGTAAAAAAAATTATAAAAAATTACTGGTCATGACCGTTGGAGGTCAAACCATTGAAACCCATCCTTTTAAAAATAAATAAATAAATAAATGTGGTCATCTTTTTAAATGTTTTCAAGTGTTTTAAAAAAAATTATAAAAAATTATTGGTCATGGAATATTGTCTCTAAATAGTAGTTTAATTAAATTAAACAATACATAGTTGTGGAATGTATGAGTGTTGTACCATAGTTTTTCTCAAAATAATAAAATATGTGTTTGGGCCTAAATTGGCACACCTAGTATGAGGAAGTAAAAGCCCATCTTGGTTCTTGGCAGCCACCAACACTTCTTTGAAATTGGGCCATAAATACACATTCAGCCCAAAGCATTGAAGGCCCCAGTACAGAATCTACCCGAAAGATGAAGACTTGGGCCTTGAAAAAAGGGAATCAGCCCATATATATAGCCTAAAAAAACTAGGCCCGGCATAAATAAACCCATAAATCAGAGACAGACCCACGTGACTAAATCTGAACCAAAAACTTTGAATTGTCAACAAATTCAACTGGGGTTGACAAAAGCAAACAACTAAGAGGAGACATCTCTGGAGCTCTACCATCATAAGATCAAAATCCCTTTTTAATATTTAGGGATATTGATTTCACTCCAAAAAAGGGACTATCTTTCAAGAGATAAGCAAACTTCAATCTCAGAAAAAGATAAGCAAGAAACAGGGAGTAGTTCAAAATGGGAAATCAAACTAACCATCACGGTTTGGATTCTCACAAAGGCGCAGTTGGAATTTAAGAAGGATTAGGTTCTCTTTCAAGAAAAACAGGGGAGTGATTGCCTCTGAACTGACTATTGAGAGCCCATTTGCCAGAATTGATAAAACCCCCCTTTCTTTACATTTGAAAAATGAAAGATCTTGTTTGGGAAATTACTGCCCATTATTTAAAAGAAAGAAACCCTACTCTAAAGCATTTCTTATAAATATAAGAGGGAGTGAACAGGGCAAAGGACAATCAATCTGACACTCAATTCATCAATCAAACAAACAACAATAAATCAACCAAAAAGCTCACTCAAACTCCAAGAGAAACCAGCTTTAGATCAAAATTCCTAGAGTTCAGACTTAGAAAATAAGTCATTTAAAACGAGATCTCTCTCGTTACAAATTTGGTTCAGCAAAAGCCAAGACAGGCAGAGTTTGAGTTTTTCCCAAACATGAAAACCTCAACAAATTTCACAGTGCAGTCCTTAGCGCACTGAGTCCTCAAGAACAGCCACTTCTGCCCTTTCAGACTGAAGAAGCCGCAGTTCTGCCCATTCAAAAGCCTCACAAAGCTTGAAGTAGATTAAAGCTCTGCCAAAATTGAACTTTGGTATTGATTTACAGCTGAAGCTTAGCAGTTGAAGTTGTTGACAGTTCAGTCCAGCCCAGACATATCCAGTCCAGCCCGGATCAGAGCCCTCTATCCAGGCAGAAATGGAGTTCCAATTGTCTTTTAATCTTTCTAGCGTTGATATGTATGTTTATAATTTTGTAAAGGGCAATTCTGCCTAAAACAGTCCAATTTCTATCAACCATTCTGGCCAGAACAACCGTTTTTATACTTAGATAAATTATGAAAGTCCTCACCAGTCTGAGGCATGAAAAGAACTTACTTGGGAGATATTCCTCACCCAAATGCACAATCGTTTGTTTTAGAAATCAGTAACTTGGGGCACAAGTTATCTATTCTAGAAGAAGTCTGCTAGAATCTTCATTGCTAGCAGTGGCACGCTCATACACCAAAGAAAGCTGACTTGTTGACTAGTCAATGGTTTTCAAGGTAGTGGGGAACTTTGCCCTTCCATATCAAGAGTAAACACAAAACGGGTGAACAATATAAAGGACCCTAAAATATAGCCCTGCATGGATGGAGATGGAAAAATTTAGCCATTTACTATTCTTTAAAAAATTAATATTTTGGAGGGCTAAATATTTAGTCTTGGACTACATTTAGCCCTATGACTGGAGATGACCTCAGTTCACTCCACTTGCTTTCTCTCTCCTTTCTTGAAAAGCTTTGGTGCGGCTCCTCCCCATGTGGTTCTTCCAACATCTTTTATCATTTGTTTATTTTTATATACTTACCATTTTCCAACTTATATGGTATTAATATCAATACATATTCACTTACTCATATGACCATATTCCATTTTTCATCTTTTATATTATAACATATAAGTTATACGATATGATTGTACTCTAATGTACCGTTGTAATTACTTATGTTTTAGTTTTTTTTCTTCTTTATAAAATGATATTTTAAACTATTCTAATGTACGAAAAAGGGAATTGAACTCAGATGCAAGAAGGTGAACGTAATACCCCAACTAGCAATACATGTAATTTCATTAAAAAGAAAATCAAAGCGTATTCACCCCTGCAGCGTGTTAATATTTAACCATTTGTCCAGTTGACATATTTATGGAATTGTACTGAACTACAAGAATTAAAAATGCAATTGGGCATTTTGTCCATCTGGATTGTTCAGAGATTATCAATAACTAGTACCTGGCCTACATTGTTCAACCCACCTCTACTAAAAAGGAACCACACAAACAAAAATAAAAAATCGTTGTCTGAACACTGCAGTGAATAACAAAATAAGAAATTAAGGTCAAGGTTCATAGCTGTGAACAAGAAATTAAGCTGCTTCTTGAGGCTGAGCACCTCGACTCCTTCTGTCGCTAACTGCTCCTTTAGGTTTTTTTGAAGCCTCCTCAAACTTCTTGTTCATGTGATCGGACTCGTCTCATGTTTCTTTATATCTCCTTCGCCTTCGAAAGGTATCTAACCTTGCTTGTCCCAGGTTATTATTTAATAATGATCAGCCGAATATTAAAAGCTTTTGTTTTTTTTTCTTCTAAAACTTCTTTATTATCAGAATTTCAGAATGCTTTGTCTTGCTCAGATTAGGTCAAGAGAAGGTCTTGGACGCACCTGATCATGGCCACAGATTAGGTCAAAAAAATTACAACATAATACATTACGTATATTTTATTTGGGTCTGAAGAAATTAAAAAAAATAAAAACTATTATATTAGGCACCAGCACCAGGGACTATCATCTTAGAAGGTAAACCATTCAAGTTTTCAATTACCAAATTCATGACAAATATTGTCATCCTCAAAGTACCCAGAAACAACTTCCTCAAAAAACCCACACATAACACCAAGACAAGAGACTGTCAAGAGCCTATCAGCTGCCAAACTCATGACATCTTAAGCGAGCGTAATGCGTAACGTAACATGACTGAACTCAACGGTACCGACGAAGGGAGAGGGTGGTGTTTCTCTTCCAAGTTGCTCTGCGAGACGGTCGTGCCTTGTGGTATAGGTGTCCCTTTCCACGCAATCCCCTGCACTTCTTTCCAGCCGAAGTCAGTCCACGAAGCTCCCTGTGCTTGTGAACAGGATTGCAGAGCCAGTTGATTCTTGGGTCATTTCGAATAGCATTATGAGCAACATCAACCAGGATTACCTCGAAGTACTTGTAGGTCGAATCCTGCACCCATATAGATAGATTAGCAAAGAAGAATAAGCAAGTACATCACCATGAAATAAAACTACCACCGAACCGGCACAAAAAAGAAAGAAAAAGCAAAACAGGTACTGCAAACCAAGTACAAGAATATATAGAAGTAAGAACTGAGTCACCACCTCATTGATCCAGTATGAATTCAGAACCCTAAGGCCTGCCAATTTACGGCCAGCGCGCTCCTCGGCAACAGACCTCAAGCTGCGTTGAAACTTCAGCTGTGTCACACCTTTGGTTTGTGGGCTTCCCATATACAATACCCTTGGAAACAGGCCTCTTGCGACCGCCACGCTTTACACGGACACGATAAACAACGTAACCCTGAAACACATTTTACTACAACAATCAGCTAGAAGATCATAACCTACTTAACTTAAACATGGCTGGGGAACAAAAGGCACATGAAAAAATAACATGTAAAATAAACAAAATATCATATCCAGACTGAAATAATGCACTTTATCGGATCAGGATAAAAGCAAGAGTCATCGAGAGATCTCCCTAGGTAGATGAAAATTGTTTGGTTTAGTACAGCATCAAAATGCTGCTTCACGTCCACTGGATTGGGCCTACTGGGGAACAACACACAAAAGGAAATACGCAGGCTCACTGAAACATTAATATCTAATTATGTATCATTAAGCAATGCATGAAAATTATAGACCCCTCTATAAACATAATTTCAACAATGAGTTGCGTCTAGGATGCGATCCATGAAATTATATATCATTACCTGCTTGGCCTTGTAACCCAAAAGACGAGCCTTGTCAGGGCGTGTGGGTCTTGTGACTCGGACAATTGAAGGATGCTGGCGATATTCCCAACAGCGCACCCTCTGGACAAACCTCATCACATCAGATTGCTTCTTCCTCCATAACTCCGTTGGATACTTGTAAAATCCTAGTATCACCAAAACAGAACAAAACCAAAGTTATATAATAGATCATTGTTGAAGGAAATGTCTGTGATATTTAAAACTAACTGCATCTCTTCACAGTCTCAAACAGTATCTTTTAAGTGCGTCTCAACTATAAAATAATGTGATTAATTTCGTGGAAATCAAACAAACATAACTTTAGTCATGTACTACACCAAATCAAATACTACCAGCCTTGAAATGTTGCCTAAAAAGTGTAGGACAAAAGCAAAAGAGAAGAAAAGATTTTTTGTTCCCGAATTTTCATCTTTCACAACCATGGAAAACCAACAGCCTCAGTCACCGAAGCATCAGACAAATACCAACCCAGTTACAATAAAGTGTCCATTTATATCGAAATTCAACCTTTATTTGTCTGCTTTCATTAGCCATTACTGGGATTTACAAACCAAATAAACGCTAGGCGCACAACATTCCTAAAAATCAAATGCATATAAAACAGATTCGGATAAAGTGTCACTGAAAACGCGAGAGAGAGAGAGAGAGAGAGAGGTACCCATTGTATAGCAATGAGCTACAATGCTCAGGCTTCGGCAGTGGGGCTAGGGCTTTCACCACGCAGAACTAGGGTTTGTGAAGAAAGCAGAAATTTATAGTGTGGTGGAAGTGGTCGTGGACTTCTAATCTGGGCCGTCCATTTCCTACGAAACCCTAATATTAAATGGTCCCGAGACGACGGCGTGTCGCGTCCCAAAGAAACGACAGCGTCTTTTTTGGCTCTTAAATCAATGAACCCAAAAATCTTGGAGCCCAAATCCATGACAAAAACATGTTTCTAAAGGGGCCCACGGGTCTCTCACGTTTTGGATTTTGGCTCTATTTTTTTTTTTTTTTTTTTTTTTTTTTTTTTTTTTTTTTTTTTTTTTTTTTTGGGGGTGGGTGGGGGGGGGGTTTTGGTGTGAATGGGTTTTTTTGGCTGTAGTTAGTTTATGCGCTGCTCAGTCAGACAAAAAGGACATTTAGAAATCAGATGACCAAGAAGACAGCAACGCAATTGCACAAGAAGCTAGGCATTAATTGTTGAGTGAGGAACGAAAGGGTGTGGAGTAGGTCACACCTCTCCGCCCATCAGTTCACTCCACTTGCTTTCTCTCTCCTTTCTTGAAAAGCTTTGGTGCGGCTCCTCCCCATGTGTTTCTTCCAACATCTTTTATCATTTGTTTATTTTTATTTTCTTACCATTTTCCAACTCATATGGTATGAATATCAATACATATTCACTTACTCATATGATCTTCCTACATTTTTCATCTTTTATATTATAAGACGTAAACAAGTTATACCATATGATTGTATTCTAATACACTGCTGTAATTACTTATGTTTTACGTTTTTTTTTGTTTTTTTTAATTATAAAATGATATTTTAAACTATTATAATGTATGAGGAAGGGAATCAAACTTAGGCGCAAGAAGGTGAACAGACTAGGCCTGAGCAAGGATCAATTTGTAACGGTAGATGGCTCTTCCGTTATCCAAACTAAAGACTTCGGTAAACTTCGAATCGATTCACCTAACATTCGGTTAGGATTGGTTCGGTGGGCCGATAGTATTGTAATAAAAACATACTAAATATTAATAAAAATACAATTTATAATAATTTCACATAACATAAATTCTTGAAAAAATACAATAAATTATTCTTGTTAAAATATAAAAATCCAATAGTGTAATTCATTCAAATACGAAATCAAATAACTTAGTTTTAAAGTTACAAACGAACATGAAAAATACATTATATTAAGAAAAGAGGCCCTAGTAATCTTCAACCCAAATATGATTACCATACATATACACTATATATTGTCTAAAACTCTATTACCATATTAACTATATATTGTCTAAAACTCTATTACCATATTAAGGACATAGTAAGTTCTGTTGTGAGAGATGTCTGATGAGATAGATCAATTGACCATATATCTTTAAAAATAAAAAAATAATAAAAATAAAAGTATACAAAGCTGTAATTTATTAATGCGAGCAAGCTACTTGGGACCATATGTGATGTCTTTATATGAACCCAAAAGTAACAGAACACGAGGGTACAAGATCGTGCATCTGTTTGCGTTTATAATGTAACCATGCATTTTCTATAATGTAATCATGCATCTGGCTTTCTTCTTTGTTTACCTCAAAAAATTTGAAGCCATGATCAAGGAATATACATTGTCTATTATAGAAAATTCATGTGCTTCAGAACCTGGCGATGATGACAAAACAAAGGAGCAATTAACTTCATGCCAATCACAGCATTGTATTTATTTATTTCACCAGTTTTACAAGTCAATAGGCCACTAGTAAGTTGACACGTGTATATTAGTATTTATAAAATAAAATAATTATAAATATCATATCGATACGGGTTTTTATCGAGTTTGGAATATTGTTACCCGTTAAACAAACCAGATATTTCAGTATGAATCAAATTGGAATAATTAAAATTACAAATTAATCATTTACCCAAATCAATCTATCGATACGCGAATAATTCGGATGAGATGCCCACGCCAACTAACAATACGTGTTCTTTCATTAAAAGGAAAATCAATGCATATTCACCGTTGCAGTGTTCATCACGTGTTGCCACATCATATTTTTCCATTTGTCCAGTTGACATATTTGTGGGATTGTTCTCAGCCACAAGAATTAAAAATGCTATTGGGCATTTTGTCCATCTGGATTGTTAAGAGATTATCAGTAACTATACTACCTGGCCTAAATTATTCAAAAAGAACCACAAACAAAAATAAAAAAAACGTTGGCTGAACACTGCAGTGAATAACAAAATAAGAAATTAAGGTCAAGGTCAAAGTTCATAGCTGTGCACAAGACACTCATTCCTACTAACTTATATATTTTCATTAAATAGTACACAAGACACAAATAATCATGCTTTACAACTTCTTGATGAATTTTTGTTCATAACCCCTTTGCAGCAAGCTCCTTCTTGAGGCTGAGGACCTCGACTCCTTTTGTCGCTAACTGCTCCTTTAGGTTTTTTGAAGCCTCCTCAAACTTCCTGTTCATGTGATCGGATTCGTCCCGTGTTTCTTTGTATCTACTTCGAAAGGCATCTAACCTTGCTTGTGCCCCTCGAAGCCTCATTCGAAGCTTTGCCTTCTCTATGCCGTTTTCAACTTGATCCTGTTTGAAGTATACCAGGCCAAATTAAAGACTAAACAAAAGAAAGAATTATTACTAGGGACGGTCTTTTTCTTTTTCTTTTTTTCATTCTTTTCTGAAAGGAAACAACTACTTGGGACAGTTCTAAATTTGTGAATTCTGACAACTCCAGATGAAAAGTTTTTACTTCCCTTTTTTATCTTTTGTGGCAGAAATTTTGACACCGTTTGGAGAGCGTATCCAAGCGTGGATCTTATTATCCAAACTGCTATTTAACCAAAACCTATCAAACCCAATTGTTAAAGCTGCAGCTGCGCATCTATTGGTCATGCCCAGAAAGATGAAAACTACGTTGCATAACAAACGAAAGTATACAAGCACTTACTTTGTGAATCTTAAGCTCCATGCTTGAAATTCTCCTTGTCAGTTCCTCCACTTGAAACTTTGCCTCCATTAACTGGTAGTAAATTCATCAATATTTGAAACGACTCAAACAATTTAGGTGCCAATGAGAAAACAAGGACTTTTCAGTGACCTACCAAGTCATTGTAACGTTTATTGAGACTTTCTTCTTCAATTGCATGTTTCTGCTGCTCTTCGATCTGAGTCACTAATTTATCCTTTTCCTTTGACATAACACAGAGCTGGTTGTTCAGACTCTGTAGACAACATGCAATCAATCAAACAAATGGAAAAAAATTCTGAAAAAATAATGTTAGTTCCTTCCTCAATATTACTGAACTTCTCTCCCTGACCATTATATCCTGGTGCGTAGAGAACAGAATGGAGATCATACCTGGTAGTCATTTGAAAGTTCTGACAACTCTCTTATTCGAGTCAACAAACCTTCTCTTTCTTTACTCAGAAAGCTGAGCTCCTTCCGAAGCATATTCACTTCCTCGCATTGATGAATTCCGCACATCTCTGAATTTGAGCTCAACATCTAAATGGTTTATAAAGTAAAAGTTAAAAAGCCGTGAATACCAATCATTGCATTTTGTGTAATAACCATACAATATTCTGAGCTAAAGCAAATAACTCACTTCTTCAGACCGTTTGCTCAGAGCGCCAGTTATATTTTTGTCATTATTCACTTGATCAATCTCAAAAGACTTCTCCATGCTACAACAGAATAAGTATAATAAAATAACAATGTTTTGGTCTTCCAGAAATTCATGACTTTGATATTAATATTCAAGATATTCTAATAAATCTAGCAGCAAAGAAGATTCAATAAAATGACAACCTAATAAATCCAGCAGCAAAGAGCAGAAAGTAATTTTTATAATTAGATAACAATTTGTGACATTATCCCAAAAACGTACTACAAATCTATCCCATCTTTGGATATTCTTTTAACATTTTCCGACAGTAAAGAATTATGGAAAATTTATCCTAAGCCTAATCCCCTAAAAGGACTAACAAACCTTGAAAGGTGAAAACATGAAAGATCACAATATACCTATCAGACGACCATTGAATACCAAAAGCTAGAGTTTTTGGGAATTAAATTAGAGGTCCATATAATTGCTTAATTCAGCGAATGATAATATGGCCAGAATTATTCCAAAGTAAAAATTAAACATGCATTGCCGCTAATGGTATATAAGACCAAATAATATAAAAGAAGATATCAGTTTACGGAGAAACAAAGGGGAAAGGAAACTGATGCAAACCTGCACGTCTTCTGTCCCGCCATTTCCTCACAAGAAGTTAATCTTTCCCTAAGGACCTTGCATTCTTTTCTACAAGACTCCAATTCATTTCTCACCTTACATTTTGACATAATCATAATCAGGTTAAGCAGATACCGCTATGAATAATCAAGTAACAAATATTGTTGTTTTAAACATTCTATATCACAAGTAAATGCATCCGAAACAGGTAAAGACCAACTACACTATCTAGACAAAATGGTGATAACAGATCTTTCCTATTAGTCAAACAGGGGAAATGAAATTCATATTTTCAGACAAGCAATGTGGATGAAGAGATATCTTTTGTGATACCACAACCAAAGATTCAGCCTTAGAAGTTTCAGCAGGAGATAATCAAACTGAGGGTGATACAATAAGGTCAATCCCTAATCGCCAAATTCACTCAAAGAAAGAAGGATGTGCATCCCCCTCAATTTCCTTTCGAATTGAAATTTTCGGCAGATAACAATTTGAAGAATGGCAAGCAAACTCTTCACGATGTACACAAACCTCACCTCTGACATTTCCCGTGATAATGATGTAATCTCTATGTTGTATACCTTTGATTTCTCTTCTATGGCTTCAATGGAAGCCTTCTCCTTAGCTGACCATATTGCTCTTTCCTCCTCCATCTCCAAAAGGGAATCTGTAAGTTGCTGCCAGCCAAAGATACAATCAAATGAGCAACTTTGCACCAAGAAACACACAGGTTAAAAATTCAACTACAGATTGATGTTTTTAATTTATAATTCAGGAAAAGACCCAAAACTAGTCTACCATCGCCAAGTCTTCCTTTTCTTCAGTGAACATTTTAATGGAGCCTTCCATCTTTTGCTGCTCAAATTCAGATTCTTCCAGCCTCTGTTTCTGAATATACAGATAAATGACAATGAAAAATTAAAACATTCGCACAAAAAAAGCAAACTAGCAAGTTATTTTTATAAATGAAAGTAGAAAAAGACTTAGGATAGTGTGAAAGAGAGAAATGCGGACTAGCTTACCAGGGCCAAAAGCTCTTCCTGCAATGCTTCAAGTTCCAAGTTTGATGTACTCAATTTTTCAGACAGGTTTTCTAGTTCAGATGCTAAACCTTCGCTAATCGACACAGCATCTTCTTTTTCCCTGTATACAGCTGCTAACTCTTCTTCTAGAGAAGTCATCTTTGTTTCCATTTCAAAAACATAAACTTCCATCTTTTTGTATTCTTCCTGAAAAACAAGAAAAACAAAATAATAGAGTTGCCATCATTGAATACTAAATGAGGCTCAAAAAGCTTAAGCAAAGTAGAATAACAACTAGGACCATAAAACATAACAAGTAAAATTCTAATTTTACTTTAATATCTTAACAAAATATTAACTATCAAGTCATTCTCTCTTCAGCAAGAAAATTAGTTTCTTTCAGTATAAGTATCTCTTCACATCAGCGTATGGACATTTACAGCTAAAATAACTTGCATGCAGCATAACAAATTTTATGCAGGATAGTAATGGAAAAAAGCTTATAAAACATTGTCACCACCTGCAATGTCTGTTCAAAAGCAAGGTTTTTTGTTCTTTTAGAATCAGACATAACTGAATCACGCCTTCTACCAGCAAGTGAGTCACGCTTGTTCATGTCACGTTCAAGAAGAGAGTTCTGACCGTGCAATCGTTTTATTTCTCGTTCGGCAGAAGCTTTTTCACCCTGCAAATGAGCGAATATGTTTGTGAAAGCGAAAGGTTGTGTTTGGATGATATCAATGACTGAAGAAAAAAAAAGTATAAAGCTCAAACCTCCAGTTTGGTCTTCTCTTGTATGGCATTCTTAAGCTTAAACTCAGTCTCTTTCAACTTCATTCTTGTTTTCTCAACATCTTTTCTCAAACTTTCCTTTTCCTTAGCCAAAGAACAAGATGATAAACCTGATATTTCCTTTTCAAGAACTTGCATATAAGAAAGATATTCTCCCTTTTCCAAATCCTGTTGTTCCAGAAGTTCCTGAAATAAACTACTATCAATGAAAGGATTTTACTGGTTACTAACAGTGATAAGCATATTAATACTAACATACAAGCTTACCCTCAAGGACTTTTCGGAATTTTGAGCATCTAGTTTCAGTTCCTCTATCTGGTTCTGAAGATCAACTGTTTGATTGTGCAGAAGGCACTGCATACCAGATAATAATACAGCACCAAAAAATGTCAATGTGGTCAAGAAGTAAATAGATTTCAGGGTCTTTCAAATAAGTATTGTTACAACCAAACCTTTTCATTCTCAAGTTCAGAAACTTTTTCCATCAGGTACGAGTTTAACTTCTCGTGGTTACTGATAATATTCTTTTGTTGTAAAGAGAAATGGCACATTGAAGTCTTGAAATCCTACATTACAAAGAAGTCAAGCCACTAGATGGTGAGAGAGAATACAAGCATTTATAGAATAAAGACCCGCAGAGGCTTCAGAAAATAAATTAAATGAACCTCAGAGATAACTTCTTACGACATCAGCAAGCAATATCTTTAGAATACTAGCTGTAAGTAAGAAAAGCCATTAGGAGCTGATGTTTCGAAAGTACTCACTAGGAACGTATCAAATAGCACAGAGAAACTCTTAGAGCCCTCGTCCAGAAGTGAAGATACACTTTCTATTGCTATTTCTGAGCTTTGAACTTCCAACATTATTTCTCGGACTTCGTTTGCAAGCTTGATCACCAAGTCAGAACTTTTGTCCTATACAAGATATTAAAAGTTAGCTGCACAGACTTTGAAAGAGAACATGTACACTCAACCAAACCCTATATTTACAAACACCATAAAATATGTGAACAATAGATAAATAATGACTTGCCGCAGAAATTAACACAAAGGAAGGAGATCATACATCCACTTTTGCTACAGATTCGTTCCAAGGATGCCACGAGCAACCCTAGCCTCCTCACGTGCAATTAGAAGCTCTTCATAGAGCTAAGGGACATCAAACAATAAGAGACAGTAGTACCATCTTCATAAAAGATAAAACAATGGAAGTGAAAGAAATGACGGTTCTCTGGATCTTTCTAAAAGAGAAAACAGAAAGCAGCAAGTGGGCAGGCTTGTACATACATAGATGGAAACTTTAAACAAATACAACACTTTGACTTGATATGCTAATAGAAAGGTTTATTTCAAGGCTATATAGAAACTTGGCTTCTGTGACAGGAGAACATACGAGAGACTTACACCTTAAATAAAAAACCTAAAACAAATCATTTTCCTGTTGAGACATTAAAAATGTATCCTGAAACGGTATTCATAGTCAAAATTCATACATACATATATACAGAGGTATGTTGAATAGTCAAATATATATATGGAAGCATGTTGAACAGTGGGGGTCCTGATCATGCACACATGTGAGTGACACATGTATATAATGGACAAACACTTACACACACCCTCTGTGTGTGTCTAATTCGGTTAACTGCAAAAATCTAAACACACACACACACATATATATATATATAGAGAGAGAGAGAGAGAGAGAGAGAGAACGCAAAATTTTCTGTTAAAAATGAAGCCTGCTTGTATGGAATAAAAAAAGTATTGTTAACCATTTTCTTTTCCTGCGTTTCTTATTAAGGTGGATGGCCATAATAAGCTTAGAATCTTAAAAGATTGCATTCAAAAAAAAAAAAAAAAAAACAGAAAAAAAAAAAAGACTGCAACTTGATTGTTCAGTGCAATTATCGGCATAAATGTTTAAACCTGCTAACACCCTAAAAAGTCTTGAATAAGTGATGAAGCTCCAGGTAGATTAAATCTATTCACATGCTTATATATCACAACCGACTAACACAAACCACGATTACCTCGCCAAACTTCTCCCTGGCACATATGTTCTGCTCTGTTGCCAGGTCAACTACACTATCCAGATTCTGCTGGCTTGAAGACTTCTCCATTTCTAGCATCTTAATCTGCAAGTCGAGGACAAACAATAAATGACAAAAATGTCAAAATGAATAAGCAAAGCAATAAAAATAGCAATAACTACATACTGAATTTTAAAATTTGCAAAGATAATAAATAAATAATAAATAAAACAAGAAAGAATATCAGAAAACAGGTTCATATGAAAAAATAAAACAAAAGAGTAAGAGGACAACCTGTTCTTGAAGTCGCTTAATCACAAGAATAGCCTCCGACTCTCTTAAACTAATGTTATTGTCCCCATTAATGGTACCTTTATCGAGATAAGATGTGAAGTAGTCATTATACATTGCTCCAGAAAACATATCAGCCTCAGCAAGCTTTCGTGTCAAGCATTCAATTTGTATCTCACTCAAAGTTCTCTGTATGAGGTAATGATTAGTATAGAATGCAAAAAGGTTTGCTGATATATTGAGGAACAGAAACAATAAAATATACGAACCTGAGTTTCAAATTTTATAAGCAAATCTTCATATTCTGCTTGCAAATCTACTAAATCATTGTCCTGCAAGATTATGGAGATTAAAAAATGCGGATTGCCAAAAGTTCAGAACAGAAAATGTAATGAAAAAATGTACAAACCAGGGGTAAGCTTTTCTTCCTGGGTGGCACTTTTCTCCTGTTCGTAACATGTAATAAAGCACATGGATCGGGAAGAGCAGAGTCATCCAATGTGATGTTTTTACATTCTTCATCTTCTTTGCAAGACTCATTCTCGGCAACTTCAGTCTCATGCACCAGTTCTTGAAAAGGAAGAAGTGGTCCAACATCACGCATAGGTCTCACAGTTTTTGCCACAGATGCCTTCGATTGGATGGTGGATACCACCTAAAAATGCAGCAAAGTAAAAATAGCTGAAACTTGTAACATATCTGATATGACATGGTCAGAAAAAGTTTAGAGACCATATCAAAAAAGATAACAAAAGTACTTAACAAGTATTTCCAGCAGCCTGTCTCCTGTCTTGTTATCTAGAACTAGGCAATATAACAGTCACGTAGATATACTTAATACGTTTGCACATTATAATCCAGCCAGATGAAAGAAAAGCATGAAGCCATATGAAAGGCTCAACAAAATGTAACATTCCAATTGCTGAAGATTGGCTGCAGATGCCATTTTCCTTATTTCCAGCTTTAGTTTAGGGCCACATCCATCATATGCAATGCGGTGTGGATAAAAAGATAGAGAAACTGATGAGAGAATTTCCATGGGAAGGGATGCTGGAGGGGGAAAAGAGATTATTTGGTCATATGGGATGTGGTATCTCAAGTGAAGGAGAAAGGTGATGTAGTACAGCCCGTAGGTATTAAATTAATCACTTAACAATCGAACAGAGAAGAATATAAGAGACGAGGAGAAGAACTATAGGTCGAAAAGACGAGACAAAGGGCAGAAACAGTAGAACAAAGAAGAATATCGGAGGTCGAGGAGAAGAAAATATAGATCGAAGGGACGAAATCAGAGAGTTCTAGGAAAAGGTTTACTCAACATTCAAATCTAAATTTTAAAGAACTACATGGGGGTATTTATAGCAAACTAAAACCTAGACATAACAGGATAAAAATCCCTTGCTTAAACAGAAATTCTAACCCAAATAAAATAGGAAACTTAAAACTAGAAATCTGGAAATCTGGAAAAGTAGAAATCCTACTAGAATTTGGAAAACTAGAGAATCTAGGAAACTAACAAATACATTAGAAAACTAATAAACTTAGGTCCTACGCGTCCTGCATCAAAAGGGGGTTGGCAGTTGGGCCAATTTGGTGAAGGGAAATGAGGCACTACTGGGAAAATGGTTGTGGAGTTTCACGGGGAGAGAGAAAGCCTGTGGTATGCTATCACTAAAAGCAAATATGGGCTGCTTGAGAATGCTTGGTATTGGAATATAAGCTGTTTGCTGCATCAAATTGATTCTGATTGAAGAGTTGACTTCCTTGATTAGCTTAATTGTTAATTGATTAGATCAGTTAATAAAGATGAGGCTAATTTGTATTTCTGACTTTGTGTCTTGGATTTTTATTCAAACACCCTTTGTACTCAAGTAATGCGACACAATTTTATTTCAATGAGGTATCACACCTATGTCCAGTGGCCATCTTGTCCAAATTTCTGTAGAATTTCGTTTTCCTTTAATGAAACTTTGCTTCCTAACAATAAACAAAGAAGAATTGTGTAGTTGTACAGTTTGAGAAGATTGACGTTCCATGATTGTATCTTCTGGTGAATTCTTGTTTGTTAAGCTTTGTACTCATTTCAATCGTAGTGAAATTGTGTCTCAAAAAAAAATTACATTTCTATTAAGTACTCAACAACACCATACAATTTTTTTATTTTGCATTTGAAATAAAATAGAAACACAGTATGCATGCAATATAGAAACATATGTACAAGAATAAATCTGTTTTGTATAGATTAAAAATTGGAACTTACAAGTAAATGAAAGATGAAATGAAGTAATCATATACACTTCGCAGGAATAAAGTATTACCTCTCCCTGAGTCTCCCTTGTAAGATTACCTGGGACACCAAGTATCACGCCTCTTCTCCTGCAGCAACAAACAGGAAAACTTAACGAGAACCAGAGGGAGAGAGAATGAGAGACAGACAGACAAAAAACAAGGAGGGAAGAGCTAGAAGGGATTATATAGGTAATAAAAACAGAGGGAGAGAGAACAAGACAGACAGACATAAAAAAACAGGGAGGGAAAAGCTAGTAGGATTATACAGGTGAGAGGATTAGCAAGTAAACCATAAACACAAGTTATAGGTGTAGATGGTCAGGAAACTGTCACTCTCAATATGGGAATAAACATTCGTTGGGAAAAAGGGCCTAAAACAAATTTTTCAAAGAGGAGTTACATAACTTGAGTTACACTAAAACACAACGAAATCTATCGAAAATCTCCTAGGTTAGCTATTTATATAGCAGATCACCTGTATTACGTGACACAAACATGACTCGAGTTCCACTAAATCACAAGTAGTATGAAATTGTCACTGGTACAGAACCAATATAACTTCGTTTGCAGAACATTTTCTCTTCTTCAACATGGACCTAATCAACTAATATCCCAGCCTAAAGAAGTAAGATGATAGAAGATAACATAACGGATACACAGCCCCCTTTTTGTGCTCTATTTCTTAAGGGCTCTATTTCTTAAGGGTTCTTTTATATTTTCAGGACTAATGTGCCAAATCAACCATTCCGTACATTTTTAGTTATGCATGAAGTGTGCACCTGGTCATATTGGTCAGCCATTTTAAACCCTCCACATATATACCAAATCTCTTACAACTTTTTTTAATGAGACTTTTTTTAACACACAACTCAAATAATACACACAGTGGACAAGGAGTCCACAACAATTGTACAACCAGAACAAACAAAAACAAGGTCCTATCAAGCCTCGATACATCAAAAATGTAACTAGAATCTGTCTTCCAATCTCATAAAACAGAAGAAATACCCTAGGAACATTACAAGAAGAATCCATAGAGATGGACAAAATTCAGATCAACTTTACAACTCTCAACCATCTTTGGCCCTCTGTAGTCCTCAATGCTTTTATTCTATTTCATCCAAATGACCTAAAGGACAACCAGAACTCTACAGCTCCATAAAACCTTCACTTTTTCCCACCACCAAAATCTTTATGCCTCGCTCAACATATATGAGCACTCTCCTGGAATAAACCAAACCATAGCAGCTTCCCTAAACAGGTTAAACCACAATTTAAAGCAACTGAGCGATGAAGCAATAAATGATTCACTTTCCGCTGCCCTCTGCACATACCACACCAATTTGGAGATATACACACATCTGGTCTTCTCTTCTTTAGCAGGTCAGCACCAATTTACAGCACTCTAAGAAACTACCATAACCTGGCGAAAATTTTCTTTCCGTGGTTAAGACTTGACCCGTTCACTGCCAGTCTTGCATCTCATCCATTTCCCTGGATTCCGTACTGGCTTCTGGTCACAGCATACCAAAAAGATTCCCTTTCCAAAGGAAATCCCCACCAACTTACCCAACAATGCTTAGGTTTTTTATACCAAATTACCTATCCCTAATCCCCCTCTCTTTGTGTATCAATATAAACTAAATCTTATCTGATTGGAAAGGAAACAATAAGACCAAGCACATATTTTCTGTCTAAAGATAATGGAAGCTTGAACTTTGTAGTAGTTATTCTCATAATTCCAAAACAATAAAAATAAGAAACAAAAGATTTATTTGAAAATCAAAGAAGAGAAGTAATGAAAATTAATTTATCATCTTGCAAACCTTCTTGAAGCGATCGTGAGTCTCATCCCTATTTGAATACAAAACCATTGAGCTCAAATTTCAATTTTCTTAGCTTGCTGTTGCACCATCTTCTCTCTTTCAGCTTGGGCTTTCTTTTCCTCCTCCAACTCCAAAGCTATGCGCTCCCTCTCTAACTCAGTCTGCACAGCAAGTATACATATTCCATAATACACTTACTTCTTCTAGTTACAGGAAACCACAAAGTGTATATTGTAAAACCTGCAGTAGTGTATTTCGCAGATTGAGGATTTCCTCTGCCCAATGTTCTGAATGAGATTCCTGAAACACAGAATAATAAAAAGCTTACACTTCACATACACAATCTAAAATTGATAATAATTATAAATGAATGACAACGCTGGCTATAAAAATAAAACCAACCTGCAATTTGGCTCGAAGCACCTCAATTTCCTTCTTTTGACGCTTTAGAAGAGCAGCATCTGTTAAAATCTGCCATGAAGAAAAGAAATAGGTTCAAATGCAGTAGTTAAAAACGTATGGTAGGCATAAAGAACCAACCTTATGGCCAAAAATGCCTACTAGACAGAATCTCAAAGGGAAGATTTAAATTTAACCCAAAAAACAATTAAAATTTAAAAATTTAAAAACAAAACCTCGTTGACACGAGCACAGTTTGTGACACGTAATGCTCTACTTGCAAATTGGAGACTGCTTTTAGTCTCGTCTGCATGAATCTGCCAAACCAAAGGTTCTGAGAAACCACGCGAGAACATACAAAATAAAATATCATAATTCAAAAGTTAAAGAATATTCAACTGCACAAGTTACAGAAAACAAGAGAGTCAGAAGCAAACAGTACCTTACAAAAGTTGGGTGTCAATCATTAACACTCTCTTTTGACCAATACACAATATACTACTATTTTTCGAGTTGAGTATTCTTGTGGTTGATTAGGAACCTTCTAAGAAAATTTGAACCTAAACTGAAAGTACTAGATGATATCCTCTTTTTCTAATCATGTTTCTACTGTTTGAAGCAGTGAAATTTGAAATATGAAATCCAAAATTTCCTCCCATAAAATGTGCATCATATGGTCTGAACATAATTAAAGAACTTCTTTGCCATATTCAGGACCCCATCCAATGTAAGCTAACAACCAAACGACCAAAGAAAGGACGCCCCTACACCTACATACATAAACCTATCCCATAAGCATCCTGTTACATGTGCACACTATTCGAAAAGTTGACACCTAGAACCCTCCAAGTAATGCCTGTCATTTAACATTCTTTTGTGCAAAAAACAGTGGGTCTGGAACTCACTTATTCTTACATTTCCCGTATGCTTTAGGGCTGGGGGTGGTGATGGGTTCAGGCTGCTGGGGTTAGTTGGGTCATTCCTCAGCCACCCTCAGAAGTCTTTGTCAACTGTTGAAGTCTTTTGGGGGTGAAAGGAATGGATATTATGAAATGGTTTTTTGGGTAATTTGGTTGGAGAGACGTACAATAATTTTTGAGATTATAGTTGGGATGAAGTGGAGACCTGATGCAGGACAAGAGGGATAATTAATAGACAAGATTGAAGCTTGTTTAAAATTAAATCATTTAAGGCTGTAAGATTGTAGTTTTTTGGTCAAAGGCTGCAAGATTGTAGTGAGAAAGAACAAAAGGGAAATTTATGGAATGATAAGCAATTATAGGAAAAGGATAGGAACTACTAGCACCACACCAGTAGGATTCTAGGAATCACTCCTATAGGCCTTAGTGCTTCACAACTAGGGTTAGGTTGCATCACACAAACTTAGAGAGCTGAAAAGTTCCGACAAGTTTATTCGATCATCAAATCGTCAAGGTGTAAACAATTTTATTCAACCATCAAACCTATCCACTTGTGTTCCTCATCAAGACCTGTCGGGGAAAGTCAAGTCGGCTTTGGGGTAGATATAAGTAGGGTTTGTTTATTTCAGATGACAGAGTTATAGTTTGGTTTTTTTTATTTATGAGATTATCAAGATGATGGACCTCTTGTCCAACAAGACTTTGCTCCTTGTATTTAGGTTATTATTTAGGCAAAGTACTGGGCAGCGGTATGGGCTTCTGTTTCTCCAATTTTTAGGAAAACATCCCTTTCAAATATTTTGCTTGATTGGAAGGCAGCAGTGTCTTGATAAGGATTGGTTCTTCTCATAGTTGTACATCTATGTACTAGTTGTCCTATTTCTTTCTGTTATTGGTGGATTACTTGTCCACTTTTCTGTACCCTTTTGTTTATGAAATAAAATTTCTCCTTTTCAAAAAATAAATAAATAATTCTGTTTATCATTAAAAAATGACCATCGGAAACCTTACTTGTGCTAGCGTGATGTTGCATATTATAGCTGTATTTGCATTTCCACCCAAAGCAGGTTGCAAAATTCGCGTAAGTTTGCTATCTCGATATGGCACATGTCCCCTGCATCAAGTACTGAATAAGGTCAATATATGATATGTACATAGAAATACACTTGACATTCAACAAATGCAGAACATACCCTTGACTCTCAGCACCTTCACTCAATTTTTTAATGACAGTTCCCAATGTCATAAGGCTTTTATTTATATGGGAACCCTCTTTGAGCCGGACACCTTCGGCACCAGTTTTTGCAGCACGTTCTGAACCAGCTAGGTCCACTAAATTCTAGAACCAAAAGAAAACATTCAGAGCAAAACAAAAGAATTTTTGTGAGAATTACAAATACAACAAAAACACACGTTTAATCAATAATAAAATAGGAGGGAAGGAAAAATAAAATAAAGATATCTATTAATTTTAATAAAAACATACCAAAACTGAAACACGGACCGCATCACAAGAACTACCAATATCTTCATCTTCGTTTCTATCTCGACTTTCAATTATCTATTTAAAGCATAATAATAGCCATATGAGATGTATAACCTAAATGGCAACCAACAACAGTAAGGATGTAAAATTGTACCATGCGGAAAATGGTGTGGGACCTACTACTGTACAGATTCATATTTGTCTCTCCAATATGCCGATGAGCTGAAATTTCAAAGGATGATAATGTCAAAATAATGTCAATAATAGCACCTTGCTTTTAGGTGAAGGGAGGGATTGAGAGTGGATGGTGTTTTTATAAATGGTCTCTACATGTGTATTTGCGTGCCGGGAGTTGGTGTGTATGTGTGTGTGTGTGTGTGTGTGTGTGAGAGAGAGAGAGAGAGTGAGCGAGAGCTAAATAACTCTTGAATAGTATTTTGAAAAAGAAGAATGTGTATGATACTGTAAAAAGGTAATTACATTCCCCAAACTCCATGAGATCAAGCACTTGCTCTGGAGAGGCAACAATTTCTTCGCGCAATCCAGCAACATATATCCCTCGCTGCATGTGCATAAAGGGAAACAGAACTTGCAGCAATATAATTATTGACAAACTATCATAATAATTCAACTTTATAGTAAATTCAATACCTCTAGACTTTCATGAATCTGCAATTTTCGATGCTCAGGAGCCAATAAATCATTTATGTCCTCATTATAGATCTCCATATAAGACATTCGTAAAAGAAACTCCCGATCAACATCCTAAAAGCAAGAAATAACCTGAGTATGTGCATACACTGAGTTTACAGTATAAAATTCAGTAGTTCACAAATGCTAATAGCTAAGCTACGTAAATAAGAGGCCACCTACTCATTTCAACTGTTTTTACGAGTCCAGGCTAACAATTTTCTGTAGCTGAGAACTGAAAGGCTAACGTGATTTCTAGAGCATGTAAATGTAATCGTACAATTTTTCACTAAACCTTTTCAACATTAGAACTAGCAACACTAATTTGGTAATAGAGTTTTCAGATTAGTTACTAAACCCATTTTACAATGTTTCCCACTGATTTAACCCATTTTACACATTTGACAGTCCAACCCGCACTTACTAAACGAGTACCTCTTGAATAATGTTGAACATCTCACGCACTGCAAGAGGAATCACCCCCGGCTCAGTAGCCGACCCTCGGATTGTGTGAGTTTTCCCACTGTTAGTTTGCCCATAAGCAAAAACTGTTCCTACAAAAAAGCAAAACAATGTATAGTATATATATCAGAAATTAAAGTGAAAATTCAAATTAAGTCAAAAATGGGTATAATTGAATGTACCATTGAAACCGCGAACTGCAGCCGCGACTATATCTTTGGTCTGAGATTGGTAGACCTCGAGGTTCTTACAATCTTCCCCAAAAATTCGATCTAAAAACCCGAAAAATAAACAACGAAGGAAGAAAATATAAGAAAATTGGAAAATAAAAACATTAAACCCATGGGAGTTAAAACTGCAGAGCAGTAGAGGCGAGAGCGAGAGAGAGAGAGGGTCTGGTACCAAATTCGAACTTGGAGGAGTGGTTGGGGATGAAGATGGAGTTGCCTGAGATACGCCAAGGGCTGGTCTTGGCGTCTTCAGCCGAGAGCGGCCGAGCTCGCACGGTCACGTGTATTCTCTCCATTCTCTGTTTTGCAGAATTCGGTGGCGATTGCTTACCGCAATTATGGTGGTTTTCAAAAGCTCATTGGGGTTTTTCTGGCTCGGCTAATTTTCCCGCCTCTGTATGTGTGCTTTGGAAGTGGACTGGTAATGACCGAAAAAGGCTCCAGAAAATTAAAATTAAATAAATAAAAAGAAGCGCTTCTGCTTTATTTATTTATTTGTTGGGAAAGCCCTTCTGTTATAAATATCTTGTTTAATATTATGGTAATTTTTTGAGATATTTCGTTATATACCTATTCTTAGCACAACTGATATTAAGGTCTAAAATATCGGGAGTTTCGGAAATATCGGTGGTCCAAAAACACAGATATATCAATGGACATATCGAGAAAATCTCGATATCAATAAAAATTGAATAAAAATCACGGAAATTGTGAGAAAAACTTGAAATTTTTATTGAAACATTTGAGGATGTTTACTTAGTCAATTGTCTATTATTTTATCATAAAAAATTGGAAGAAAATGCATGGCATGGTGGGTTTGAGTGATTTAAGTTGATTATGCAGCGACCTGACAAATACTGTGACTTTAGAAAATATGTAGTAATTAGTGAAAGAAAATTAAACACACCATAATTTTTTAGTTTTAATAATTTACTTCAATATATTACACTTGATACACATGATAAAATATATGAGCTTAACCAAAAAAACAAAGATAAAATGTATGAGTTAGTACCACATAGAAAGAATTCCTATTAAAATTCAAACTTAGTATCACATATAATGAACAATATTAAAACTCGAAGTGAATAATAATAAAACTTCATAATATATAACAACAACAAAATACTACTCCATTATAAAATACTAAATAACATTAAGGGTTTTTCGCAGCAATAGTCCCTCAACTATACCCGTTTTTGCATTTGGGTCACTGAACTCAATTATTAGTTGCAGAGGTCACTCAACTATGTGTGTCGTTGCACCAGTAGTCCTTTTGTCAAGTCCATTAGCTTTTTCCGTTTCAAATGATAATGTAGTAAGCATATGTGAGAATCTCATAGATTTGTTAGGGGCAAATCTGACTTTTCAGTTAATTAAAAGGAATCTTTTGGCTTTGAAGAGAACGACAGTTGCACAGAAATGGCAGTCTGTGCAAAAGGGGAAAATCGCGTCTAGGGTTTTCAAATCGAGAGGCATTGGACTTCGATTTTTGGGGGATTTTGGAACATTATCTCAACATTATGCGTTAATGGACTAAGTAGCGAAGTATTTTGAGTTAAAAAAGCAACAAAGTACAGATATAGGATTTCAGTTTCATGGAAATCACAGAGAAAAGTGTCGAGTCTACAGTGTGTGGAGGCTTCTTCAAATGGAGACAATTTTTCAGTTGTCTGGAGAACCCCCCAAGTATGGTAAGTTACTATAACCTAAATATTCCTTCTGCATTTTATATTGCAATATATTATGTTTGCAAATGTGTGGTCCTGTCGTTGACAATGAAGTTTTGGCTTTAAGGTGGGAAAAAATGTAGTTGGAGTCTTTATTATTGTCTATGGTCCCATTTCTGTCGGTTTGTCATGGAAGTGATTTCACACTTGCACATGCCTGCACTTACTTTGTCTTCCTTGTTTACTTTCTCCTCATTGTCATTGAAATTGTTTGTAAGCATACCTTTATGTAATGTGGTAGATAAAGAAGAGATGTGTACTCTTGAACTCCACCACTTTGGTATGTTGGAGAATGGCATGTATAAGGGAGGCAAAGTATGCTATGTTGACAACTGTATTCATGGCTATCTGTCATTATTGGATTTAAAGAAAATTGGGATAGATCTTGGATGCAAAGTTGATATAACACAAAGGGTTACAAGCTTAAAAGTTTACTATAAGGGGCCTGCAAAAAGTGGTTAGCATGTTGTAAATGATAGTTGTATTCCAGGGTTGGTTGGGAGCATTTCATCAGATCAGGTATTGGTGTTGTATTAGCATGATCCTACTCATAACAACGAGCTAGAGAGTGAAGATAAAGGGCAACAACAACATAGTGAAGATGTTGGCAATGAAGATGAATATGAAGAGGAAGAGGAGGAGGAGGAGGATGTTATTGTTGACAGTGATTATGAAATAAGTGAAGAAGAAGAAAATGGTAATAAAGAGGCTGCATCAAGAGCACAACCAAGGAACGATGCACCAAATGATGAATATGCACAATGTTTTGAAGAGATGAATGAAATGCCTCTTAATGAAGCTACAGGGGAGATATCAGATGATGATCAAGATAGTGATCGACTTCCTTCTGATGATGATAGCTCTAGTGATGAGGAAGAAGGTAAAAAAAAGACAAGCAAGAGGAAATGGAAGAACCAGAGTTTAGAATTGGAATGCAATTTGCCAATAAGGATGAACTCAAGGAATCTATTAGGGAGTATGCAATTGTGCAAGGGAGGAATATTAAATTGGTGAAGAATGATAATAAAAGGATTCAAGCAAAGTGTGCAGGTCACACGAAATGCCCTTTTATTCTCTGGGCTTCCAAGATAGACAGAGATGAGCAGACATTTGCCATAAAGAGTCTGTCCTTAGAGCATGAGTGTCCTAGAGTGGACAAACTGAAATATACTAATTCAAGGTGGCTGTCCAAAAGGTTTGCTGACAAGATTAGGAAAAATCTTGACTGGGATGTAGGGGCATTCAAGGCTGAGGTTTTAGAAAAGTACCATATGAATGTTTCAAAGCATCAGATTTATAGAGCAAAGAACTTGTCCAAGGTGATCATTGAAGGCAGCTATGTGGAGCAATATGCGAAGCTATGGGACTATGTAGAAAAATTGAAGAAGGCTAACAAGGGCAGCACTATGATTATAAAGAATAAGATGAAGGGTAATAAACTTGTGTTTGAAAGAATTTATGTGTGTTTGGAAGCTTGTAAGCGAGGATTTTTGGTAGGATGTAAACCTCTGATTGGTATAGATGGCTGCCATTTAAAGGGACCTTACACTGGGCAAGTTTTAACAGTCGTTGGTATTGATGGGAATAATGGACTGTACCCAGTTGCTTATGCTGTTGTAGAGGTGGAATCAAAAAGTACTTGGATTTGGTTTCTTCAACTTTTGATTGTGTTCACCCGTTTTGTGTTTACTCCTATGATGGAAGGGTAAAGTTCCCCACTGCCTTGAGAACCATAGACTGGTCAACAAGTCAGCTTTCTTTGGTGTGCGAGCGTGCCACTGCTAGTAATGAAAAGTCTAGCAGACTTAGTCTGGAATGGATAACTTGCGCCCCAAGTTACTGATTTCTTAAACAAACGATTGTGAATTTGGGTGAGGAATATCTCCCAAGTAAGTTCTTTTCTTGCCCCAGACTGGTGAGGACTTTAATAATTTATCTCAGTATAAAGAGGTTGTTCTGGCCAGAATAGTTGATGAAATTTAAGCTGTTTTTGGGCAGAAGTGCCTTTTACAAAACTACAAAAGTATATGTTGATGCCAAAAAGATAAAAAGATAGCTAGATCTCCATTTCTGCCTGGATGGGAGGCTCCGTGATGGGCTGGACTGGGAATGTCTGGGCTGGACTGGGCCGTAGACAACTCTGATTGCCCAATTTTCAGCTACAAATCGATGCCAAAGGTTGATTCTGGCAGAGCTTTAATGTACCTCAAGCTTTTGTGAAGCTTCTGAGTAGACAGAACTGCGGTTTCTTCAGTCTGAAAGGGGAGAAGTGGCTGTTCTTGAGGACGTTGGTGAGCTAGAGGCTATTCCGTGAATTTGGCTGGGGTTTTCCATACTTGGAGGAAATTCAAACTCTGCTTGTGTTGGCTTTTGATAAACCAAATTTGTAACGAGAGAAATCTCGTTTTGAATGACTTGCTTCCTGAATCTGGGTTCTGGGCATTCTGATCTGGGGCTGGTTTTTCACTTGAAATTCAAGTGGACTTGTTGGTTTGACGGTTTTCCTGTGTAGGATCTTTGTTTGATTGGGTGATGAATTTTTGTTGTTAGATTGATCCTTTTGCCCTGTTCACTCCTTCTTGTATTTATAAGAAATGTTTTCTGGAGTAGGGTAATTCTTTTAAATAATGGGCGGTAAATCCTTTCAAAAAGATCTTCCTTTTCCATTTTTTAAAAAATGGAAAAAAAAAGGATTTCCTCAGTTTTTTGGCAGATAGGCTCTCAATAGATAGGCAATCACTTCCCTGATTTTCTTGAAAAGGAACCTAATCTCTTTCCCAATTTCAACTGCCCTTTGTGATATTTTGCCGATGATGGTTAGTTTGACTCCTTTTCTGGACAGCTTCCTACTTTCCTGCTTATCCCTCCCTGAGATTGTAACTTGCTTATCTCCTTGGGAGAATTACCTTCTCTGAAAAGACAGGAGAAAAAATCTCTGAGTATGTATATATATATATCATATATGTGTAAGAGGGATTTGATCTTCAGCTTTTCCAGAATCAATCTTGATATTATGAACCCTTCAATTACTTCTCCTGTGACAGTTGCCATTGCTGACTTTTCTTTTTTCAGAGAGGTCACGTGGGATTGTTCCTTCTTCTGGGTTTTATTCTTTCTTTTATATTGGGCCTGTGAGGCCCAGATTAGCCTTGTCTATTTTGACGAGTCTTGGGCTGGTCTCCTCTGGCTTTTGGGCTTCCATCTCTCTTTGATTTCTTGCAGCTTTCATTCTGGGCCTAATTTTTGCTGGGCTGGGTGTGTCAATTTGTGGCCCAAACAGATTGAAAACTTACAAATTGAGAATGGGAAAGCTTGGGTGTTTATAAGTGATAAGCAAAAAGGTCTAATACCTGCAATTGAGACATTGCTTCCAACAGCTGAGCACAGAATGTGTGTTAGGCATCTCTACAGTAACTTCAGGACAGAGCATGCTGGCCTTACAATGAAAAACATTCTATGGGTTGCGGCAAGAGCAACTATCATTCCTTGGTATGAAGCAGAAATGGCAAGATGAAATAGCAAGATGAAGAGGCATGGAAGTGGCTTAAGAAAAGACCAGCCAAAAATTGGAGTAGATCTCATTTTGAGCCACATTCTAAGTGTGATCTGTTGTTGAACAACCTTTGTGAATCCTTTAACTTTTGCATTTTAGATTCAAGAGACAAGTCTATCTTATGTCTAGAAAGGATTAGAGTTTATATCATGTTAAGGATGGCTAATAAAAGGACTGCTGGTATGGTTTGGAGACATCCAGTTGGGCCTAGGATTGTCAAGATCATTGAGAAGAACAAGTTGGGAGCTAGTCAATGCATTCCTAGATTAGCAAGTGGGAGCAAATACCAAGTGAGCCATATGTATAGGGGAGAGTATGTAGTGGATCTAAAAGCCAAGACTTGCTCTTGTAGAAGATGGGATTTGTGTGGGATCCCATGTTCTCATGCTATTTCTTGTATCTTTCAAAATGAGGCAAATGTGTTTGACTATGCACATGACTGCTATAAGAAAGAAGCCTACCTGAGTTCATATGAACCTATGGTACACCCAATACCATCCATGGACCAATGGCAGAGAACTAATTGGCCTCCAATTAAACCTCCTCCATATAAGAAGTAGCCTGGAAGACCTAGGAAATCAAGGAACAAAGGACCAGCTGATGTTGAAGTACCTGCTCCAGTTCCTCCAAACCCTTTGCCTCCATTTTACAATCCACCACCTACTAGGTTGAGAAGGATTTATGTCAAGATAAGATGCTCAATTTGTGGCCAAGAGGGACATAATAAGACACGACATGCCAACCAAGGGACATCACAGGTATTTTGGTTATATTTTATGTAGTTTAATTTACTTTTGTTGTTTACAACTTTAATTGGTTTTTTCTTTTTGTTATTGTAGGTCGTTCCTAATCAGCCCAACCAAGGATCAGTTGCCTATTCTACAGTCCAAGGGGCAGCTCAGGTATTTGGGTTAAAATCTCTTTAGTTTAATTCTTTTTTGGTCTTTAGGCCCAACCAGTTCATATGACCCTTTTTTTGTTATTGTTTAGTTTATATCATATTTATTTTTGTTTTTTAGGCCCACCCTAATCAGCCCAACCCAACTAGAGGCAGAGGTTGAGGTAGAAGAACTACTACAGGAAGAGGAAGAGGAAATGGGAGAGGAGAAATGCCAACTGGAAGAGGAAATGTAAGTGACAACTCTGTCATGCTACTTTGGTTGGTTAATTTACTTTAGTTAGTTAATATGGTTCCATTGTATTTTAGGTTGGAAATGGGACAACAGAAATGCCAAACAATTTCTCATCATCACAACCACTCCCATCATCATCACAGCCACTCTCTTACACTAGAGCTACTTCATCATCATCACAACCACCCAAGTCTCCTGCCAAGAGATTCAATTCTCCTGCCAAGAGAGTGAAGTCTCCTGCCAAGAGATTCAAGTGTCCTGCCATGAAGCTTAAACCATGGATGTTTTGAAGGCTAACTAGAAGGATGTCTATTGGATGTCTTTTTTGAAGTAGTTAGATGTGTTTTATGAATGGTTTGTTAGATGTGTTTTATGAATGGTTTGTTAGATGTGTCTCTAGGCTGGATGTCATTGTTTTGTATTTGGTACATTTTGGAACTTGAACTGGTACATTTTGGTACATTTGGTACATTTTGGAAGCTGTAACTTGGAACCTGATTTGGTATATTTGGTACATTATGCTTCAATTTCACTTGGAACCTGATTTGGTACATTTTGGAAGCTGTAACTAGATGCTATATATGCTGATTTGGTACATTTTGGAACTAGGTGTTATAACTGTTGATTTGGTACATTTTGGAACTGGTACATAGCATCATCACATTTCATTGCAAAATGAACTCAAATTTCATTGCAAAATTTCAATACACTAACACCAATATGTCCATCAAACTCGAACTCAAATTTAATTGCAAAATGAACTACATATCGGTTACATTTTGACCTAATTGATCATAAGCTTTTGATAGTTTCCACCCGGAAATGTCAACCAATTGCTCAAGACACAGAGCATCATCATAATCACCAAAAACCCAAGAACCAAAGACAGAAATGAAACCCCCCAAATCTGATTCTCTCTTGGTCGTTGGCCTGTTCTTTTCTCTTCCAACAGTCTTTTTTGCTTGCATAGTTCTCCAACTTCGTACTCCAATTCCTTCTTTTCTCTCTCCACCATTTTTAGCTTATCTTCCACTTCTTTCTTCTGTTCTTCTATTAACTTTAGGTCCTCTTCCATTGCTCTCATTCTTCTCAGCAACCCAGGAATTAGTTCTTTTCCTCTTGCACAGGTTGGTGCGTCCAGCCATTCCCAATGATGCTCATTTCCTCTATTTCTCTGCAAAGTACGTTTCATAACATCAAAGCTAAACCCATCAAGCAACAAAATAAAATTTCACAAATTAACTTACTCGACTCATCTCACAAGCCTCAAATCTTCTCCTAGGATTTAAATCAGTCCATGAAGTCCAAGTTTTGATATATCCACCACACCTGCATAGCTTCCTCGCACTAGGGCTTGGATTTGTTGATCAAGAAGAAATCTGCGACATTTTTGCGTATCTACTATTTTTATGTGGCTTCCCATATTTTCGTCCAATTTCCAAAATTTTAGCACATCTACTATTTTTATGTGGCTTTCTTCGAATATAAATGGGAATTGGGGATTTATTTGGCGCCAAATTTGACATTTTTCGAAGGGAAGTTGCTTTAGATGGGAGGTTGGACATGCCAGACTTCAAAAGACGAATTTGCCCATGAAATTGACACCACGTTAGCCAGACTTGACGGAAGGAATACTGGTGCAACGACACACATAGTTGAGTGACCTCTGCAATTAATAATTGAGTTTAGTGACCTAAATGCAAAAACATGTATAATTGAGGGACCATTGATATGAAAAACCCTAACATTAAATATATGCTTAAATTTATTCTTAGGGAATTTTTTTAATATGGAAATTTATCTTAGATAATATTAGCTTGTAGACATTTTTAAAGACCTTATAAATATTGCAAGCTGAAGATATAAACACAAACTCAGCCGCAGCGAGTTGGATAAGGCGCCGTGGTTGATTGAGAAAGGGAGGGGTTAGAATCCCGATATTATTGCGAGATTATCGATAATATCGCGATATATTGCCCAAATAATGCATGAAAAATGTTGAAATTATCATCCACGACATTATCGCGATAATATCGACAAAAATATCGATATATTGACGATAAGTAAGTGGATATGTGCGAAAATATCTCCCACTCAAAAAAACGATAATTAAGTGGGTTTTTTTATAAGGTTTTGGAGTTGGGTTTATTTTAAGAAATTGATGGCAGTTTTATAATTTATAATAAGTTTGAAGTCTCTTTATAATGTTGTAAATGGATTTTGGGTGTGTTTCTAAAGTCCATTTGGGTCCCTATATTTGGCATAAATAGTCAATCCCTCTAATTTTTTTTGGACCCATCAATCCTTTTTTTTTAACCAACACTAATTTAAACATTAATAACATATTCTACAATTTTACGTAATTACCGTCAAGGACAAAAAAAATTTAAACTAAAAATAAATATTATCATTAGACCCAACATAACAATAAATCTCAAACTATCATGTTCCTCTCTTATTCTCGTAACTAAACTCTAACAAGATTTATACACTTATATTGGTCAAACATATACTTATAGAGGTGTATCCAATTCTAACTTTTCAAGACTTTTTGTAAGTAAGTGACTTTTATAGAGTTGACAGATTCTTAATGACTTCTACATACTTTATAAAGTTAAGTGATATACTTTTCTTTTTTTTGTGAACCAATTAAGTGATATACTTTTATATACTTTTATCATAGAGTTTTACATACTTTTATCAACTTTTTTTTAATATTTATTTATGAATAGTATTTATCTTTTTAATATTGCGAGGGTGTCCTACCATGTTTGGGTCTATAAACCCTCTCCCTCTTTGGTCGGTGTACCAAATTTAGAGAATCATACATACCGAAATTAGAGAATCATACATCAACAATTAAACAAATCGTGAATAAAATTAATATCTAAACATTGAGATTACCTTTCCACATGATACATCCACCTAAATTGTACTAGACCGGCCACCTTTGCCTCCCATGCCAAGTGGCAAGTTAGGTGAATCATGATGTCAAAAAAAGCAAGAGGGAATATTTTTTCCAACTTGCATAGAGTTATGACAATTTGATTGTCAAGAAAATTCAAGTCATCTTCTCTTAAAACTTTAGCACACAATTCCTTGAAAAACTACGATAATTCAATTAAATGCTCACTTACATCTTTGGGCAATAAATCTCGCGCCACAAACGAAAGTAATCTCTCTAAGAACACATGACAATCATGAGTTTTCATACCAGAAATATTACGCTCTGAAGCACTCACACATCGAGATAAATTTCCAGAGTATCCATCTGGAATTTTCAACTCCATTAACCATTGAAATAAAGCTTTGTTGTCATCATTTGACAATGTATAATCGCCTGGGATAAAATAGAGCTTACCATTATCTCCTTCTTCTGGATGATACATGTGTCTTATACCCATTTCTTGAAGATCAAGACGAGCATTTAAAGAATTTTTTGTTTTACCATCAATGCTCATCATTGTGCCAATCACATTCTCAAATACATTTTTCTCAATGTGCATGACATCTAAATTGTGGCGCACCAAAAGTGTTTTCCAGTAAGGCAATTGGAAAAATATCGAATGTTTTTTCCAATTATGATCTTTTCCAAACCCAAGTATTGTATACTTTTTCCCATCATTGTCATGTGTTATTTCTCTTAATTCACTAAGTTCATTCATCACATCATCACCAGAAGGTCTCTTGGGTGCAAGTCTTATTTCCCTTGTATTATCAAATTGGCTTCGTTGATTACGACATATGTGGTCAGATGGTAAAAATCTTCTATGACCTAAATAACATGTTTTAGACCCATGAGATAACCGACGATGCAAAGTATCAAATGCACAATATGGGCATGCCAATTAAAGGAATTCAATTATTTAAGTACAAATAATATAGATTTGTCCGTTTCACACTATTGATTTCATGAATTTGGATTCAATTGGCCTAATTCGAATTTGGATCGTAAACAAATTGGATTTGGATTACATTGGCCTAAAATGCAATACCATATAGAATTTGGATTCAAATTATCATACTTAACACATCAATGGTTTTTTTAGATTTTAAAATACTCTTGATCACATGTTCTTCCGATTGATCAACATATTTAAACTTGATCAAGTTTAAAATGGACTCTTTCGTACTATAAGACCATCAATTTTAGCTTGATCCTTCCTTTTGTTTTATCATTGAATATGTAACATAATGGAGTTGAAACGTACAGCCGGGTATAGATAATATAATCAACACTAAAAAATATAGATATCTTTATCAATCTCAAATAATTTAAGGAATTCAATTATTTAAGTACATATAATATAGATTTGTTAAAGAAACGTTATATTTGACAAATACTAACCTCAAATATGATCAAGTTTCAAAGCCCTTTGTTTTATTTTCTTAAATTAATTTATTTATTTAACAAAATATATTAAACAAATCAGCAATTTAACTCCCGCTTGCCCAAAAAAAAGTGGGGGAAAGCCCAAATTAATTATTTGTTTGCCGCTCAAGCCTCTTTTTTAATCTAACAGTTATCAGTTTTCAACAGCAGCCACAAAAGAGAAAAAAAAATCTTCCATACATCTTCTCCCTAAACCCTCTTCTCCTCAGCAATAGCAAAGAAACCATTGAGCCATACAGGTAACCTACTACATTTTTGCTAATATCCATGTATTGTTATAGATATAGAAAACGTCAACTCATGCTTCGCGTCGTACCGGCTCATGTAGGGGTTGTTATAGATCTTCAGCATCTTTAAAGGTTGTTATAGATATAGAAAAATGGGTACTGAGTATTAGCATACCTTTAGCATACCTTCAGCATACCTTTAGCATGGAAATCAATACCCATCCGTTAGATCTTCAATGCATGGACCCCATCCTTTAGATCTTTAACTCATGGAAATCAATACCCATGTATGGTGATACTAACATGGGTACTCATGGAAATCAGTATCAATCTAGTTTGAACAGGTGAAGCAAATTGTTTTCTCTACCTAGTTTTTCCTTTTTGGATGGATTTTTTTTTAAAGTATTGTTTCTAATTTATGTTTGTTTTTAATTATGACATGGATTCTTTTGTGATTATGAATGGAAGCCATGATAAAAAAGAAGAAAAAAAAAGCAATAATAGAGCATCACATGATCGTGAAATGCAAGAGACAAATCAAACATGTATGAGTTATTTGCGTGTTATTATCAATTAAATTCTTGTTTCTATTATTTTTTATAGTTGTATTTCTATTATATGAGTTTTTAATTTTTCAATTATGTTTTGTGTTTGTACTTCTCTTACAAATGTTAGCCGTGGCAAGAAAAGGAAAGAGTCAAGATAGAGCATCAGGCACTGCACATCCTTAGTCATTTAGACTCTCCTTAGATCACCATATTTTCAATGAGTTATCACATGATAACGAAATGCAAGAAACGTGTATGATTTATTTTGAATTTTGAATTTTCTTTGGTGTATATATATATATATATATATGTCAATTATATGATTAGTTCTCAATTAATTTCCAATTTTTTGCTCTATTATAAATTGTAGCCAGGGCAAGAAAGAGAAAGAATCAAAATAGAGCATCCGACATTACACATCCTCAGTCATCTAGACCTTCCTTAGACCAACATGATGACTCCATTGAGCCATCACATGATAATGAAATGGAAGACATGCCTCTTGAAACTAAACCATCTAATAAAGAAGGTAATTTTATATATATATATATATATATATATATATGAGGTTTAAACTGAACCATCACATGATATATATATATATATATTTTTATATATATGATCCTATAGCTAGTTTTTTTGTACATTGTAACTCCACGATACATGGATGCTCCCCTAGAAAAGCCACTACTTTTCCTGAAAATTTAATTAAGTGAAAAGCATAGTTAAGACCGATTATATAAATAAATAAATAACGAACAAAGATTTCTCCGAAAATTTTGCTTAAGGGATATCTGATCTATCTCATTTACTTACATTCTAATGGCTGCCACAAATTCTTGTCTTGTCATGTCATCTCCTCCACCTCCTTCTCATACTTACTGATCTGCAACAGGCATGACACTTGAAAAGTCATACATGATATACATTAACATTGCACTTGCTTATTCTTTTCTTTATTTTATTCTTGTCACATTTTTATTGATTTCCTCATTGATTCGCACTGAAAAATTGGTTGTAGTAGAAGTTCCCCAATACTTCAAATATTTGTTTTTTTTTTAATTAGGTTCAACTGTTGGAATAAAAAAAAGGGTAGAGGGAAGGCTAAAGGTAAAGATGGAAACGACACTCCAATTGTAATACGTAGAGGAAGGTAGATTCATTTTTATTTATTTATTTAAATTTGGTTTAAATTTTCAAGATTATAACCACCGGAGCTGTGCGAGCTATAGGAGTGCTTTTTTATCAAGCTATCAATGGAGCATGGCCAACATTTAAAACATTTTCATCAACTCAAATGGATTTACTGTATGATCGCTTTAACACAACAGGATATACGCACACATGCTCAGAAGAAGAGATGATGGAGGCATTCAAACAACATATTAAATTGCGATATTCCGATTGGATGTCTGCATTGAGAAATAGCGTTTTTAAGAAATACAAGACTACTAGTGATAGATACACTCATTGCCCATTAGGGATATCTCAAGATGTTTGGTCTAAACTGGTTGATCATTGGTTGCAGTCTACATGGCAAGTAAAAACTCAATTTAAAATAATATTGTTATGACTGGCTAGTGTATGCTTTCGTTTATTTATAGATGCCTTATATGGGTTCACTAAGTTGATATTAGTTGTGATTTACTTTTTTCATGCAGGATAAAAGTAAAAGAAACAAGTCTAATAGGGCAAAATCCACAATTGTGCATACCACAGGTTCTGTTCTAATGGAAAAGTACAGAAAAGATGAGGTAAAAATATCCATTTGGTTGTTGCTTTTTGTTGATTGTTCCTTTTGTGTTTATTTCCAAATTTGATCCTAACAAACTTCATTGTTTAAATCTTAATAGCTTGATCGAACTGGAATTGAACCAAGTCCAATTAATTGTTTCAAAAAGTTCCATGTAAGTAAGCCTAAGAATGGAGGAGAAGAAAGTTGGCCTAGTGAAAAGGCTAAAGAACTTTTTGGACGTTGCCCCTACTTTGTTTCTCTCTTTTAAAATAAAAAAAAAAAAAAAAAAAAATCACATGACATTTTTTTATATCTATGTTTATATTTCTACTATTTCATTGAAGGAAAAAATGGAGAATAAAAAGGTTGCTGCAACGAAAGACGAGAATGAAGTAGATGATTGGGATATATACAAGGAGGTTATTGGTGGCCCAAGTCATGGTCATATCCTTGGCTTAGGTGGTGGCTATAGTACAAAAGATGTGTATCCCTTAGATGACCAAGGTTGTAATAAACGTATATACTCAGAACGTAAATAAGAGCATGAGAAATTAAAGGAGGAAGTGAAGGACTTGAAAAGTGTGTTATATAAATTGAAAGATCTAGTTCAAAGTATGAGGGAAAACAACTCAAATACTTATGCACGCTCAAGACAATATGATTTAATGGTGAACTCTTTTCTTATCATTTCAATATTTTGCTCATTTGTTAAATATTGTATTTGTTATTTTTATTCTCAAATGATTTATGTCTTATTAATTATTAACTTTTATTTGACATGACAATGTCGAAAGTTGTTCAGATGCTCACCTCAAAGACGAGTAGTGCAACATCAATTGTATTTTGCTACAATATTTATTTTGAATTTCAAGATTTTGATATATATGCGAATTGCTTATATGTTTTAAGGATGATGGGGATTGTTTATGTTTTAACTATTTAGAATAATTTTAATTGAACGCTTAAAATTTTAGTACAATATGGTGTCGTATGATTTATTTTTTTATTATTACCAATTAAATACGGATGATTAGAAAACTATTTCTAGCAAATATTATAATTCAAATTTCTTTTTATTAATGTTTTTTATAAAATAATTACATTTTTCGACCGCATTTCCCTCTCAGTAATGCATATTTCCAACAAACACTTTATCATCGGAAATATTTTCCGACAATAATTGACTATTTCCGACAACATTCCCCACGACATAATCAGGTCAAAACAATTATATTTCCGACCACTTGTTTGTCGAAAATATTTTCCGACATGATTAATCTATTTGCAACAAACTTTGCGACGAATAAATGTGGTAGGAAATATATATTTCCGACATAACTTGCGCATTGAAAACATTTTGTTATACTCTTTTCCGACGAGCTATTATATATTTTCCACAAACTCTTTTGGTCAGTAATGATAATTGCAACGAAATCTAGCCCTCACAAATAATATATCATTGTCGAAAAAAAGTATTTATGACGACACTCATTGGTTGAAAATATGAATTCATAAAAACAAGAAATCATGATAAAATAACTATTTCCGACAATCAAATAAGTAATTACGACCACATGTGCGGTCGGAAATAAATATGTAGGGTTGTTTTACAAATCTATTTCCGATAGAAATTTAAGCAATAGCTATGAAGCATGGGCGTCGGAAATACATTATTTCCGACGGAATGGTCTGAAATGAAGTATTTGCAACCGGCCTTTTAGCAACGACTACCAACGGACTTTTGCTATCGAAAAAGGATATTTGCGACAGCAAAAGGTTTTTTGCAACGACAAAATGCCCTCACAAAAGGGCTTTTATTTTGTAGTGGTTCTTGAGTAATCTAGATAGAATTCAAGCGAGTCAAGAACTTACACAGCCACATTTGTAGGAAGGCGACCTACTCCACGTGAGATAGATCATTACTTAAAGATATCAGAGCTTTGGAGGATGACTAGATGAAGCCAAAGTAAGTCTTAATCTGAATGCAAAAATTCTTACTCGACTTAATATAATCTAACTCCAAAGTGGGACTAGGGAAGTGGGTTGCCGAATAGTCTTTGTCGTGAAAATAGAGGTCAACGATCGCAGCCAAGTTGTATAGAGTTGTATAGGGGTGGTCAAAATTGACCCAATCTGCCAAGGGTGGAATTAATACCAGCGGCGGAGAAAGGCGTTTTCATTTCGTCTAAGGGAAAATAAGAACAACCTCCCAATGCCCAAAACCTTCCAATGGCCAAACCTCCAGCAATCACCTATTATGAACTCGAGCAGCCAGATTAGGCCCTCACAGTGGAGACAGCTTTCGAGAGTTCCAGCGGCTAGTTCAAAACCTCCAATCGCAGCTAAAGCTGCAACGATTTGGTCACACTTCCTTAAACAATGTCTCATTACAAGGAAAGATTTGGTGGCTTCTCTCCCTACAAAGGGTGTTGTGCCCCTTTAATCTTGGCGCAATGACAGTGGGTCTTACAGGTTTTATCTAAGCTTAAGCATGACTAAAAGAGGGAAGGAAATGGAAGAAACAAGCAATTTATTACTAAGCTCGCAGCTATGTATATAGTGGCGGTGTGTGCACAGGGTAGGCTAGGTGCTCGCCTAACCCAAATTTTTTCAACAAAAAAAGAAAAACCTACATGTGTTATAAGAACTGCCTAAAATTAAAAATAAAAATAAAAGCAAACCCGATACACATGTTGCCCATCCAAGTGGTCCCACATCTTTTCTTTCCTTCTCTTTTGGCTATGAGACTTCATATTTCTCTCTCTCTTTGCTACCCAACATCAGCAACTTGTTTTTCCCTCTATTGGCTACATATTCTATTATCTTGGGTGGGCAACTTGGCAACAACATCTTCTCCTCTCCTTTTGTCAACAACAGGTATTATTCTCATTCTCTCCTTTTGTTTATATCTTTAATTATATTTTTAATTTAAATTTGAGTATTCTAGGGTTTAATTAGGGATGAATTATAATTTTGGGATTTTATTGAAATTAATTAGGGCTTTGATTAGGGATGAATTATTCTAGAGCTTTGATTTGGGATTTTGTTAAGATTGAGTATTCTAAGGTTTAATTAGGGATGAATTATAATTTTTGGTTTGGTATTGTTGAGATGCTATTATGAGAATTTTTTGATTTTTTTGTTGGTATGTTTGATTAAAATTATTTCTACATATTATTCATAGGCTATCTTTTATTATGTCGAACCAGAATTGTAATCCCAAGAGAAGAAATATTTTGTTGTCTTTTTTTAAGAAAAGGAATTATGGGTCATCATCTAGTACATTGCCTTCTAGCACTTCTTTATCTACTATAATATGTGCTGAGCAAAGTCTTCTTGAGTCTCTCATTCTCGAGCCTCAATTTGAAAGAGTTGAATCTCAAAGAGTCGATGATGATCATGATTTTAATATCAATTATCTTGAGCGTGATCCAAGATTACGTCATCTAATATGCAAATATCTAGTCCATGAACAAGATAATGTGCAAAGAGCATATATTCTTTTAGGACCATGTCAACCCGAGTTAGAAGATTATCCAAGTTACTTAGAAGAGCGGGAATTTCGTTGATTTAATAAAAAGTGGTTTGGCCAATTCACTTGGCTTGAGTATTCAGTTGCTAAGAATAAGGTATTTTGTTTTCTTTGCTTCATTTTTTACATTAATCAGTCACATCCAACCTTTATTGTTGATAGGTGTCAAAAATGGAAGAGAATGGTGGGAATCAACGTGCATTTCAACATCATGTAGGCAAGCTAAATTCACCACATCATCTTGCTATGCAAAAGTGGATCAGCTTAAAAAAAACTCATCTTTCATATTGAAAAAGTGGTAGATAAGCAATCAAAGCAATAAGTGATGGACAATCGATTGCAACTTTCGACTACAATAGAAGGCATTAGATATCTAGCAAATCAAGCATTTGCTTTTTGAGGCCATGATGAATCCGTTGAGTCATCTAATCGGGGAAATTTCATTGAAATAGTAAAGTCTTTTGCAAGAATAAATATAGAAGTTGAGAAAGTTGTTCTAGATAATGCTCCTCAAAATGCTCAGTACATTTTCAATGACATACAAAAACAAATCTTACATATTTTTGCTACCAATGTGAGGAACCCAATTTGTAGAGAACTTGGGAAAAACAAATTTTGTATTCTTATTGATGAATCACTTGATGAATCTAGTAAAGAACAAATGGCTATTATTCTAAAATTTGTTGATTGTGATGGATTTTTTTGTGAGCGCTTTTTTGATATTGTGAGTGTTGCATATACTCATGCCTTGTCTATAAAAAGTTAGATATGCAAAGTTCTTGCTAATAACAACATTCTAGTGGAGAATATGCGTGGTCAAGGGTATGACGATGCTAGTAATGTACGTGGTTCGTGGAATGGATTACAAGCATTGTTTCTTCAAGGTTGTCCATATGCATATTATGTGCATTTGCTTTGCTCATCGCTTGCAATTAGCATTAAATGGCACAACTAAAGATGTGCAATTTGTATGGAGATTTTTTTTAATGTTAACTAACATTGTGAATTTTGTTAATGATTTTGCTAAGCGTCGTAATGAGTTAAACTTAATTCAAAAAGCTGAACTCAAAGAGTTGTTGGATTCTAGGAAACTTGAGATAAGTAGAGGACTTCATCAAGCTCGTACTTTGAAACAAGATGGAGCCAGTCGTTGGGGCTCTCATTTTGCCTCAATTACAAGTTTGATGAGTTTATTTAAAGAGACTAAATTGCTTATTCTAGAAATCAATGATCATGGACCCAACTAACATTTTCCTGGTGATGCAGAGAATAACTATATTGCTTTGATGTCTTCTGAGTTTGTGTTTGCATTGGTCTTGATGGATAAAATGTTTACATTGGTCTTTGTCAAACATTTCATACTAAAACTCAAGACATTGTAAGTGCTTTAAATTTTGTTGAAAACATAAAAATGCAGCTTCAAGATATGAGGGAACATGGTTAGGGTGATTTATTCAGGAGTGTGGTATCATTTTGTGAACTACATGGTGTTGATGTTTCTGACACGTCGTTCTTGTCAACAAAAAGATTTGATGAGCATGCATATCACATTGATGTATTTAATGATGTTATAGATTGCATGTTGAAGGAGTTAAATGATAGATTTCCGGAGCAAACAGTTGAACTTCTTACCCTTAGCTCATCATTGGATCCTCGTAATTCCTTCAAGTCATTCAATATTAAGCATACATGTAAACTTGCCGAGAAATTCTATCATGTTCATTTCTTTCCACACGAATTGAAAGCTTTAGAAACATAGCTCAGGTATTTTCAAAATGATTTACATTGCCTTCCTTGCTTTAAGGAAACCACTACTCTTCCTCAATTATGTCAACAATTGGTGGAAACAACTTCGGTAGAAAACTACATTTTCTTTGACAAATTGATTCGATTGGTGTTGACTCTTCCTATTTCTATAACAACAAAACGACCTTTCTCATGTATGATTTAAGAATTGAATTCGAAGCACCATAGCTGATGAATTTCTTGTTGATTGTATGATCCTCCACATTGAAAGAGAGTTTGCTAATAATATCGATAATGCATCCACAATTGAGGAATTTAAGAGTTCCCAAACTCCCAGGGTTAAATTTTATATTTAAATAGTGTTGGTTTGTATTGCATTACATTTACTTTTGGTTTTAGTTTAGCTTATTTACTATAGCACCTCCTGAAACTTATCTTCATCTTCATCTCTCTCTTTTCCCCAGTAACCATCGCACACCAACCCTTCCTACTCCCCACTGCCATTTCTTATATCCCTCCACCATATAAACCACCATACCCACATATCCAAACATCAAAACCTACCATCTAAATCACCATACCCATTATAGGTGGTTCACTACTAAATGGAGGCATTTAAGATTAGGAAAGTTTTATGGCAGTGGTCCTTGGAAATGGTTAATGGAGAGATTGAAATATTCAAGTTGGCCTAGATTGGTAAATACATGGTATTTGGCCAACAAAGAAATTTCTAGACAAGTCCAGGAACATCAAGTTCCCACATTCATATATTAATTTTCGCCAGATCCAGACTTGTCGTTGATGGAGCCCGTGTTTTTCGGAGTGGACTAAGGGTTTGGGTTGATGGGTTGTGCTGGGAAAGAGGGGTAGGTTCAAAATAAAGGGCTAGGGAAGGGGGAGGTCGTGGCAGGGTGGGTGACTATGTGGATGTCGGGGCTGGGCTTGGAAGAAGAGAGAGGAACAGAGAGAAAGGTGGGATGTCTCGAGAAGTTGTGTGGTGGGAGGGTAGTAAGTGTTGGTTGATGGGTGGGTGATGTTGGGTAGGGTTGGAGTGGTGGTGGTGAGGGTGGCTTTGGGTTGGGTGGTGGTTGTAGTCTAATAGTGTGAAGCTAGAGGAAGGGGAGGAAACGACACAGAGACAGAGATGGAGATGAAGAGATTTTTTTTAATATATATATTTATATTAACAAGTAATTACATTATTTAATTATTTTTATTAATATTTTAGTCTACTTAAGCAGAAAAAGTGGGGCCTACATCTGACACATCATCACTTGTGGTAAAAAGACTAAAATAGTCATGTCACGTCATCAAAATTGACGGAGTTATTAATGGAGATAACAGTATGGGCAAACTAGAACACCAAATCTTGGTCAAGGGGTTTAAGTGGGCCATTCTAACTTTCGGGAAGTAAAGTGAGATTTGACCAAAGTTTCAGGGGGTACTACAGTAAATAAGTCTTTTCGTTTTAGTTTTTGTATTTGTTGAACTTTTATATATGGATAGAGATGCATTTGAGGGTAAGGCTCTTTATGTCCCGGACTAAGTGTATCTTTTTATGTTTATTATTGAAATTCACTCGTACCTTCGAGTTTAGTATGTAAGTTTTGCCCAACCGGCTTTTGAATCTTAGAACTGCCACTATATGTGTATATAATATTACATCACAAGGTGGAGAGCACAATTGTGTTCGCTGATGCTAAAACCTAAACAAATGGAGGTCATCTTGTTTAAAGTGTCGGTTGATGTGGGACCCACAGAACCCAAATGGTGACTTTTGGACAACAGATGTCGTTGGCCTTGTTTCCGTGTCGACAGGGCATATGACACAGTTTTAGATTATTTTGGACGAGATTTGATCGCCTTGGATCTCAGGTTGGTCCCAAGAGAATTTTCGTCATTTTCATGCAGAATGTTTGAAATGCATAAGGTTGAGGTTTACTGGGCTTAGGTAGCGAAGACTGCTCAATAATAATTTGAATTTGAATTTGTTCAAAAATTAAGAGATTATAAGTGAGCTAGTTCTACCACATGTGGTGACCAAACAAAATAAGACTAGCTAAGTACAAAATGGGCCAACTAAAAGCCTAACATGAAACTAAACATCAAGGAAGAGGGTACGAAGGGTACCCTGAAGCTCTCCAATGCACCATCTCCAGTGGATAATGTAGATTGACTCATTAGCTTCCTTACTTGGAATGACCTCACTGTCACCAAGTCCTATCGAAGCTGAGCCTCAAGAGGTTCATTGCTCCGGACATCCTCAGAGACCTTTGGAATGATGGTAGCCCTTTTCTTCTGAAGCTGCCTCATCTGCTCATCAATACTCACGACATCCTGTCACCTTTAGCGGGCAGTCTCGATCCTCTAATTCATGATCACACTACCTAAAATAATCTACTGCTCTAAGTCGTGGCGTGCCCTTTACTCTTCTTGAAAGGAACAACGACGAGGGCCAAATTTCTCCACCTAATCAAAGAGGTATGTGACCTTAGTCCTTGAGCATTGGTTTAGGGAAAAGCCGAAGCTCGCCAAAATCTCAATGGTAGTCTTGAGCTTGGCTTTTTCATCCTCGTCAGCCATAGACATGAGATCTCAATCTTTGTAGGACTGAAGTAGGGCCTCGGTTCCAGGATCTTGCAATGCTCCTGCCATGGGGGAGGAAATAGAAAGGCAAGTAGAAGGCTCCGCTAAAGATAAGGAAGCATCCCACTGATTGATAAAGTCAAAGATGTCACATGAGGTCTGTAAGTAAATATATATGAGCATCATAATTTTCCAAGTAGAAAAATAAGGTGTGAGTATGGCTAATCCATACTTGATCAAGGAACGGTAAAATGGCATCTTCTTGAGGGACCGAGGCTAGACTTCTTCCATTCTTTATTGACGAATCCACAATTGTCTTAGTGGGAACAATAGAGGTAGATCTTCCAACCTAAGAAGAAGGCATGAAAGTTACAAGAATTGCCCATATATTTGAAATAAATATAGAAAGTGTCGAAGTAACATCAACCACCAAGGTGGGAGCTGTAACATGGGTGAAAAATGCCTTTAATTTTTCAACCCTTGTTCGGCACTTAAATTCCTCCGAAGTCAGCCTTCCCGCACCTCCAACTCGTGAGGCTTCAGAATTCACACAGTGATACAAGTGATTACCAACACATACCAAGCAAGACTTGCCTACACAGGAAAACTCTCACACTCAATATATGGGCAAAGTTTTCAACCTTCTATTTTCAAATAGCAAAGGATTACAAGCTTTTACTTTTTGTTGGACTACCACATCACTTGGTATCTCAACTTCACCTTCACGAGATATTTATAAGCATAAACTATGTAGATGACACCTTCATCTACTTAGGAAACATTAGCAGCCATTAGATCTGCCACCTAGACATTTGTTTCTATCCAAAAACCAACACATACCAAGCAAGACTTGCCTACACAGGAAAACTCTCACACTCAATATACGGGCAAAGTTTTCAACCTTTTCAAATAGCAAAGGAGTACTAGCTTTTACTTTTTGTTGGACTACCACATCACTTGGTATCTTAACTTCACCTTCACAAGGTATTTATAAGCATAAACTATGTAGATGACACCTTCATCTACTTAGGAAACATTAGCAGCCATTAGATCTGCCACTAGACATTTGTTTCTATCCAAAAACCTTCCTAGCCCACTCTTGCTGCCACCTACAGCCCATTTAGTCATGGAGTCAATTTTTACTCCTTAAAAATCTCTCCCACCCCTTGGAACATGCAGCCACTTGCATGTTTGCCCACACTTGCTCTAACCATCAGCCACATCTGGAATTTTAAGCTTGCATCACTCCTGGTCCAGCCACTTTTGGAACTTCTTAAAAATCGTTTTGCCATGTCAGAAATCCATAACAACATGTATGTCAGCCAACTGCCACGTCCAGCCTACATCCTGTCGACATTTGTTGCGCACAATGTACACGCTGCCTGCCACTCTGCACTGCGTGCTACTGCCTTGTGCTCAAGACTACGCTGCGCTCATCTCCTCTGCGCTGCATTATCTTGTTGTGCTGATTGCCATGTCTTGTTGCACTGCTGCCAAGTTTTGCTGCCTACTCCCAACCCAAAACTCACTTGTTTTGACATTGTCTTGCTTCTCGTGTGCACCTCCCATGCACCTTTGGCTTACCTTGGCATGGTGAAAAACATTAAAACCATGCCATGGCCTATGCCATTTGCTAAGGGTCTCACAAACCTCCCTCACCACAAGAGTCTGATGCCCTCATCGACTTAACTCCTTGGTAGTCTTCGTTCCTTTGAACATCTTTTGGCTCCACTTAAACCACTTCTCCATCGATCTCCTCCATGGACTTGTCATCGCTTAACTCAACTAGGATCACCTCTATCTCAGACTCTTCCATAGGCTTCTCTTCGTTGTCACTTGAGATCACAATTATGCCGGCCATAGTCTCCACCATATGCTCATATTCCCTTATTGGCTCCTCATTAGCCTCGGGGTTTTCATCCCATTTTTCAAACATAACATTCCTCATAATGTTATCAATTGCTGAGCTTACCCATGGATCATCTTCTAACTCATTTTCCGAAAGGTTTGAATCAAAAGAAACAGAGTGAGTCGCATTTGCCATCAACTCATTAAAACGCTCTTGGAAGTCTATGTGCCTTGTGGTTATATAGGCCAATTCGAAATCAAACTCATCTAATACATCAAATTAAATGCTAAATTCATCTCAAATAGTAAATACATGTGATTATGCAGCCCACAAGTCCTCGCCACAAACTTCCTATCCAGCATGTAGATCCTCCAAGTATCAAGACAATGCGCCAAAGCCTCAAACTGCATCTCTTTTAGGCCATAATTCAAATCCAAATTTAGCTCCATGTTTTCATTTGCCTCTATCAACATACCCTCATGCAGCAAAGTAGCATCAATGAAAACTTCTGGAGGTTCTATGGCAAACACATCCACGAACACCTCAATCACCTCCAACACCGATTGATCAGTCGCATCCTCTCCTAAAGGATCTTCCGGTGGGATAACTCTTAGTGAATTCAATAAAACCATTGGATTCACTTAAAGACTGCTGCTCTCTTCCGCACCTCCATCTCTCTTTGTCACAATTGCATGCAAGTTCTGCCTCTTTGGATAGTCCTTCACAAGGTGGGGTCCTTGGCAAAGAAAGCAACCCAAGAACTTCTTTTTGTCCTTGTGCTCTTCACCCTTGTCGCCATCTAGAACAACCTTAGTCTCCTTACATTTGTCGACTGGCTTGTTGTCCAAATGTTTATTCCCACCTTGTTCTTTTTTTCCACTAGAAGTAACTGCTACTATATAGTCCATTAGTCTCTCGGTTGCAGCAATGGCGGAATTGAAACTCTTCACATCTTGTCTCTTCAATTCCGACTGTGCCTAGGGCTGCAAATTCATGAGGAAGTTAAACAACTTATCCTCTTCCGACATATTAGACATGTCGAGCATCAAAGAACAGAAAGCATTCACGTAGTCCTTCACTGAACCCACTTGTTGTAAATTCTTTAAGGCTTCCCTTCTTAGTCATGCAACATTGCATGGAAGGAACTGAGCTCTTAATTCCTTCTTCAACACAACCCACTCATCAATTGTAGGTCTGCCTCCACTTGTCACTTCTTGTACACGAGCCCTCCACCACAACTTAGCATCTCTAGCCAAGTACATGCTTGTGATAGACACCCTCTTAGCATCCGGAATCTTGGCAGCTTGGAAATACTGCTCCATATCCCATAAGAAATTCTCCGACTTTTTGGAGCTTTGTTCGACAACATATGCCTTTGGCTCCGGCACCTTGATCTTGGTCGTCATTGAAAGCAAGCTTCACCATGCTCAATTCTGTCTTCACCTCCTTGAGCTTTCCACTAATGGCCTCCGCTAAGCCATCCATATCACCTAAAACATCGGTGATCTTCTTCTCCATAAAAGATTTCAACTTTTTGAAGACTCTTTCAATCTTTGTTGTCTTAGCATTATGACCCTACATCTGGGTGACTACACGCTCAGTCTCAACCCCATTCACAGTACCAAGGAAATCTTTTATCCTTGTTACTCTCTCTTTCAAGGAATTACTACCTCCAGCCATTCCTTTCTCGCTTTCAACTCCAAGACTGTTCCTTGCTCGAAAATTGCCCTCCTTACGGATCCCAATGGACAATCCTCCATCTAGGTGACCACATAAACGCTCTGATACCAACTGTAATAGGGGCGTGAAAAATGCCTTTAATTTTTCGACCCTTGTCCGGCACTTCTACTCCTCCTAAGTCACCCTTCTCACACCTCCAACTCGTAAGGATTCAGAATTCACATAGCGGTACAGGTGATTACCAACATACAACAAGCAAGACTTGCCTACACAAGAAAACTCTTACACTCAATATACGGGCAAATTTCCCAACCTTCTATTCTCAAATAGCAAAGGATTACAAGCTCTTACTGTTTGTTGGACAACCACATCACTTGGTATCTCAACTTCACCTTCACAAGTTATTTATAGGCATAAACTATGTAGATGACACCTTCATCTACTTAGGAAATGTTAACATCCATTAGATTTGTCGCCTAGACATTTGTTTCTATATGAACACCTGCCTAGCCCACTCTTGCCGCCACCTTACAGCCCATTTGGTCACGGAGCTGATTTTTACTCCTAAAAATCTCTATCACTCCTTGGAACATGCAGCCACACTCATGTAACCGCCTGCACTTGCTCCAGCTATCAGCCACATCCTGAATTTTAAGCTTGCAGCACTCTTACCATGTCCAACCACCTTTCGAATTGCTTCAAAACCGTTTTGCCATGTCAGAAACCCATTACAACACGTCTGTCAGCCAACTGCCACATCCATCCCACATCCTGTCTACATCCGTTGTGATCACTGCTTGTAAATCTGCGCTGCACGCTGCATGTCCCAGCCCTGCCATGTGCTATTGTGCTGACTGCTATGTCTTGATGCACTGCTGCCAAGTTTTGCTGCCTATACCCAGCCCAAAACTCACTTGTTCTAACATTGTTATGCTTCTCATATGCACCTTTGGCTTGCTTTAGCATGGTGCAGAACATCAAAACCACGTCATGGCCTATGCCACTTGCTAAGGGTCTTATGAGAGCTTCTAATGTCAACAGAAGGATAGGCTCAAGTTTTGTTTCTCCATTAAGGGGAATGGTGGAAGTTAGCTCATACACATTGTTGATGACAGTTGCTTGGTCGACCAGGGTAGCATGAGGATCTACCATATTTGCCTAAAAAGAAGAATGTAAATTTTCTAAAAACTTTGGAACTTTGGAAAAATAATAATAAGGTGAAGTAAAGTTACCTGAGGAATTGGGTCTTCGGGGACCGCCTCAGAAGGATGGCTCAAAGGAGGTTCTGAATTAATGGTGAAGAAGTGTTGGAGCTCAACCTTAGTGGTCGTCGAACCGGCCGAGACAAACTTGGGTCCAACATAAGTCCTCTGAAATATTTAAATGTTCAAGTAAGAACTTGGGGGCATATGTAAAAGAAGTTTTTATAATTTAAAAAAAAAACTTGAAAATTTTGAAGTACCGGTGATTCTGCATGTGAGGGAAGTCATCCTCGGTCAACATGGCCTCGAGCTTCATAGGACAACCTCCAGACGTTTGGGCCGTTTCATGTGACTCCATGGGAGCTTCGTCCAGGTGTCTCGAGGTATAGGTGTCGGCCAACTAAGTTTTGAGAATTTTGGTAAATGAATGAAAGAAACAAAAAAAAAAAAAAAAAAAAAAAAAAAAAAAAACAAGTGGTGGAGGAGATGAGCTTACCCCGATCTCATGCTCGGAGTTCATAATATGCTCCAACTTTTGTCTCAAACATGGGAAGTTGAGCTTCCTATAATTTGAGGCATAAAGATAAGTCAAGGCCCTCAAAATTAGTAAATAAAAATATGTAGAGATAAAATAGGCTTACTGGAGCAACAAACGAAGAAGTGGCCGATTGCGTTGCCACAATCGAGTGGCATAAGTTAGGTTGTTTCGCCAACCTTGATGAACTTACAAATTGAAGGATTTTTTTTTTTAAAAGGTGCAGCCAAATTTGGGGGCAAAAGGTTCTGCGGATATAAGTTTTTAGCAAATCATTAAACATGGAGAATGACTTTCCTTGGGTGGAGGCATGTGGCCTATTCTCGCCTCAATCAGAATTAGAATCGACGGGGTTAGTGGAACACTCCTTCTCAACAGCATCAACTATAAGTTTTGAAATGTTAGGAAAAAACAATGAAATGATCAAGAATGAGAAAGTAAGCATTCTACCTTTAGCCTGAGCTTTTTTCTTCTGTTTTTCCTAGTGTAAGTTTACTTTATTGTAATTTATATTTTCTTGCTTTTAACTTCAAGTTTATTTAAATTGCTTTACTTTTCATTGTTATCAAATTTTTATTAAGTTTAATTTACTTTATTATTCTTATTTCGTTCTTGCTTTACTTTATGTTTATTTATCGCTTTGATCTATTTTATCGAACTTATATTCTCGCCATTTAGTTTAAATTACGTTTTAGTTCAATTGCACCATTTTCATTATAAAAAAAAACCTAAAAATCACAACAACAAAACATCCATATGAAGCCAAACCATCCCCGAGCCCGAGGAAGTGAAAGAACCTAGGCCAAGAGGAGGTTCCTTGCTTGGCCGATCGATCACTTGATCAGAAGTCAAAAGAGCAACATATCCGTCCAATTCTTTTCATCCAAGTCATTCAGTGGCTTGGTGGTGGCACGCCTAAAAAACTCAAGAAAAGAAGGAACAAAATTTCCTTTCGTCGACCATCTCGGCTGAAAAGAGGGAAACACAAGTCAAGTCAAGTAGGAGTCATTATCCCAAACCGAACTCTCATGCAATTAGTGGAGGTCGACCAAAAGCATATGCATGCTATGATAAGTGGTCGATCGTAAGGAAAGGTTCCGGAGGCGCAGAGGACTAGCACATTGTAGATGGCAATGTTTTGCAAGATGTTCTTCAATTTTGGTTCCATAGCTTTAAACCAATCAAATCAATCTCGCTTAGAATTGTTGTCAACCACCGTAGTAAGTTTTTTGGCCATGGAATTTTGTCCTGCCACAAGATCGACCTTAGAAGTATACCCATATGGCCAACCTTTGAAAGGTCTAGAACTCTCCCAAGTCGATGATCAACCAAACTGTGTAAGGTAGATGATCGTCACTTTGCTCAACCCAAGTTTTCACCACTTCATCTAAAGGTTGAAGTGAGTAAAGAGGCCCATAAGATATCTAGGGAACTCGCCTTGAAGTCAGATGGCGTAGGCTTCATCGTGCTTGTCTCAATTCTCAGCCATGACCTTTTTCAATTGGGCCATATGAGAAATGATGGTTTCTTGCACCAAATTCTTCCTACAAACACAAATACTATCTGAATCAAGAAAAAATAGTGGCAAAAGTGAAAATTTGCCAACATAAAGAACACCATGGATAAACCCAAACTTTCAAAGTTCAAAATCAAACTTCCAAGAGCCGCAATTCATCAAAATGATGAATCTAAGAAAGAAATTTAAAGTTAGATGTGATTCAGTTACCCTTCCACCTGAAGGCCAAGGAATTGAGGGGGCAATATTGGAGACTCGATTAAATCCACCTAGAGGAATGTTATGCGACTTGATAGATGAAACTATGCGACATGTGGCTATTTGATTTGTAAAAAGATTTTTCTCTTATTAATCAAAAAAGAGAAAGACAAACAGTGGTAGAAACCAAAAAAGTAAAAGAGACCAAATTTGTTTTAAAAAATAAAACTGAAGTTTTCCCAAAATCTTGGTTCTTTGACAATTCACAAGGGATGAAAAACTAAGCAGAAGAATTAGAATCGGGGGACGTCATAATCAGAGGAGGTTGCAGGTAGCAGTTGCAAGGTTTCTGAGAACATGTTTTGTTTTGTCGACAACAAGAAGAAGAGAAGTGTTGTGTTTTTTTTTCTTTTTTAGGAAACATGTTTTGTTTAATTGAAAATAATATAAAATTTATTTTTTATCCACCCTTAGATCAGATCCAAGGTTGAGTGACAACTAATTCCTTGCACACTAGAGTCCAGGAGAATGAGATTGTATATTATATGGGAGCTGATTTTTCTACTCCCATTTTCTCCACTTACACTCTCTTCTGCTTTTTAATATTTTTTAAATCAATTTTGTTCTTTCTCTTTCCTATTCTACCCTTACCCTACATTAATTTCTTTTTTACTTCACTTTTATATTATTTCTTTTATACTTAATTTTCCAACTTACACTTCATTTTCAATATTAAAGGAAAAAACAACTAAAAATAGAGTGCAATTTGAAAAATTAAGTATAAAGAAAAAGAACTAATATAAAAGTGAAGTAAAAAGAAATTAATGTATGGTAAAGATAGAATAGGAAAGAGAAAGAACAAAATTGATAAATAAATAAATAAAAGTATTAAAAAGCAAAAGGCAGCGTAAGTAGAGAAAAGAAGAGTGGAGAAATCAGATCTCTATTATATATAGACATTGAGATCATGTGCATGCTTCCTAAATAGCTTCATGGTTGAAGCAAGCCAAAGCCTTGCGGCTGTGATTGTTTAAACCTAAATGGTACATACATAAGTAGGTGCCTTATGGCCTTTTTCTAATTATGAAGGCCAAGCAGCCATAATAGGATCAAACATGGATTAATGCTTATATAGCCAATTTAAATTCAAACATCATACCGCCGACAAGATATATATAGTCCAAGCCAATTGAGTTTGGATGTGAGTCATACATAGTCCATTAGGTTTTTCAAAAATTTCGAACTGAGTCAAGCCAGACTTAGAAGGCAAGATGAGGACTTCAAGCTTGAGCTTTTTGGCCCCAATTTTGATTTGAGCTTTGAGCTCGCTTTTATTTATTTATATATATAGTAATGCATAAGGGTGGACATCAATTCAACCAAACATACTAAACCGGCCAATCCAAACTCTAATGGATGGTTTTATTTGGTTTTGACAAGAAAATTGTCAAACGATTTAAGAACCCAACTAGACGGTAATGGTTTGGTTCAATTTTGAGCTTTAGCAAATCAGATTAAATTGAATAGGACTATCTACTTGTATATTATTTTATTTTACAAATGTAGTCCTCTCATTGAATTATAAGAGCACCTCCAACGCTCCCAATTTGCCCAGGCAGGAGGGGGCCTAGGGCCAAGGCTTGGTCTCCAACGTGCAACAGAAGATTGGGCAGCTTATGGACTCCACAAGCCTGAGCAGGCCCAAAGGCAAATCTTGCTTGGGATGTTGCTTGGGTTTGCTGAGGTCAGCAACAAAAAAAAATCTTTAAAAATACCAAAAATTCATATTTAAAAAAAAATATATATATATATATATATATCTAGTCATATTCTTCACTTCCCACACCAAAATTAATGATTTAAATACTAAAAAATAAATTAGAAAATAAATTCAAGTGAATAGTAATTGCCCTTACCCATACCTTTTGAGGTGGAAACAAAAAAGGCAAAGGCTGCCACTATTCACGTGAATAGTGACAAACCTTGCCTTGCCTTGCCCCTGCCCTTTGGGGTGGAGGTGCTCTAAGATGTTGAATTTCAAGTTTGATCGAACTTTATTATTGATATTTGAATTGCAACTATATTATTAAACTTATAAGTTTTATAACGTGTTGAATTTTAGGATTATTTTATATGCTAAAAATTGAAAAATGTGTGACATATTTTGAATTATTTTATTTTTAATTGGGCTAACAAGGGTGTGAAAATGTAAAAGAAAAAAGAATTGTGCTTAGGCCCACATCGGCCGAAAATGTCTTAAATTGGTTTGGTTTAGTTCAATTTTGTTTACCCCAAATCTACTTGTAATTAGGCCAAGAGATTGTTTTAATTGCAAGTATGCCACTATTAGTTGTAAAAACCCTAATAAATAGAAGAATAAAAATAACAAGAAAAATAACTTGCGGGAGCTAGAATCTTGGTGAAAACTGTACTGCAAAGAAGATCACATCACATTCAATTGATGAAAATCAATTGGAAATCAATACCAATGTGAAAATTGGCTGAGCTATTCAAGCCTCAAAAACCAAGCCACAAAAGACTCAAATCTGAGTATAAACGCAAATAAATCAACGGAAGCCTTTGAATCCTTTGAAAACCTTAGAATATCATGTAAGAGATGTTGGTTGTGTAAGTATTTGAGTTGTCAAAAGTTGTTTTGAGTATGAACTTAAACCCTTTTATATAGTGAAATGCTTGCCCTAGCTTGAATCGACACAGAAATTGCTTCAGTGTCTTTTCTATTTTGTTAGCTTTAAATTAGGTCCCATTTTGAAACATTAACGTATGATAACAAGTATAGAAATTGCACACCATTTTCACACACACACACACAAAAAAAGACATAGATGTCTTACATTATTTTCTCTTTATGCTTCAAGTTAGCGTTCTAGCCTCACGTCTTATACAGATTACAGCAAAGCACAAATATACATAACGCCCCCATTGGAGCTAAAGAAACCTGTACAGAGAAAGCATCATTCATGTTGCATGAGACATCATTTTAAACTTGGACCCCTACCCTCTGAGCCACCTGCATCAGCAGAAAAGTAATCAAACTGTTATTAACCATGAATGTTGGGTTGGAATATTTTAATTAAAATGGACAAGAGTCCCGGCCGTTGTTTGGTGTGCGGGGCTGGACTTTTAAATTAGACAACAGTCCAGCTTACAAGTCCCACCTATAGGGGTGGGACTCATAAGGACTGGCCTGGACTAAACTCCAATCAAATCCAAGTTGGGCCACCAAATGAGGAAGAGTGTTAAACTAAATATATAAAATCATAGATATGCATAAATACATATTCAGGAATGAGGATGACTAGAAAATAACGAAATGACAAAAACAAGAATGACAAGGACAACAATAACGACAAGGAGGATGAATGCCAAGAGAGTTTGACACACATTTCTATGGTCCTTAAACAAGTGTATAGGATCCACAAGTTCAGAAAATTGAACAAACAGTAAAATGCTATGAGGCAGACTCCAAAATGCAGCTCCCCCTATCTGAGCTAGCTGAAGGAAGCTCTCCAAAATCAGGGTAGTTTAAATTTCTACTGAATCCAAGATCCCGACTTCAAGAAAAATATGGACTCACACATTCTAGAAATGGAGCAGCTATGGTAGGTGGAAATTCTGTAAAGTTGTGGAGAAGAGTGAAAAAAGGTTTTTCCCCAATCAAAAGGTTGCATTGGAAGCAACTTCAGGGACAGAGAAGAAATTTTTTTCCTCACATTGCACAATGTGAAGTGTTAATTTAAAAAATCTGAACCAGGGTAGACTGATCAAACTGTTCCTGGAAGATTTTCTAGAGACTAAATTACACAGCATAATATACACTTAAAATTCCCTTAGAAGAAATGTGATGAGAGACATACCTCCTTAAAGGAGTGAACATCACTTCCCCAAAGCCAAGCATCACAGCCTGCATCTCTGGCACCCCATATATCATTCCTACGATCATCTCCCACATGCACCGCATCCTCAGGTTTTACTCCTAATAATTCACAAGCTTTAAGAAATATTGTTGGATTTGGCTTCTCTGCTTCAACCTGTTCATAAGAGAAAATCATAACATCAGCAATCGCATAATGATTAGCAATAGCTAGCTATAGCTTTGACATACCATACCCATACATTAAATAAAAAAAAAAAAAAAAAAAAAAAAAAAAAAAAAAAAAAAAAACTCTCAATATCTTATTATTATTATATATAATACAAATATGGAATTTCTGAAAATCCGAATAAGCTTTCTTCTTGTCTGCGTTACGCGTGTGAGTGAGAGAGAGGGGCAAAACACATGCAAACTGCTAAAAGATTCTAAGCAATTCACTTACTTCGGCTGACACTGCTACCGCATCAAACCAATGTTCACAATTTAGAGCCTGCAAAAGAGGTCTTAATCGAGTATCAAAATTTGACACAACAGCTACTTTGACACCTGCTTTTCTCAGAGCTTGAAACACTTTCCCAGCATCAGGATCACAGAGGTGCCAAGCCTACGAGAAAACACAGTGAAAAATATCATAACCCAATTCTGACTTCTATATTGCTATACAGATAATGGTAATTATAAAATGTCAAACCTTGTTAGTTGTATAGTAGTTATAAAGTTCTTCAAAGTACTGGGAATCTGAACAGCCAGTGGAAGAACTGACTATATATTGCCAGAAGGGTCTCCCATCATTTACATATCTGCAATGAAATAAGAGTAAAATGCTCACTTTAATGATCAAAAAGAAAATCAGAGAATTCACTCCAAACATGACAGAACTACTGCTAAACTTCTTTATTTAACTTAAGGAAAGATTATAGACTAAACAAAAAAGAAAGGAAACGAACTCTTCTACTTGACCAACCCATTGATTACATATTGGATAGACAGGGAAAATTCTACGATAATATATTTCTCAAAATGCGATAAGGAACCACTTGACTATATACTACTAATAGAAACTTGCCAACTTAATGTTATAAAAATTAGAAAAACAAAGTTTATGAAATTAGCTTCTCAGCTAACTTCCAGGATGCAATATCAAAGCTATTAAAGGCAAAATTTTATTTAATTATTTCTATCCCATAAAATGAAAGTGCAACACTTCGGAACAACTCCTCAGAAACTAAATCAGGCAAGAACTAAGAGGAGACAGAAATTCATGATAACCATGGTGAATCAAAAAGTAAATACGTAAAATTTACACTTAAATTGGATTATTGCCTAAACCTATATCACCCAGAAAAAAAAAAAAAAAAAAAAAAAAAAAAAAAAAATTTATTGATTGGAGAAAAATGGGAAGAGACCTGAGACGAGATCTACCCCAAGGCTGCCCGTAAGCCCTTCTGTATCTGTTCAAAATCTCAGCCTCTGAGTACTCCACTCCATACTTCTCGCCTATCTTCCTATATATCTATATCAACAGAAAAATAAACAATATGTCAGCATAGAAATAGAGACACAGATAATAGCGCAAGAACATTATATATAAAAAATTTAAAATATATATAATAAAAAACTCCACAAACTTGCAAACCCAATAATTGCTATGCTACAAAATCACAAGCACAATATAATTTTAAAAGGAAACTTCCCAGAAATCCAATTCTGCCACACAAAAACCAAGAATTCAATGCAAGCACAAAAAACCAATATTTATCCATATAATTTATAAATACCTCCATATAAAATGCGCAGTAAAGTATGTTCTTGGATTTTCACCATTTATGTATAAATTTAGCCCAAAACACAAAATGGAAAAAAAGAAACAAAAAATAGGAAAAGAAACAAGACCCACAAACTTCAATTCATAGATATACAAAACCAGAAACCCAAAAAATTCAATTCATAAATATACCAACCCAGAAACCCAAAAGTTCAACACATACTTAGAAACATTGAGCAATAAATATGTAGCTGTGCATGTAAAGTGTGTGTGTGTGTGTGTGTGTGTGTGAGAGAGAGAGAGAGAGAGAGAGAGGGAACCTGAGCCATTGGCTGGGAAGGAACAACAAGGGTGCCAACAGCATCAACAAGCAGAGCCTTGTGGGTGATTTCACCATAAAGAGACCTCCTATAATCTTCATAATCTTTCACACCCAAGATCTCCAAACCCAGGTGCCTCGACCCAACGACCCCTGGCTCTTGCTGTGCCACAGCAGAGGTCGAATAGGCCGTCAACCCGAGCCCACAGCCCCGGTCGACCCGAACCGGTCCCTTAACGCCATTGGAGCAAGACCCATATCCTAAAATTGGTGCTTTCGTAGTGAGAGTCGTCAGCAGCCTAAAGAGCTTTGTTCTGGTTGCCATTAGCGCCATTACTGAGCTTCATTTGAGGCTCTACTGCACAATGGTTGTTTCAGTTTTTGGCTCCATGCGTGACTCACTGACTCAGCTTAAAACCAGAACCGAATGCTGGGGTGCCAACATCTTAAAGATCCTTGATGTGGGGAGTCTTTATAGAAATGCATCTCGGGTTCTGGTTTTACTAAAATGGCCTCAAGAGGTTTTCTAATTTTCTTTTAATTCATCTTTATTTAGTTTTTAATTGTGTAACATTCTCGTTTGGTATCTACGATTGAATTATATTCTACCGCGCATTAAATTTAGGTACATTGAAGGAGAAAATAAAAGTATAAATGAATATTATATGTTAATATCTTATAATTTTATATTTATTAAATAAGATAAGTTTCCTTCACAAGTTATTCTGATGTAAAATCGCTTTTTCCTTTTCTTTAATGGGAAATGTCCTTATCTTGCATACGTCACAGGAAACAAAATAGAATTTCATAGAAAATTCAAAAATTAATGTGATGACCAATGATTGTGTACAATATACATTGCAACCTTTCATTCTTGTAATCTAGTGGGCTGCCGCACATCGTAGAATTTGTGTATTCTTATTTTCTGAAGTTATTTTAAAGATGAACTTCGTCATTTAATTTTCCAATTGACACAAAAGAATTTCTTTAAAACATTTATACTTCGATTAACGGGATCTAATTCAATGAGAAATGATCGTGGGAAGTGTTTGTGTGTGAGAGCTCCGCCACTTACTTTGTCTTTTTCATCCCTCTCTTTTTCGCTATCATTGTAGCTTCCGCCACTTGACTACTACCTACCCAATGGCATCCTCTCAAATATTGGAAACCTCTTTTCCTCCACGGTGCGTCGTAAAGGTTCTAAGATATTATTTGGGTAAGTCTTTAAATACAATGGGATTTAAATATGAAATATAAAATTTATCTTTATGAAGTATAATCTATAAATGAGAAGTGGTGATAGTTGTGGTAATGGTTCAGTGGTTATGACAATGACGATGGTGGTCATGGTGCTGGCGACGAGATGGGGGTGGTGATTGATTGTACTGGTCACTGGTGTTCGAGGTTGTGGCAAATATAATGATGGTGGTCGCAATAGTAGGGATGGTAATGAAAATGAGGTGGTGGTTGGAGTTCAGGTGGAGAAGATGGTGGTGGGGATGGGGATGGGGATGGGGTGGATGTGACGATGATTTTAACTTCTTTTTTCTTCAAATTCATTGTCTTGGAATTTTTTTAATATAAACAATGGATACCGAGCCTCTACATTTAGCATTTGTGCATTTACGTGTATTTAAAGGGATGTTAACTATTAAATTGATCTAATGAATTTTAATAAGTCCACGTCATCATATTATACCAAAACTCACCATTTGCAACTTATTATATGTATATCTTTAAAATTAAAAATTAAAAACTCCCATCATACAGCAACCCCCTCCCTCCCCAACCCAGCCTTTATATTACTGCCTGCCAATTGCCTCTGCCTCTCACTCTCTTTTCTTCTCTCTCACACACACCTTCACTAGGTCCTACAGTTGGTAGGCACCTCTAGGATTTTCAGTCTGTTTAATTTTGAAGTACTTGCTTGTTGTTGAGACAATAATTCCATGTTAAATACTACAATAGGACCATGAATGGCGCAGAGAGAGGTGGTGGCCATGGATAGCAGCAATTGGTGGGAGTGGTTTAGGGCTGGGCCGGGTAGGGGCTATGTTGGAGTCTGAGAGAGATGTTGAGATGTGGATTTGTTAAAATTCATTAGATCAATCTAATGGTTAACATCCCTTTAAATGCATGGATGCTAAATGTAGAGGCTCGAGATCCATAAACAATAGTCTAAGCTACAAGAGAAATGGAGGTTTTTCATACACACATTATCAATGTACCATGGGGATTCAAACTTGAGACTACTGGTATGTAAGTCAAAATCCTTCTTTATTGGGCTACCACGTTGGCATTGTCATTGAATTTTAGAAAATACATTTGTGTTTAGGCGGAATGTGAACTTGGAATTTATGACGACATCAAAATATGCAAGTCAATACCTATTTTTCTAGACTAAACCACATCGGCAAATAAGAAAGTTAATTAGTTTATGTTATCATAATGTATGACTTTAAATAAGGAAGTTAGATTCATCTTCTTAACGATTAAATCATATATATCACAATCAATCAAATTTGATGAACAACTTCACGAACATGACCTCATTCAATAACGGGCACGAGAGAAACTGTACATGCCCTAATATATCTTTTACGTGATTCACTTTTTATGGTGCTAATTTTAGAATCGGATTAGGTTACATGTCCTCAGTACGATACGAAGCAAGTGATGATTTTATTGCAATCTTAATTAAACAAGCGATTGTGACTTCTTTTTTTCTTTCTCTTAGAAAAGATTGTGATAATTCACATTTCACAAACATTTCCCATTTTATAAAACTATACGGTGAAAATCCAAAAGTCTCTCAATTAAGAGTTCGTTTAGTTCACGATTTAAATTTTTTGAGAATATGTATGAAATTGCGTCACCATATTTAACAAATCGACTCTTGATAATTCATAGATATAAACTTTTCATGTACAGGGAAATTTCCGGAATTTCATACCATTGACTCTCCTTCAAGTTTTACTAGGAACTTATACAAATGTTACAAAACAATAAATAAATAAATAAAAACTATAGACTCCAAATTAAAAAAACCATTTGCCCTGAGGCCTATCTTGCACTGATTTGTTGGTAGCAGGGTTTCCATACGCAATGTTCTCTGGATAATTTAAAACCAACTGAACCTGGCCTTGCGCATACAGACAGATACAAGAAAACTAAAACGACACGTGGGTGTGGGTGACCGCTGGGAGAACACGAAATCGCTGATGTGGCGGACACTGGAAATCGGTTAGAATCCGCATCAGCAAATTGACCCTTCTTTCCTTCTTTCCTTCTTTCCTCCTTTCCTCCTTTCCTCTCCACCTCAACCACATCTGAAAGGAAGTGGGACCCATCACTGCCATGCATGCGGGGCCCACTTTGTTTTCCTCAGTCGGCTTCATTTCATACGCCAGGTTTCTCTATCAGTCTTTCCTCATCGTCGTATCTCTCTCAACAACCAGTCTCTCTCTTCCCGCCATAGACTGTATATTTTGGCCTTGCGTGTGTGTGTTGCCAAAATTTGTCTCGTTGATTTTAAGTGCAATTATTGGAAGGCTTAACTAATTTATTATTTCGGTGTTTCATGTGCAACGGGTGTCTTTCTTTCTTTCCCTTTTCAAAGTTTTTTTATATTTTTTTAATCCAGAGTTTTCTTATAATAAGTCTCTAACCAAATTTGGTTGTACTAGAAAATTTGAATTACTTCAATTTAAACATTGAGGTCTCTCCCAAAAATTTATATGTGATGTTTTATTTGAGAATTGTAATTAATAATTTTGCGGGTATGATTTTAGGAGGACAGGGTACTCTGTCATGGGCAATATTCATTTTCCCTCTTTAAGGTTAAGAGAGTAGGCTACTTGGTTAGTCTGATGATTGAACCCTTATGTGTAGAGCAACTCGCCTAATCCTTTAGGACATAGTTATGCTTAATTTCTTTATCCTCTTATTAATAAAATACTATCGCTTTTCCTAGGTTAAATGAATAGGGTTTACTACCATTGAACTAGTATGACTAATAATTAGCATTATCCGTAAAATCTCACAATTTGTTTTTAAAGAGTCACAACATGATTTCACCGTATTGAATTACAACTTTATTTTTTTAATATACTCTTTTACTTTGGCTAGAAAAAGAAAGGGGAGGAGAATAAAATTAATGAAGATAACATGAAATAGACTCATATCATATGCGGGAAAAGGTTTTCTGGTGTTCATACCATTTTGAGTTACATTTTGCATCATACTAGCCGTGTCCATGTTTATATGAAATTCACTTAAAAAGACTCATTTCGTGAGAACACCTCTCTCTTATTTAGTATAGTGAAAATTGTGTTACTCTAAATAATATGTATCATTATAACCGTATTGATGATTATAGATCATCTCATTATTTACTTGTTTAATAATTTCATCATCATATCACGAGACCGATGTTTTGTTCTTTTTTTGTTTGTTTTTTAAATTTATTTATAAGCAATATTTGGGTGGGAGATTGTAATACATACCTCAGGTACATGAGTAACTACTCTTATATCTACTTGAGCTATGATACGATAACAGTATTTTGTTTTAGTATGATTCTTTTTATTCAGAAAGCAACCCTGTGTCTAATGGATTGTTTTGCTTTTACTTGTCACGATCTTCATATTAATTTGTGAATGAAGAATAAGTTCTGCTCTTTAAAAAATAAAAATGAGCCTAGATTTTAAGGGTTTAGGGTTCTTTACGTCCTTTGTTTTTAGTTGTTTAATTAATATTAATATTGGGTGCTTTATCGGCTTATGGTTGTCGTAATGAGGACGTCCTGGTCATTGTCACGCACTGCAAATGTCTTCATTATAATGGACAAGTTTGAGTGATAGGTAAAATCGAAGCATTGCCTCAATTTTCAAATTTGTATATTGCATTATTGCAAAATACAGTTCATGGTGAACTACCTACCAATTTGTAGTTTGTAAACCCAAAATAGACATGTCAATATAAGAAGCAGCCTATTGTTTTTTTTTTTTTTTTTTTTTTTTTTTTACACCAATACTTTCGACTGCACAATATGGTGTAACTTTTATATCCATCTCGTTGTGATTAATGAATCTTCATTGTACATATGTCATAATAAGAACTGTTCATTTTCTAAATTATCATTTAAAGATTATCTCAATTGGAGATCGATTAGTCATTCAAACATATCAAATAAATGGACAATTCATCATAAGGATTTTAATTGTTATCAAAACTATCGATTTATCCAATACAAATGAATGATTAAATAATTTTTTTTCTTTCATAGATGATAGGAAATGAACTATTCACTTGTCTAAGGTGAAGATTTGTTAATCACAATCGGGATGGGTAGTGTGATGCATCGGGGTATGCATCCAAGTATTGTTCTTTGCCTTATGCAAGGTTTAATTACTGCAAATATTAGTCCATTAATAATAATTTACCATATATGATTAACCTTTGTGGATTTCTATTTAAGTTTAGCCACACTAGTATATTTTAATTACCTGCTAATCTCATCTCACCCTACTCCAAAGGACAAAACCCAATCGAACCAAATGAGAAGTAAATATGACTTGTTGTACGTTTTCTTTTCATCTTCTCATGGTAGTTAAAAACTTTGATAAGGACTAGTCACAAAATCATATTTTAACTTCTTTTTTTTTTTTTTTTTTTTATTTATGTTGGAGGGAATATTTGCGCATATCATAAATCCTAACCTATTGCACCATCCTTCTTCACCACTTGTACGTTTATATTTTGAGCTCACTTTAAACCTCACTATATGCAATCAATAAACAAATTTCATATTTTTTAAAGACGTCCTTGCATTCATCTCCAATAAGGTGCAAGGGGGCAGACTTACTCCCCTAGCCAACTGACCTAAACCCACGTATGCTCTAAAAATGTTTTAAATTTTGAGTTATTTGAAAGTTTAGCATATAGTATTCATTTATAAAACTAAATGATGTGACGTGTCCCTACCATGAAAACGATAGGGAGGATGAACAATAATTCTCGGCCTGCTGTATTCTACGTTTCTTTCCCTCCAAATTATGTTAAAAAGTACTTTTTTCAAATGAAAGAAGGAAACACAATCCAATCACAAATGCCCCACTCGAAGTACGGCATTGGTTAGTCCTCCGTTCATCTCTAGCCACATGAACGACACATAAAGACTGAAAACGACACATAAAGGAATGGTTGAGAAAACTGGGAAAGAGTTGAGGACTGGTGGTGAGTAAGAATAGTTGTTGGGCTTGGACAAATCAGTATGTGGGTATACGAGTAAAAGGGCCCACTAGTTTGGAACCGGATGCCGAAATGATTAAAGCCATGGTGGATAAAAGTAGGCCCACCATACTTTTAACTCTTGACAACACTCCTCCGTCACATTTTTATGAGGCTGACTACTCAAAGTATGGTCAAGTTTCAGACTCTTCACTGGAAGTCACAATGTCCATCTTTATCCTCTTGATCAATGTTTGACGTATCACTTTGCTCCACACCTCATCAAGCGCCTTCAAATTTCCATCAAAATTGATGATGTGGCTATCATGTGGCAGGAAATTAGAGGGTCATGCATGTAGAAGTCACACCATTGATTTTGACGAAGTTATTGATGGACTTGAGACGCAAAACGTTAGTCAAACGGAGAAGGCGAGTCATCATGAATTTTAAACGTAGTTTAAAGGGCACTAGCGTATCTAAAGCATTCTTCTTATAATTTTATTAGGTCGCTTTTTGTGCAATTTTCTTTCTTATTATCATAGTATATAAATAAAATATATATGTGTATTATTTGATAAATTTTGTTAGAAATACGATGGAAAATTCCCTATTACATAATAATATTTACTTAAAAATTGTAATTGATAATCTTTTATCTCTATATATAAAAGGAGAATGACAAACTGATGAAACTTAAAAAATAAAAAAGAGTTTTTCTATTTAAACCTCGAACTTCTAATTCAAATTTTCACAATTTCTAAGAAAACCCCACTTCTTCACTGGAAGTCACAATGTCCATCTTTATCCTCTTGATCAATGTTTGACGTATCACTTTGCTCCACACCTCATCAAGCGCCTTCAAAGTTCCGTCCAAATTGATGATGTGGCTATCATGTGGCAGGAAATTAGAGGGTCATGAATGTAGAAGTCACACCATTGATTTTGACGAAGTTATTGATGGACTTGACGATGAGGAACAAATTGAGACGCAAAACGTTAGTTAAACAGAGAAGGTGAGTCATCATGAATTTTAAACGTAGTTTAAAGGGCACTAGCATATCTAAAGCATTTTTCTTATAATTTTATTAGGTTGCTTTTTGTGCAATTTTCTTTCTTATTATCATAGTATATAAATAAAATATATGTGTATTATTTGATAAATTTTGTTAGAAATACGATGGAAAATTCCCTATTACGTAATAATATTTACTTAAAAATTGTAATTGATAATCTTTGATCTCTATATATAAAGGGAGAATGACAAACTGATGAAACTTAAAAAATAAAAAAAAGAGTTTTTCTATTTAAACCTCGAACTTCTAATTCAAATTTTCACAATTTCTAAGAAAACCTCACTTTCATCCCAAACTACCTAAATACACACACAAAAAAAAAAAACAATAAAAAAAAAAAAAAAAAAAAAAAAAAAAAAAAAAAATCAACCTCACACCCCACACCCCCGTTATCTTGCCCCTCACCACTCTAAATTCACTTCAACCTCACATTACTTAAAGAGAAAAAAAACAATGTTGTCAAATGTGTATCATAATTTATTTTTAATAAAAAAAAAAAAAAAAAAAAAAAAAAAAAAAAAAAAAGAAGGAATGATGGATAAATATTCTATTGGAGATGATACTAGTAGATACAAACAAAAGGCAACCAGAGCATCCTGCTACTTCAAAAAATCAAAATTATACGCCAATTTGAAAATGGGAAAAAGGGTGGTGGTCATACTTTACTTGTTTTTCTTTATAAAAAAATTCCAAATAGCAGAGGGTATCAATTTCTTTTGATAAAACAAACTTCTCTTCAATAATCTTTGATAAAATAAAAGTGTAGAGGAGTATGTGTTTTTTTAAAACATAATATGAAGAGTTTTGGAGTGTGTTTATAGATGTACTAGGGTTAGACATTAAGTTGGATGACCTTTTTTTTGTCTTTTTACACAATAATAAAACTTAAGAGCTTAATAATTTAAGTATTAGGAGAAAAAAAAAAAAAAAAAAATAAAAAAAAAATAAAAAAAAACAAGTGGCTTGAGTTTACAAAATTTCTAAGAAATCACGTTTCAACATCCCGAGGATAAAATACTAATAATCAATTTTTTAGTTGAAAACAAAATTGCAAAAAATAACCCATATAAAACTAAGAGCGTACAAAATTGAAAAAAAAGAAGAAAAAAGTAAGTCATAAAGGAAGTTTCACAAATGATGTCGGCAACCAAGAAATCAGAAGGACACTTATCCAACTTTGAAGATAGCGCAAAAGAACCAGATGGCTTGAAAACATAAGTTTGTATGTGTGTGGATGTGGTGGTGCTGGACCCCTTTCATTGTCAATGCAACCCTGATGGCTTGAAAACATATATAAGATTATTGATTCCTCAAACTTTCCCTTATATTCAATTTTGTGTCCTTGCATATAACGTTGGGGCTAATTTGTGCACAAGCGTGTTGGACCTTTCTTTCAGTATTGGGTCAATAGGTTTTGGTAAGTGTGTGACTTCAAAAGGAATGAATGAGAAACCGTACCATTTGAATATATTTGTACTTAATTTCTTGCTTTTATCCCCATTTTGATTTTTTTTTTATATGAATAGGGTTTTGTTAGAGTTTGTATAGGGAAAATACACTTGCATTTAGTCCTACATTGGAAGGGAGTTGTTTTCTTTCATGGTTTATGTAGGGGACCTTTTCTTCTGGCAGTTAAGATGGGCCGGGCTGCCGTAAAGAGTAGACTGACAAAATTGTCCCCTTTGCCTGAGTTCGAAAATTAAGCCCCAAAAATACTTCGAAAGGGCAGCAAATCCTTAGGAAGTATAATGGTTACCTTCATCAACCAAAATAATAATAGCTTACAGGTAGTTTCTTTGTGCTTACAGATAAACTCTTAAGCTTAGCGTGAATGACATGTGACATGGAAAACAAAATCAACATGAGTTTAGCACTAAGAGAAAATTTAGGCTTGCTTTGAGAAAAGAAAGTGTTAGGGACAGGAAGGAGGAGTTTCGTGAAAGGTTTGGCTAAAATGGAGAACAGAGTTCTTCTGGCAGCTTGACAGATGTTCTGTCTGCCAGAAGAGGAGAATGGAGAAGAAGATGAACAGTGCACAAGACTTGCTGGTTTTTGTAAGTTAGAGAGAAAGCTTGCTCCCTGAAGCTGGGTTGGAGTTGTTGGGTAGGAGAAGCCTCAATTTATAGCCGCTGGAAACCACCATTTTTCAAGAAACCCTAATGGCTTATACCCATTTTGGCCAAGCCTTTCCCTCATTTTTCATCCATTTCCTTGGCTTTTCCTATTTTTATGAAATCCTCTCTGTTTATCAGATCAAAGTTTTTAAAGCTCAAGGCCCCTTTTTCCCGCAGCTGCCTCAAATGGTAAACTTCCATTTCCAGCCATCCTTTTTATTGATTTCTTCCTTTTTTCTATGGCTAAGTTTGATGGGAAAAGGAGCTGGGATATGTATGCTGGTTTGAAGAGTGTTTCACGCTAATACTGCTTGGTTCCTTGCATGTTTTAGCTTTGAAACTTGCTCCCTCTTTGTGCTGGAACCTCCCAGCAGCTCTATTCAATAAACTTGTTGACCCTTTTCACGTGGCTTCCATTTTTCCAACAAAGGGCTGAGGCTTTTATGGATTATCTTGGAATTTTGTATGGGCCAAGGGGGTCTCTTAAGCAAGTGGGCTATTTTTTGTTAAACATTGGGCTTCTAGGTTGCTTTAATAGGCTATTTTGCTTGGGCTTTTGGGCTACTTTTCTTTCTTGTGCTTACTCACATATTTGGGCCTAAGAAATGGGCCTGAGTCTCGAGGCTTCCAAGCAACCCGAGACCTTCCATTTCTCGGCCCATCAATGGGCCTCATGTTGATTTATTACCATCCATACCACAACCCACTCAAGCAAGCCCCCGGGCATTTGAGTGGCTTGGGCCCACTTAGGCTTGTAGCGTAGTTGGGTGTGAGATAACACTTTCGTGCTTGGCATGGCATGTCGTTTGGCATATTTTATCATCCTTGGGCAGGACTGCGATGTTTAATTTTTTGCATGGGCTTGTGGAGCCGGCATATTTTATCTCCACCCCTAGCATGGCGAATTTATTTAGCATGGCACGCAAATTATAACTCACATGTGGTGAGTCTTCATATACCTCCCTTCACGCTTTTTCCTACTGGAGTGCCATATTGGGCTGATAATTACTTGGGCCCAATCCATGAATTTTTTGGGCCTCAACATTAGCCCCCTTAATTATAAGGGCCATGAACAGGTGCTGGAATGGGCTGAAATTAAACCCAACCAAAAAAAAAAAAAAAAAAAAAAAAAAAAAAAATCAATTGTATTTGTAGAGAACTCCTCTTCTTCCCGCATGCAAAATGACGGCGTGTCATGATTAGCCCTACCAGTTACTTGCGGTTTCCCAACACCAACTGCCTTATTCTTCTTATTTTATTATTTTCTTCCCTTTTCTTTCTCTTTTCTCGCACCAGACACCAACTTCTTCAATTTCTTTCTCTTTTCACGCTCCAGACCAAAACTTCCCTCTAGCTCTCCTCCCTTCGTTTTCCTTTGCTCCTCCATGAATTCAAACCTAGTGAAAGAGTGAAGTCAGGCTGAAATTATTCACCTCCAACCGCTGAGAAGAAGACCCAAGTCAAACTCGACCCCGTCGTCCCGTCTTCGTTCAAAAAGAGTCCGTTCGTTACTACTGGAAGGGTTTCCTTTGCTCAGGTTTCTCCTTCAAATCCCTGATTTTTTTCCCCTTTGTGGTGCATTCAAGGCCATCCCTTGGGATTTTTAATGAGGTATGCCTTTCCTCTTGTTTCCCCTTGAATTTGGTTGGGTTCCTCACACCCATGGGTATTTCCCCTCTTTTGGCAGTCAAGCACCAAACCCTCTTTTAACCTATTTTGTTTTTGCAGCAACGTGGATGCTTATAGCGTGGGTGCTAGCAAGTAAGTGTCCGCACCAATCTTATGAGATTTCCTTCCTTTTTGATTTGTTAGGGCTGCTGGAAAGGTACCCATTTTTCCGTGGGAGGAAACCGTTGGCTTAGGTTTCTCCCATTTTCTTTTCCTTTACTTTTATCTTGCACGGGTTCTCTTTTTATATACGAAAAAGGCGATTCTTGGCATGATGTGCTTTCTCCTTTGTTTATTTATGTGCAGGTATATACGTTTCAGACATAGGTGATACAGGTGCTGGAAACCCTTGACATTTCTGCTGCTGGAACCTTCAAACCCTTCAGTCCTCTAACTTAGATTTTGGTAAATAACTCTACCGACTCTGGGTATTTTAGAATAGGTGTAGACTGGTGCTTGGCTTAGGCTTACTTTCCCTGAGACCACGTGCCCGATCAATCGTGGATTTTTATGTGTGTTGTGTGTGGAGAATAGAAACTGACAGAGTGCATGTTTTGTGCTGCTTGATTGCAATTTTTTTTTAATTCTTTATTTCTTTGAAAAAAGGCTTGCTTGTCATGCTTGTTGATCACAGAGTAAGACTTTTTGCTTGTTATGAGCTTGAATTTTGAATTGCATGTTTGCTTGGATGACCTCAACTAGCCGTGCTTGTTATCGTGCTCCCTTTTTTTTTTTTTTTTTTTTTTTTTTTTTTTTTTTTTTTTTCTTTTTTGTGCAGGTATTCATCGTTTCGCCAAGAGTCATCATGACATCCACTAATCCGTCATCCATCCTTAGGGATCATCTCTATTCCATATATGACAGGTTGAAAAGAGGGAGGCCACCTCCTTTGCTTAAGAGCACTGATGAAGATATAATCATTTATGGAGAGCCAGCGCCAGAAGCTACTCCAGTAATTGATCCCGCATCCATATCAAGGTGCTGCATAGAGAGAGGTCTATTTCCGACAGTCCCCTTGTTTTTTCAGTATCCATGTAGCACCAGCAAGGATTGGTGGGAGTGGGTTGACCATGAGTTGAGGAATCCGTCTACCTGTGATATCTTAAGCCGGGCAGGGGTGTTGGATGCCATCTTTATTTCTAAGGCTTGTGACATCCACATAGAAGCCAAGATGCTTCGCCACGTGGTTAGGCAATGGAGTATCGAGACACACACTTTCATTTGTTCATGGGGAGAGTTCACCCCCACACTTGAGGATGTAGCCAACATTTTCCATCTCCCACTTTGCGGCAGCCAAGATCCCTTCCGCATTGTGTTAACTCCAGAGGACGAGCTAAAGCTTACGGCTTTACGAAAGGGTGCCCCGACCTCTCCTAGTACTTCTCTGAGGTTCAGCAATTGGATTCAGTTTTTCAGGGATGGTAACCGAGATGAGCTATGTCGCCTTGCTGCGTTTGTGTCATTATGGCTTGGGAGATTCCTCTTTTGTGATTTCTCCCAAGACTGCTTGCACGAGAGGGTGTTTCCGTTAGCCTTGGCAATAGCACGTGGTAGCATGATTCCTTTAGCCCCCATGTTCTTGGGGCACCTATATCGCTTGCTCGACCATATTCAATTTCTTGAGAAAGGGGCGGCCGGAACTATGGCGGTGGAGACTTTTGCAAATTCCAGTTTTCTGCAGATCTTCTTATGGGAGCACTTTAAAGGAATAGAGGTTTCTCCACTCCCCTATCCAAAGGCTAGGTCACTTGTTGCTTCGGACGAGGGTTCCTACGTGCCGAATAGTCTTCCTTTGATCTGTGGATGGTCCCGTCGAATGCAAGGGAAGGGTCAAAATTTTTTAGAGTTGTTAGACGATGTTGAGAAATTCATCTTCCGTCCCTACTGTGTTTCATCAAAGGGATTTAGCAGTATACCCCTTTATGCTGGTTCTGATGTTTTGATCGAGGCCCTAGCCATCTCAGCGCAAGGTTGTCAGCTACGTAGAAAGGCGCTGTTAAGCGCTGCATGCCTTCCCTTGCCCACGCTTGGTGATGATCACTCGGAGGTTTCTGTGCATTATTCTCCTTATCGAGTTAGACAACAGCTCGGATTTGACCAAGGCGTGCCCTCTTGTCCCAGTCATGGAGATTCTTTGACATTACACAAGCTTTTTTGGACCGGGGACAGCATGCCGGGAGATGGCAGACCTCTCGCTCTTGCTCTGGCTAACCGACAGCGTGTTGGTGGTCTCTCGAAGGCTTACCAAAGTTATTGGAATCGCTGCTTCTCCTCATTTAGCCGATTCCACACGGCCCATTGTGATATGTTGATTCCTACCGTCATCCATCATGCTCGCTTGGTATCGGAAGAGAAGGCCATCTCCTTGAGTGAGAAACGAAATCTGCCATTCATTTCCAAAAGTGGAGCGGTTGTTGGTGATTTTTCCAAGCGAAAAGGAAATTGGAAGGACCGGGCTCTCATAGTGTTGGAAGAAGCACAGCTCGTGCGAAGCGAAAGAGAGAGGAGAGCAGCAGTGCTTAAAGGAAGAAGCGAACTGCTGATGAACTTAAAAAGTTCATTCCGAAGGTGGCAACGAGTGGCCCCCCTAGCTTGAAAAAGGGTGCCCTTCCAGAGCCTTTACCGCGGCAGCCTATGGCTTCTGGCAGCAGCAAGGAGGTTGACAAGGTGTCGGAAGCTTCATCTCCTTACAGTAAGTTTCGTCCTTTCTCGTCATATATATATATATATATATTTTTATACTTTGTTTTCAAACTGCTTCCCATCTCTTCCCCTCTTCCTTTAATCTACATGTACTTCCAAAACCAAGGGCAAAGACAAAGCAACCCCTACAGCTTCAAAACGTCGAAGTATGCGGACACTTCAAACCAGATTTGCTAGTACGCGCAAAAACAAAGGTGAAGGCTCCAAACCCGAGGTGATTGTAACGATTGATGACGATGATGATGGCAGTGACAAAAGTGGTGCCGTAGAGACTGAGGTTAGCATCCACAGGGAAGATAACACTCACAGTACAGGTGACGTGGATGAGAACCTTGATAAAGACCAATACTATAGCCATGATGAAGACACATATCTGGATTTTGACACTCACTTGGAGGAGCTAGATGCCTCAGATATACTTCTCGAATTGGCTAGTGACCGTGAGCAGCGTGTTGACATTGCATTGGTATCAAATGACCCTCTCGCTTATCCTACTTAGTATATTTACATTGCATGCTGCCTGTTGTGACTTGCATTTCATACTCCACCTTTCTCCTGCAGGTTGTGCCCACTGCAGGTGACTCATCGGAGGCCGGCCTTGAATTTCCTGCTACTGTTTTTGATGTAGTCCTGGGTCTTCCAGCAGCGCAGCTTCCTGCTCCTCCTATCCTGGGTACATCTGACATGGTTGTCAACACCTCTTCACCACTTCCAGCAGTACTTCCTCTTACTTCTCCTATCCTGGGCACATCCGACATGGCTGTTGGCACCTCTCCACCACTTCCAGCAGTACTTCCTCTTGCTCCTCTTATCCCGGGCACATCTGACATGGTTGCCGGCACCTCTCCACAGCTTCCGGCAATGCTGCCTTATGCTGGAACTTTTGACGACAGCCACAAGGATGGTGATGCTTTTATCGCAAGCACCCCCGGGGGGCATTTATTCGAGAAAAGCATGTCTTGGCAGGACTGGGAAAATTCCTTTATGGCGTTCAAAGCCTTTTTTTGATGATGGTGTCACCATCCTCAGATCTATTGACGAGCTTCTTCCGCTGTGCCATCGATTCAATGGCTATGTAACATTCCAAGGTGCTCTCGTATACTCAGAGACGGTTGAGGCCTTGAAAAAGTTTATGGAAAAATACAGGGGTTTGATGGAAGCTACTAACGTCACTTCCTCTTTCTCAAGGTGTACTGCCTTCCGAGCCCTTGGCTTAGTGCTTCAGGGGATAGACACCATGCAGCTCCTTGATATTACGGATCACAAACTACTCTGTTGGCGGGATGCGATATGTGAGGCCATAATTCTGGGCTTCCATGTGGAATTTCTCCTCAAGCTTGTGAAGAACTTAGAACATGCCGTCTTCGGAGCACAGGCCATTCATAGCATGCAATCATCACATGATTCTGATGAAGTAAAAGCTGCTGTAGATGCCTTGAGTATTAAACAACAGGAATTGGAGAACCAACGCCGGGAGATGCATGCCCTCCTTCTCGCTAAAGGTATTTCTGTTGACAGCGCTGAGTGTGTGACGGAGGCAGCATCCAGATTATCTCCTAGGGCTTCCTTCGTTCTTTTCGGACGTTCTCCATAGCCTCAAGGTACTTAGCTCATTCCTTTTTTTTTATTTTTTTATTTTTATATATCATGTTACCTCTTCCAGCATCAGCTAGTCTTGACACATACCTTCTTTTTTCAGGTCGTTCTTCCTTGACTTGGTGATTGATTATCTTGGTGCATAACTTCCCGGGACCACAAGACACACCATTTTTTAACATTTGTAGTTTTATCTCCCCTTGCCGCGATTGTGTATTTTCTTTTGAATGTTCCAACAACTATGACTTTGTGCTGTAGTATTGAACCGCTAGAGTTTGTATTATTTTTCTGGATGCTTTGAGACACGTTGTAACCTGCATGCTTTATATATATATATATATATATTGCTTGGTTGGACATGAAATTGTTTCTGCGAATCTGCTTAAGATTTTCTGACATGTTGGGTATCCTTGAAAACAAGGTGCATGCTGTCGAAATTTCGACAGGAGTAGGATTTCTAAAGTTTCTTTTACATGGTTCATCTAACACCTAGGTTCGAAAAACAGCTTCCTATTTTTCCTGAGAAGGGTCAAGTTAGTACGTGCACGATTTTTACCAAGGTTTTTATAAAACTCCCAGGTGTTATACGTATTATGTTGTTCCAGCACCTCAAGGTTACATTTTTTTTGTAACAGCTTGACTTTGCCTTCTTTAAATTATTTTGCTTGGGCCTGGTATTTTTCACCCGTTCGGGATCCCATTGAAGTAGCTTTGCTTGGCATGCCCTACTGCTAAGTGCATGTTTTTTTTTTCGTTTTTTGTTTTTTGTTTTTCTTAAAGGATATTCGGAAACATCCAAGTAATAGTCAAACTTTAAGAACATAACACTCCCCTTTTTTTTTTCAAAATATTCCTTCATTCTCATTGCAAAGCCCCTGCTACCATGATGGTGCATACATACAATGTTTTTTTTTTTTTTTTTTCAATATGAAGATAAAATAGAAGGAATTCATATTTAAACAAAGGGAAATACGATAATAAAATGTGCTGGGCATAAAATTAACTTAGCAGTAGTAAGACTTGAGCCATTTCCCGTTGATGGGATCCGTCAGCGTGCCTTCTTTGACAGAGACCAAGCGATAATAGCCGCTGTTGTGGACTTCTTTTGACTGCAAACGGGCCTTCCCATTGCGGAGCAAATTTGGAACGTCCCGACACTTGTCTTCTCACATGCTCCATGACTTTTAGCACGAGGTCTCCTTGCTTGAAGGCTCGGGGCCTGACTGTCCTGTTATAGGCTTGCGCTACAGCTTTGTGGTATAGTGTCGTTCTTCTTTTGGCTTCCATTCTTTTTTCATCCAAAGCTTCGAGATCTAGCAGGCGCCAATCCGAGCATGACTTTGTACCCCATTCAAGGTCGTTAACGGCTGATACTCTGGCAGTGGGAATAGTAATCTCTACCGGTGAAATGGCATCGGACCCATACACAAGTGAATAAGGCAAGAAACCTGTGGCACTTCTCGGAGAGATGTGGTAAGCCCATAAAGCATCCGGCAAATGGACACTCCAACCTTCTTCATACTCATGGACCATTTTGCTTAGGATTCTCAATAGAGTCTTGTTTGTGGCCTCCGCTTGACCATAGCCACTAAGCGTAGAGCTTACTTGCTTATTGACAAACGGGGTGCCATTATTGGTGACAATCTTATACAGGATCCCAAATCTGCACACGATGTATTCCCGGATGAAATTTGCGATGGCAGCCCCCGTGGCTTTTCGTAGGGGAACCGCCTCAACCCACTTTGTGAAATACTCAGTGGCTGTGAGGATCCATATATAGCCATCGGACGATGAATGAATAGTCACAATCAAGTCAAGCCCCCAAGTGTGAAAGGGCCAAGGAGTGCGCATGTCCTACAACAACGTGGGAGGCTTGTGACTTAGATTGGCATGAACTTGGCATGTGTGGACCTTCTTCACGAAATTGTATGCATCATTCTTCATAGTAGGCCAACAATACCCAACACTCAGCAGCTGCTGGTGAAGCTTCTTCATTCCTTAGTGCTCACCACATTCTCCAGCATGAATTTCTTGCATGACTTGCTGTGCCTCTGATTCTCCCAAGCATTTTAATGGCTCACCATTGAATCCATTGCGGTAGAGAGTCGACCCATCTATGAAGTACCTTCTTATTGTCTTTTTGAGCTTACGAGCATGTTTGGGATTGGTTGGCAGAACTCCGTTGATGAAGGATGCCAAGTACGGAGCCCTTCAATCTTCCACAAAGGAGATGGTGAATGATTCTTCGGTGGAGGGTATTGTTGCACATTTGGGACAATTGGCTTGCATTTCAGCTGCTTGTTTCCTCAGTTCTGGCCAGTAATAACCTTTGCGTTGCAAACGCCGATACAAGCTTATTATTGGCTCCAAATTGCAAGTGACCTTATGTACCTCTTGGAGTTTCACTCATGCTTCTGTTGTCCATGTGCAGTGGGTCAAAATACCTCATGGAAGGCGTTTGTACAACTCTCCGAAAATGATCGCATAATCCTTCAATTCCTTGATGTCGCTTCCCTTGCCTATTTTTTCTTTCACAGGCTTCCTCCAGTCATCCTCTTCCAGCTGTTCCTCTTGAGCCATTGCTTCGATTACTGGCATGTCCTTCTTGATCACGGCAATGTTAGGTTGTTCTTCAACAAACGAGAGCTTTGATCCCAAAGTGGCCAACGCATCAGCATATCTATTAGTAACCCCCAGAATATGTTCTGACACAACTTGTTTGAAAGAACAAACAAGCCTTTCAGCAGTTGTACGATACGGCGCCAATGTTGGCTCCTTCACAGCGAAATTCCCTTGCAACTAACTTAGTACCAGGTTTGAGTCCCCAATAATTTTAATCCTTTCGACACCCATCTCCCTTGCTGTAGACATCCCCATGATGAAAGCCTCATATTCCGCCGTATTATTTGTGCACGGGAAATTTAGCTTGAATGAGAGGGTCGTAGCTTGCCCCTCGGGATTAATGGGCACTACACCTGCTCCTCCACCCTTTGATGTAGAAGACCCATAAAAATAGAGGGTCCACGGTTCTTCCTCCGTGATGACAGCAACTATTTCCGGCAGCTCCCCCAAAACTTCCTTGGAGATAGTTGATTCTTCAATTTCAGGAAATAGAGCCAGCATATCAATCACGGCTTGTCCTTTGATGGCTTTTGGAGTGGTGCATGTAATATCGAATTCGGAGAGTTGGAGCAACCAACGTGCAAGACGTCCGGATAACACTGGCCTTGTGAGCAAATATCTTACGAGGTCGGACTTTACTATGAGCTGTAGCTTGTGAGCAAGGAAGTAGTGCCGTAAGCGCTACGCAGCATAGACAAGAGCAAGGCACAAGAGTTCCGTTTTTGGGTATCTTGTTTCAGCTCCTCTTAGCTGTCTACTTACATAATAAATAGGATTTTCCTCTCCACTGTGATTGCTAATAAAGCTTGAGTGGAAGTCCCGAAATGTGTGCTCTCATGGTGGGCAGCTTGGTGATTATTTGCTGCATTTGCTTATAGGCTTTTTGGCACTTCTTGCTCCATTCGTACGGCTTGACCTTCTTGAGCAATGGAGTAAACACACTCATCGTGGCAGCAAGTCCTGGGATGAAACGCCGAATATATGATAATCTTCCCCTAAAGCTTTTAAATTCTTTTGGGTTTCTAGGCGGTGCAAGAGAGTTGATGGCTCTAGTCTTTTCGGGATCCACATCTATACCACGCTGGTGTACTTGAAACCCCAAGAATTTACCGGATGAAACTCCAAACGCGCACTTCTTTGGATTCGTCTTCAGCCCGTACAATCGGCACCTTTCCAACACCCTCCTCAACACCTCTTGATGGCTTTCTCTGGTTTTGGACTTCACTATAAGATCATCCATATAGTCTTCCACTTCTTTTCCCATCATGTCATGAAACACCGCCGTCATGGCCCTTTGGTAGGTGGCGCCAGCATTTTGAGACCAAACGGCATGACCGAGTAATAAAAATTACCATAAGGCGTCCGAAAGGCAGTCTTCTCAGCATCCTTAGATGAAATTTTGATCTGATTGTAGCCACTAAACCCATCCATGAATGACAGCAAGCCCTGACCCGAGGTTGAATCGATCAAGATATCCATGTTGGGCAGCGGGAATTCATCTTTTGGGCAAGCTTGGTTGAGGTCTCGGTAGTCCGTGCATATTCTAATTACTCTGGTCTTCTTTTTCACGGGAATAATATTTGCTAGCCATGTTAGGTGCTTGATTGGCTTGATGAATCCAGCAGCTAACAACTTTTCAATTTCCACCTTGATTTGCTTTTCAATTTCAGGATGAAAATTCCTCATTGGCTGCACAACAAGCTTTGTACCAAGCTCGATATTCAACGTATGACTTACTAGGTTTGGATTTAAGCCGGGCATTTCCTCGTAACTCCAAGCGAACACATCTCGGAATTCTTTTAGCAAAGACACCAAGGCCTCCTTCTCTTCACTTGTCAAATGAACGCTGATGGATATGGGCCTTGGGGTAGAAGGATCCTTACTCAAATCAATTGTTTCCAGCTGCTCAGCTATCTCTGTTGACCCATCTTGCATGTGCCTAGGTGCTGTCATTGGTTCTTGGAAAGCACAAGGCACGGGTGCCTTGTCATCTGGATCCTTATGGCTGTTTGCTTGCATTGCTTCTCCTCCATACTCGGGGCTTTCCCGTAGAACATGGTTAAGCCCCCAATCAGCGATATACGGTGCGCCCATTTGGCAATGTTACTTTCAAGCATTGAGGATGATCGTAGGCATGATTGTTGACTTCCGAGTGCTTCATTCTTTCTCGATCGACAATGGTGATGAGTTCCTCGTTGCTTAGATCACGAATTTCAGTCCATGAAGGAAGATAGGTCCCGAAATCCTTGGATGGGCAGCTTCCAGCACCTGTGCATTCGGTGTAAAATTCTGCCTCGAAGTAGTGAGCTTTATTTTTATTGAACGGTGCTTGATTTCCAGGTATGCGTACTGGTCTTAGCCCAATCCTTCCCTTCACGCATTGATGATAAGTAGAGACCATAAGCTTATGCTTGTTGAGCCATGGCCTTCCAAGCAAAGCATGGTAAGCTACATCCACGTCTACGACATAGAACTTGGTAAGTGACCGAATTGGCCCAACCTTCAAATTTACTTGCATGTACCCAACGGTGACCTCACTTTTATTCCCAAAACCACTGATGCTTGTTTGAGATTGCACAATTTTGGATAATGGAATGCCGGCTATCGTAAGCACAGACAGAGGTAGTGTATTGACAGAGGAACCCGTGTATACCAAAGCTCTTCTTATAAACACATCGTTGATTTACCCCTCCAAATAAAGCGGCCTCCTATGGTCCGGGTACGGGACCTCCATGTCCTCGTCCGTAAAGAAAATTGCATTGTCATTTCCCAAAAATGACCTTTGTGGCTGAGCGGTGAAGCAATGAGGATCAGACTCTGCAGAGATGTTCATAAGAGCTACAGCAGCTGCTTCTCTCGCTTGAGGCCCAAAACTAAGTTGGTCAAAGAGTGACTTGAACTTCGGGTTTCTTTGGAGGACCTGCGAAGCTGTGGGCCCATGTTTCAGACTTAAATATCGTTCCATCACACCTACTTTAGCGCTTGTAAGATTGTGAAACGTCATAGCAGTCGTTTCCTGCTGTCCCGATGAAGCCCCCGAGTAGCATTCTTCCGGCATGTCCAAAACAAAAACTTCGTTGCCTGAGTCATTACCCCATCCGTCAGCGAGCGGCCACGGCGTGTTGTAACTTGAAGGCTTAGAGTATTTACACCAATACGACTTCTCCATGTTCCCGCAAGGTTCCCACATGGCTTCCGGCGGCTTCGGGTGATTCCTTCATGGGTGGCACAATTCATCATCATCGAGCAAATCATCGGAACATGTAATGACAGCGGCTACCTCATTTCCCCTTCGTTTTGGCAAAGGGTCTTCATCAATTGTTTGTTTCCTAGAGGGAAGCTCGAGGACTCCTTCATGTATTTTAGCATGTAAAATCGTCCTTAGACTCTGACAGGCAGTAGTTGGATGCCCCACGAATTGATGAATACAGCAATACCTAGGATCATTCTTCTCCTCTATAGTAGGAATTTTGTAGGTTCTAAGAGGCTTGATCGCGCCATCAGCAATCATCGTGTCAAGGATGGCATGAAATTCTTCATCTTTGCATGGTAGCGGTGGATATGTCTTCCTATCCTTCCGTTTGCGCGAATTGTAATCGTTGGATGGCTTGTCATTCGCGACCAATGCTTGGTGTGTATCCTTCTTATTGCTCCTCCAAGTCCTCACTGGTTTGACAGACATGCTTGTCTTCCTTACAGCTTCCAGCAGCCGAGAAAATTGACTGATGCCAATATTCTCCAAATAAACTCGATAATCTACCACAATATTGCTGATGCAAATTTCGACAAGCGCCTCCTCATCTTTCTCATCGTAGCAATCCAACGCCAGGTCCCGGAATCTGCATACAAAGTCCACGGGATCCTCGTCATGTTTTTGACGAGTGTTGTTGAGCTGAGTGGTGGTAACCCTTTCTTCATGCTAGAAATACTTCTTACAGAACCTGTTTGCCAAATCCTCCCAAGAACGAATAGAGCCTGGTGCTAACGTCATATACCACGTGTAAGCACAATCGGTAAGGCTCTTCGAAAATTCTCTACGTCGGAGATTATAATCTCCAGCATGTGGCCCCAAAGCATCGATGAAACGGTTGACATGCTCCTTCGAGCTCCCCTTCCTTCCGTCAAAGAGAACAAAGTTTGGTGCCTCATAGCCCTTAGGATAGGGCTGCTGGAGTAAACTCGATGGGTATGGTGGTTGAGGAAGATACTTCCAGTCCTCCTGACTCCGACTCAATTCCTTTCCCAGCATGGCAACGACATCTTCTTGGGTGACACAAGATGGTACCTTTTGTTCAGACCCCTTTCCAGCGGCAGCAGATTCCTCTTATGGGTGTCTTTCATTATCTTTGCTTGGCTTAGCAACGTTTTTCAGCTCCTTGATTGTCTCTGCCATCTCTCTCTGAGTTTCTTCTATTGCATGGATGGCTGCAACAAGGTCTGTGAGGGTGAGAGTTCCCTCACTTGCACGTTCTTCTTCTTTAGATGAGGCCTGTTACCTTGATTTCGAGTCACCATGGCTTGGCCCGGCTTGGGAGGTCATGTTGTTGCTTTTGGTCTTCTTTCTTGGAGGCATTGATGAAGATAATGGCCTAATCCCCGGCAGAGTCGCCAATTTATGTAGGGGACCTTTTCTCCTAGCAGCTAAGATGGGTCGGGCTGCTGTAAAGAGTAGACTAACAAAATTGTCCCCTTTGCCTGAGTTCAAAAATTAAGCCCCAAAAATACTTCGAAAGGGCAGCAGATCCTTAGAAAGTATTATGGTTACCTTCATCAACCAAAATAATAATAGCTTACATGTAGTTTCTTTGTGCTTACAGATAAACTCTTAAGCTTAGCGTGAATGGAATGTGGCATGGAAAGCAAAATCAACATGAGTTTAGCACTAAGAGAAAATTTAGGCTTGCTTTGAGAAAAGAAAGTGTTAGGGACATGAATGAGGAGTTTCGTGAGAGGTTTGGCTAAAATGGAGAACAGAGTTCTTCCGGCAGCTTGACAGATGTTCTGTCTGCCAGAAGAGGAGAATGGAGAAGAAGATGAACAGTGCACGAGACTTGCTGGTTTTTGTAAGTTAGAGAGAAAGCTTGCTCCCTGAAGCTGGGTTGGAGTTGTTGGGTAGGAGAAGCCTCAATTTATAGCCGCTGGAAACCACCATTTTTCAAAAAACCCTAATGGCTTATACCCATTTTGGCCAAGCCTTTCCCTCCTTTTTCATCCATTTCTTTGACTTTTCCTATTTTGATGAAATCCTCTCTGTTTATCAGATCAGATTTTTTGAAGCTCAAGGCCCCTTTTTCCCGCAGCTGCCTCAATGGTAAACTTCCATTTCCAGCCATCCTTTTTATTGCTTTCTTCCTTTTTTCTATGTCTAAGTTTGATGGGAAAAGGAGCTGGGATATGTATGCTGGTTTGAAAAGTGTTTCACGCTAATACCCCTTGGTTCCTTGCATGTTTTAGCTTTGAAACTTGCTCCCTCTTTGTGCTGGAACCTCCCAGCAGCTCTATTCAATAAACTTGCTGACCCTTTTCATGTGGCTTCCATTTTTCCAACAAAGGGCTGAGGCTTTTATGGATTATCTTGGAATTTTGTATGGGCCAAAGGGGTCCCTTAAGCAAGTGGGCTATTTTTTGTTAAACATTGGGCTTTTAAGTTGCTTTAATAGGCTATTTTGCTTGGGCTTTTGGGCTACTTTTCTTTCTTGTGCTTACCCATATATTTGGGCCTAAAAAATGGGCCTAAGTCTCGAGGCTCCCAAGCAACTCGAGACCTTCCATTTCTCGGCCCACGACCCATCAATGGGCCTCATGTTGATTTATTACCATCCATACCACAACCCACTCAAGCAAGCCCCCGGGCATTTGAGTGGCTTGGGCCCACTTAGGCTTGTAGCGTAGTTGGGTGTGAGATAACACTTTCGTGCTTGGCATGGCATGTCGCTTGGCATATTTTATCATCCTTGGGTAGGACTACGATGTTTAATTTTTTGCATGGGCTTCTAGAGCCGGCATATTTTATCTCCACTCCTAGCATGGCGAATTTATTTAGCATGGCACGCGAATTATAACTCACACGTGGCGAGTCTTCATATACCTCTCTTCACACTTTTTCCTACTGGAGTGCCGTATTGGGCTGATAATTACTCGGGCCCAATCCATGAATTTTTTGGGCCTCAACAGTTTATAAGCACCAACACTTTGAAAACACTAAATAGGGTATGGGCCTAATAAAGGCAAAGTTGGGCCTCATCATGGTATGGACTTGGAATATATATATATATATATATATATATAATTGTCAAAAGATGGGCCTTGGGCTTTGTTGATTTAATTAATAATTTTTTTATTAATTAGAAATTCATTTTCAGATAAAATCATTATCTGAAATTCGAATCTATTAAACAGTATGAAGAGGTGCTAGACCTCTATATATTGACAATTCGTCCAAACCAGAACAGACAAATTTTTTTTAACAGCATTATATATATAAAGCATATTTCGTTTTGTCATTATTCTGTTATTTGGTTTTATACTGATTGTTCTTTAACAGGTTTAGCCTCAATGATTTCACCTGGATCTGCACTTTTTTTTAGTAGAAGCGATTGGGAGAGAGGAAATAACACAAACATTCATTAAGTGCATAAGGGTTTCGAACATTTACCACACATGAAGTGAAGGTCTCTTTTTTTTTTTTTTTTTTTTTTTTTTTTTTCTTCTTGGAAACCTCAACGGTAGGATGGGAAAGTAAACTGAAATCCAAAACTTATTTTTTACTATTCTATTTTTCTTTAGCTAGAAAAACAAAAAAAAAACAAAAAGTACAAAGGGAGAACACAATATTCATGAAGATAACATGAAACAAACTATAATATCATGCGGAAGAATGAACCGTAGCTCATTTTCCATGACAAAGTTCATGGTATTTTTTATTTTATTTTTGGTCAGAAAAATTCATATTTCATATTTCATAGTATGGGCGCGACTAGTAAGATGCAAAATGTAATTCAAATTGGTACCCATTGGAAAATCAAGCAACATGGCAGCGACACGTAGCGAAAAATCAAAGCAGAGCGGCAAGGCAAGCAGCCAATAGACAATAACAAGGCGCATGAAGGGATAAAGATAAGAAAATATTTTAGGGTTTCTGTCAAAGGTAAAGATAAAGCAGCACATGTGAGGCAAAATGCTAAAAATTTGGGATTTAGGGCAAAGGTAATAAAGGCAAGACAATGCAAAGTAAGACAAGATAAAGGTAAGATAAAAGAAGGAAAATGGCATGTGTCTAGGATCGATGCTTTGATACCATGTCAAATACTGGGATTTGGAAAATATTAAAGTGTGTTATTCTTCTCTTTTAACAAAAAAAATGAACCATCAACTAGCTCTTGGTCTACTAGTACTTCTCTTTCCAATCCTGGAATAGGTTCCAAGTTTAAACCCCGTAACCTCCACTAATAAATTAAAAACAAGAAAAATGTACTATTACACTAGGTGTACAACAAGAAAGATATAACTAGTTCTAATTACAACAGAACGAGTCAACTATACAAAATAGAAAGGGTTTAGGGTTAGCAGAAGAAAAAGTAAACACTTAAAACTAAAAGCTTACCAAACGGCTCCTAGTGAACAACTAATAGTCATATTGGGTCATCAAAGTATTTGATTAAAGGGAAATTAATTTTCATTTAGTATTCTAATAGGATTCTGAAATTAATTTTTATATTAGTATTCAAATAGGAAAAAAAAAAAAAAAAAAAAAAAAAAAAAAAAAAAAAAATACTAAATTTTATATTTTCCTGCAAATGGCATTGTAACTGATCCAATCCAAAGAGTTTCATCTTTCTCCTCCACTTCACTAATAGACTTCCATCTATTTCCACTTGTGTCTTCAAACATTTCCAATATAACACCTTGCTCACTCAACCTGATTATCAATCCGTTCCCTGTCCATTTCGCCACGTAGGAATAAGCTTTCGTAATGTCCAAGGGAAGCTTAAGCAGTGCATTTCCTAAGGAAGGGTATGAAAGAACCAATTTCAAAATCCAGAGTCTTCTTGAATGAATCCCCACCCAAAACCCCCCCCTGGGGCTCCTTTTAATGTTGTCTGGAAATCCTGGAAGCTGAGCAAACACTTGGAAAGTTCCGGCTTTCGGTGTTTTTAACCAATACCTCATAATCCTGCAATGTGTGGTCTCTGCCAGTAGAATGAAGTCTCCATTTTTGCTCAATGCCACCCCATTTGGAAATGAGAGGTTTTCAAGAAGAACTTGCACTTGTTTGCTTTCTGGGTCATATTTCATCAGCCTTCCAGTTTATCCCCACTTAGTATCACAGAGATGTAATTCCTGAAAAAGGCACATATATCACTTGCATGGTCATTAATCCTTCAGAAAAAAAAAAAAAATATATATATATATATATATTGTAGGTGCAACTTTAATCCAATAATATTTTGAACCAATGCTTTAGAATTTACTAGAAAAATTTTTTTATTAATATATAAAAAAAAAAAAAAAAAAAAAAAAACAGAAATCATGGTGGGATTTTATTGTACCTTCTCTGATATTGTGAACTGCTATCTGTGAAATACACTGCTCCCAGTTCTTGATCAATGTCTAAGGCATTTGCAAATCCAAATGGAATGCCATGTGCACGTGTCACAACCTCAGTAGCCAAGCCACCTTGAGGGCCCACAATGAGTAGGCCCATATAAGCATCAGCAATGTAAAGATCACCACTCGTTTGGTTGAAACATAAGCCTAATGGACGTCCACAAATGTGCTCCGTTTTGTCGTGTTCATGTGACCCTTCACAGCCACCTCTGCTAACCGATAAGGCAAGTTTGTACACAAGCAAGTCAAGTAATTTCCACATGTGCTATTGAGTTTAAATGGATTGTATATGCATGGATGCACAATATTATTATGTACAAGTTTTATGCCTACAGTTTCTGTATTGGAACCTTGCAACATTAGAATTTGTGAAGTTTTGATATGTTAATTTTCGATTTGCTAGCTTATTTTCCGACATATTAAGTTTCTGGGTATAAGAAATTATGTATATGGAGATGTATGAGGAAGAGTACCTTGCATGGCTCACCAGGTACTTAAAGTTCCCCTATAACTAAGGTTGGACTGTGTGTAATGAGATTCTAATGCACCCAATTTTCTTCTTGACTCTGAGTTTAAATCTCGTAGATAATAATTGTTGAATAAAAATAGAATGCAAGTAATAAATTTGGTGAGTATACAACATTAATGATATTCTAATGCATCTGATTTTCTTTTGTTAAAAGAGACGTTGACTATAAATCTCATAGATAACAATTATTCAATGAAAAGGAATACAGGTAATAATAAATACCGTGGGTAGTTGAGAGTGCCGATAAGCACCTCTCACCATGCGTTTTTTAGAAGCTTTTGGTGTGACACAAAAAGAGTGCTGCTATTTCCACTATATTGTCTTATTTCTCCACTCACCTTATCTTCAAAAAATTTAAAACAAATTTACCTCTTTATAAAATGACTTTTAAAGACTTAAAGAAAAAAAATTAAAAATTAAAAATTAGATATTTAAATGATTTCTCCCATAAATCCATCTCCTTCTCTCTCTCTCTCTTTCTCTCTGTCTTCGAATCAACTGTCCATCCCTAACAGCTCTCATCCTCTACCCCAAACATCCCATCTCTATATGTTTTTGTTAACAAAGGGAGAAACTCACGAATAGGTGGAATAGTATTTTGAGCTCGCTCACGAGTTAAAACCTCAAAGAAGATAAGGACGACACCAGCAAACACAAGGCCAAGCAGAAGAAAAGTTTTCGAGGATGCCATATTGTTTTTGCTTATAATTCACAAGACAAGATTAGACGTGTGATTGTTGAGTGAAGTTACTGGGGCTTGGCTCTCCCTTTTTAAGATATAGAGTGGGGTGGTTGGGGAAGTGAGATGGAGAAATAATTCAACGTGAATTTTCTCACTCATTTTAATATTCATCTTTCATGTCTCTCACTTAGAGTGATTATGAGAGTCATTTTCAATTTCAATTTCAATTTTGGTTCTCATATTTACATTCGTAGTAATGATGGTGGAGACCTGGGGATGGGATTGCAGGGGCTAGCACTAGACGTGGGTTCATTCTGTCCGTCAATGATGAAAGGATATTTTAGGAATAATGGTGGGTGGAAAGATATGATTGTATTTTTGCAAATTTACATGGTGGGTGGGAAGATAAAGTGAGTGTGAAAATAGGACAGAAAGGTGGAAAAGAAATAGCAACACTCTACAAAAAAAAAAAAAAAAAAAAAGGAAAAAGGAAAACGGAAAGAGTGCCCAAACTCAGGTGAGGTGAGTGGTTCGAGCCGCTCATTTTTGTCACTTAGGGACCATACATCATATATGCATGTATGATAAACAAACCAGCTAACCCTACTTGTGAAACATCCAACTTAATTTCTATTGGCCTAATTAATTTCACCCCCAAACTAAGCCTCTCTGTGCTTCCCCCAACTAAGCATCACATGGAACTCTTCGCTCATAGATAAATTTAGTTAATTTCAAAGCTGCCACGAACAACCACCACACGCGTAGCTGGTTGATTCTTTTCACACGCATGCTCTACTGCAAGGGGGATTATGCTTCAAGTAATTAAGAACATTCACCTATTAACTCGAGAAGAAACTCTTGTGAATTGAGCAATCGCACAGAACAATTATACACAATATTTCTCCAGTCAAAGGTTCTACTTTTAACTTTTGCTTCTTCTAATATCGCTTGTACAAGATAAAATAATTTCATATTCTGTTGTAACGGACGGGTTATCTTGGCTTAGAGCGTAATTAAATAAAAAAATCCGTTTAGAAATAAGAGTTATATATTGGATGCATACCTGTTTGGAGAAGTTACAGCGAAGTTGATCCAGTGGTGTTTATCTTGATCCCATTTGACGATGCGGCCATCTGAAACGCCGGTGTAGGGACCTCCGCCGAGAGGGTCGAAGGCAAAGCTCTCTGGACCAACAGCACCTTCCACAATCGGAACAACTTCAAACTTATTTTCCTCATGATTTGAAAGCTTTTCTACATCTGCTGCTGCTGCATTATTTTTAATAGAGCAAAATTTGATAACGTTGAGGGCTGTCAAGACAGAGAGGACAGCGCCTATGCTTGCTGCCAAGAAGAGCTTTGCGTTCATGTTTGCTCCTGGCGACGAAGTAGCTAGAAGGTGTGCTTAATGGGATTGTTATATGTATATATGTACATATATATACACGTGGCATGTAATAGTTAACTGCAGGACTTATATGAGGACGCATACCTTGAAGTGCGCAAAGTGCCCGCTGCCGCATCCAAACAGAAAAACTTGTATGAAATTAGGATATCAATGTTTTGTTATTTTTGTCCAATCAAAGTTTGATACGTGAAAAAGTTATCACTTGTGACATGCCGTAATTGGCCAAGGATAGCAAAATAGTTCTATCTCCTTTTCACGAAAGTGTTTCTCTCGAGCCCAGTAGTGTGTAAAAAAACTTGTATGATGGGACATACTGTTACGTGTTTAACAAAGTTTTTATGTGGGATTCTAATCTCAGCCATTCATATATTAGATGCGTTAGTCATTTTAATATGCATTGTACATATAACTCAATGACTGAGATTAAAAAACACTACAAAAAAAATCAGCAATAGTCACCTCTTTTTTGGGTGACTTTTGAAAGCATTAGTTACCTTTATTGGTGACTAAAAAGCTTTAGTCACCATACAGTCACAATATTCGAGTGTGTGAGATTTGTGAGGGTTACTATTGGTCTTTGTCACCATTAATAAAGAAAGTGACAAACAATATGTTGACTTTTCAGCTGCATTTACACTTATATTTTATTATTATTTCATCTTTAATTAGTTTAATAATTTTCTGAATTATAAATGTTTTAAATAATTACAATTTCCTTTTGATATACTTTAATGGCATAATAACAGTAATTCCTTTTTTTCTGATAAGATAATAATAATTCCTTGGTAATGCACTTCATGTGTTAAAAAAGCCTCTAATATTATTATTTAATTATTCATAAATATTCAATTGATACATGATGGTGATTAAGTAGTACAATATTTTCCTAATGAATAAAAAATTTGTACTATACTCTACAAACAATAATACATACACGCCTAAGAAGATATATTGCTAGTACTTTCTAATCCAAGCACTCCTCCGATCCGAACTACAAACGAACGATGCAACTGAAGCATCCTCCATCCCTGCAATTGAAGTGTCCACCATCCCTATAAGTAAATCGAAATAACAAAGAAAGAAAGAAAATAGTCCCAAATGCTAGAATAGAAAGAAAGACCATCACTGACATTAAAAAAAAAGAAGAAGAATAATTCAAACTCACAAGGATCCGTGGGATAAAACAAATGCACAAGGTATAAGCAGCCAAACTCAGTAAATCAACAAAGAGATGATGTGATATCTACTCTTGGAGCCCAGCACAAGTTATTAAGATAGCAAAAAAATAAAAATAAAAAGAAGATGCAATCTTGTAAGACAAAAAGGAAGAAAAGGCATTACATCACAGAAGTTATACCTGTAATTTCGTGATGTCCCACCCAAAAAAGTAATTCAAGCCTGCAATTGGAGATGTACAAAAACATTAAACAGACTTTCAGTCAAGGCCATAAACATTAAAGAGAAGGAAAGAAAACAAAAAAACTTGCGAAATAGAGCAACCAAGCCAAGTCACAATAGGTGGGCAGCTTTCTGTCAGCAGCTCTTCCCTGTGTCACAAAAACAAATTTTGTTACTTTAAAAAGGTGAATATTGCTTCTATAATTTTTTTTTGGTAGTGAATTAATAGTAGTTCACAGGTCATAGTTCAAGAAGAAGTTAGATCATCTCCAGCCATAGGGCTAAATGTAGTCCATGGCTAAAAATTTAGTCCCCCAAAATATTAATTTTTTAAAGAATAGTGTATGACTAAATTTTTCCATCTCCAGCCATGTAGGGCTATATTTTAGGGTCCTTCATATTTTATTATTTTGCGAAAAACTATGGTACAACACTCATTCATTCCACAAGTATATATTGTTTAATTTAATTAAACTACTATTTAGAGACAACACCATAATTTTTAATAATTTTTTTAAATAACACCAAACATTTAAAAATGTGAAGACATAAAAAATAAAAATAAAAAGGATGGGTTTCAATGTTTGAGCTCAACAGTTATGAACAAAACTTTTTTATTCTTTTTTTAAAACAACACTTGAAAAAATGGCAAAAACTGACCACATTTATTTAATTTTTTTTTAAAAGAAAAAAAGAGAGGGGAGTGGGTCGGTATGGATTCCAACAGTCATTGCCAACAAGAAACATTCAAAATTTTTTTAAATATATATATATATATATATATCCAGCTTTTTAAAAGGAGAGTGCGGAGTGTTTTAATGATTGGTTGTTGAAAAGCACATGGATGGGGTCCGCTATAAATTTGGCATTGGCCAAAGCTATGCTACATTTGGCCTGGTTGGAGGGCTAAATGGCCAAATGTGGCCCTCCAAATTTGGCCAAAATTTTATTTAGCCATTTAGGGCTATATTTGGGATTGGCCTTAAGAGGTAGAACACGGGCATAGTTCAAATAGGGAAAGAAAGGGAAAAGGGCAGATCAAAATAAAATAAAATCTAAGAAAATAGAAATCTTGCACTCATCTAAATGAATAACCCCAACCCACCAATGTTCAAGGGAAGAGAAACCCAGATAAAACAACTTTTTTAGAACTCAGAAATAGAAAAAGGGGAATTACAGAGAGTATATTAATAAAATAAAAAAAATTTAAAAAACCTAGGAATAGAGGCGCCTCTAGCAATTCCACCGCCCCTGCAGAACTTGATCTTCCTACATCCCAGAATATCAAAGAATATATTAATTGTTGGTACCGTAACTAACCGAGCAACTAGCTTGGCTAGATCATCCACGTGTCATGCTTTGAGAGGTCATCACTTTACCCAAATAAGCATTATCACAAGTCACAACTCTAAGCAAAGCAAGAGGAGTCTCATATCGGAAAACTACAAGAAGTGAAGACTACCCCTCACCTATAAAAGAAGACCACTCTCCACTTAGAAAAGGGTCTTGGATATAGACCCTTGGGCCTTGGACTCTCTCTTCTGGATTGCTGGGCTGGGCTTTATTTTAATCATGAGCTTTTCCCTTCTTATCTTTATATCTGGGTCCAACTCCATGTACAAATGTAAACATATATCATAATGAGAACATACTTCTTCGTGGACGTAGCTCATTCATTAAGGGTGAACCACGTATATCTTGCCTTCTTTATATTTATTGTTTGTCCAAATATTCACACACATGTTGAAGGTCCTCACCTTCACCCATCGTCCACCATTCCACTTCTATCTAAATTGACCTCCCAAAAAGTGCATCAACATTAATATATAAAAAGTATATATATAAAAAAAAAGCTTATACAAAAAATAAAATACAAGGAAAGCCATGACTAAAGAAAGCCCTACTCTAGCTCTCAGATCTGAGATATAAAATCTCAACTTTGAGATTTGATCTAAAAGGACCGCCTAGAGCCAAAGAAACATCCTACAAAAACTAGGGAGATAACAAACTCTGTCAAAAGCAAGGAGGTAGCTAAAAAATGGAGGGATCGGGGTGGAAACCATCGGATCTAAAAAGAAAATCAGACGAGAAAGAGGTTGTTGGGTTGTTTTGGGAGAGAAGAGCTTTACAAAAGAAAAGGGGTGAGTTTCGATTTATTTGAGAAGTAGGAGAAGAGAGGTTGAGGAGAGAGAACGAGAGGTGGGAAATCCACTGAATATTTTATTGGATTACAATTATTAGCAAGGCTCTAATCAAATATTAGTCATGAAAAATTACTGTTTCGGTGTTAATCACAATAATTAGTTTTACATTTTTTATATTTAAATCAACTGTCACCAAAATATTAAAATGTGAGAAATTAGTCACAAATAATAGTGACAAGTAAACAAAAGCCTTGACCAACCACTCAATTGTCACCAATACCAATACTTTTTTTTTTTATATAGGGAAAAGAAAAATTACAAGACAAAGCCTCGCGGGCAAAAGCGCCCGCACAGTTCAAAATAAAAGGGGTCTTAACAGATAACGGAAGCCCATGCTCCCACAAAACTTGATTAGAAAGACCATGACCTAATTTTGCAACCGCATCCACCGTGAAGTTGGCCTCCCTAAAAACGTGTTGAAACTAGATGCTTGTAGCAGAAGAGGACAGGGCCCAAATATCTTGAATAATCTGTTGGATACACCAAGGGGGGGTCAGCTTTACCCAGGATACTGTCAACGACGAGCTTAGAATCCCCTTCGATTACAATTTGATCCCATCCTCTATCAAGAGCAGCGGCAAGACCATCTTGAAGAGCAAGACATTCAGCAACATTAATGGAATTTTCACCAATATTGTTAGAGGCCGCAACGAGGACATGCCCCTCATAATCCCGAATGACAAAACCTGTGGAAGCATGAGAATTCATAAGAGACCCGTCAAAATTGACCTTAATCCAGCCGATGGGAGGAGGATGCCACTTAATAATCATAGAATCGGCTGAACCACATCTGGTCATCGAGTTAAGCCTCCAAAAGTCCAAACCAACACAGGCAGCAGCATGAATACAGCTAGCTGGGGTGGCCTTAGAGTCATGGAACACCACATTATTCTTAGCCCCCCCGATTTGCCAACAGATAAGAAGAGCTTTGGAGAGAGGGTCCAAATCAGACTTTATGGTCGTGGTGCTCAGCGACATAAGCCAATTGTACAGACCACCAATCTGCGAGGGAAGGGGCATGAGATCAGTAGAGAGAGCCCACACATCCTTAGCAAACTGGCAGTCCATAAACAAGTGCTGAATAGTCTCAGGTAAGCTTTGACAGAAAGGACACAACGGACTGATATGTTGCATGAATCTGTGAAGCCTGGCTCTCACTTGAAGTCTTTTACGAATGAGCAACCAGGCAAAAATCTTCACTTTCGGAGGAATGTTGAGCTTCCAAACTTTCTAAAGTAGGCCCGCATGAGGGTGGGATGGTTGGTCCTGAAATTGTAAGTTGTATGCACTTTTGATAGTGAAAGAACCGTTTGGGTTGGGGACCCAGATCAATTTGTCCTGCAGATTAGTTCTTGGCAAAGGAATAGATAAGATTTTCTCAGTCAAATCATCATCAGTAACCTGAGATAATTTTCTTTTGTCCCAGCTGTTGTTTATGATAAAGTCTGAAACTCTTTCATCAAGATTCAAAGAACCTCTTTGGTGCTCAGGAATGAGATCAAGGAGGGGGAAAGGCAAAACCCAATGGGAGGTCCAGAAAGGAATGGAACCACCATTACCCACCACCCATCTCAAACCTTTACACAACACCTGTCTAGTGTTAACCATGTGTTTCAGTTAAGAAATTGTTAAGTCATCATGTGCAGCTCACGTGCTCTCTGTTAAGTCTGTTAGTGAGAGTTAGTTGTATTTGTTAAGTCTGTTAGCGTGATATTAGGAGATAAGTACTGTACTAAAGCTGAGCTTTTATATTTTCCATTAATCAAGATCTGAAATACAGAATATACAGCTATTTTCCTTCTTGCTTCCTCTCTACCTTCTTCTATGGAAATCCCTAAATCTCATCCTCTTCTTCTTGTTAAGATAGTATCAGAGCTCATCGTGGCTTGACACTTTCGATCCACTTCCGATTTTTCTGAACTATCTCTTCGTTGTGCTCTTCTCTTGCTCTGTCTCTATTGTTCTTTCCTCTTTTCTGTTTTTTCTCTAATTTCTGTTCATCAATGGCGACTTCTTCCTCTTCCCCTTCAATCAAAATTGACAGTTTGCTTGGGATGATTACTCTTCGTCTCAAGGACGATAATTTTCACAAGTGGAGTTTTCAATTGGAATCCGTTCTTCAGGGTTATGATCTTTTTGGGCATTTTGACGAAACTGATATTGCTCATCCTCGCTTTGCTATTGTTGATGAGGTGGGTGTTACATCTGAAGTTACTGCTGCTTACAAGGATTGGATTCGCACCGATAAGGCTTTACTCAGTTTGCTCATTGCCACTCTCTCTGATGAGGCCATAGAGTATGTTATTGGCACCAAGACTGCTTGTGACGCCTGGCTAAGTCTTTCTGATCGTTATGCGTCGATTTCTAGGGCACGAATCAATCATTTGAAGACTGAATTACAGACGGCCCAGAAGGGTGGAGACTCGATCGAGCGCTTTCTCTTGCGTTTGAAAACGGTCCGTGACCAATTAGTTCAAGCTGGGGTTAAGGTGTCTGATGATGACTTTATGATTGCTACTCTTAATGGCCTCCCTCAGGAATATGACATGATCAAGACGGTTTTGATTGCAAGGGATACTCCAATTTCTTTGAAGGATTTTCGCGCTCAATTGCTAGCTGCAGAGCAAACTGTAGAAGCTCGATTGGTTCCTCACTCTGCGATGTTTGTTACTCCGTCGTCTTCGTCATATGCTTCTGTGAATGCTATGGGCCTTTCTAATTATGGTATGGGTTTATTGCCTACTCTATCTTCTTTACCAGTTGCCTATATGGGGTCCTATGATCGGTCTGTTCTGCCATCATTAGATCGCAATTTTGGTTCAAGACCTGTTCTTGGTAACAATGGTGGTTTTAGTCGTTTTAACGATCATCAACATCACGGTATTGGCAATAGCCAGCACGGAGGTTTTTCTGGTTTTCCTAATCATTCTGGTTCTGGAAGAGGTAGATTTCAAAGCAGAGCCTCTCCTTCATCTTTCTCAGGAAATTGATTTGGTTCCAATTCTTCTCAGAAATCTGCAGTTGTTCCTGAATGTCAGATATGTAGCAAACGGGGGTCACACGGCTGCTAATTGTTATTTTCGCCATGAGGCAAGCTCTTCTAGGCATGGGTCTCAGGTTATTGAATGTCAAATCTGTGGTAAGAAGGGTCATGGAGCCTTGGATTATTTCCATAGATCCAACTATGTCTATCAGGGTCAAGCTCCTCCTTCCAACCTTTCTGCTATGACTGCCCAAACTTCCTATGTGCCTGATCAAGTCTGGATTGCAGATAGTGGGGCTTCTCATCACATGGTGTCTGATATTTCCTCATTAAATCATGTTGCTCCTTGTGAATCTACAGAGCAAGTGATTGTTGGTAATGGAGAAGGTTTGAAAATTAAACACATTGGTACCACTGCCATTGCCTGTGCTTCTACTTCTCTTAAACTGCCATCAGTATTTCATGATCCACAGTTATCTGCTAATCTTTTGTCTGTGCATCAGCTGTGCAAAGATAATAATTGTGTTATCAGCTTTGATGCTTTTGGTTTTGTGATACAGGATCGAGTCACCAAGACAATCCTCCTAAAAGGTCGGAGTAACAATGGATTGTATCCAATTCCCTCTGTTGTATCCTCTCATTGCTTGTCCAAGAAAGTAGCTTTGCTTGGTCAACATGTTAAGTCTTCCATTTGGCATCACAGACTTGGCCATCCAACGAATGAAGTGGTGCAATCAATGCTTAAAGCCTCTGGTTTGCAGTGTGCAAATGACTTTTCAAATTCGAATCCCTTGTGTTCAGCTTGTCTTCAAGGGAAGATGCATCGGCTTCCATTTCCTATTAGACATAGTAGGTCTGAAATTCCTTTTCATACAGTTCATAGCGACGTATGGGGACCTTCTCATTACAAATATGTGAGGGTTACAGATATTTTGTTTCCTTCCTTGATGAATGTACTGGATATTTGTGGGTTTATCCCCTTTTCAATAAATCAGAAGTTTTCTCCAAATTCCTACAATTTCATGCTTTGATACAAAATCAATTCAGTGCTGCTATTAAGTGTTTTCAGAGTGATGGTGGTGGTGAGTTTCTTAGCAAGGTTTTTACAGATTTTTTGGCTTCTAAGGGAATTGTGCATCGTTTGTCCTGCCCTTATACTCCGCAGCAGAATGGACTGGCAGAGCGGAAGAATAGGCATATTATTGAAACAGCCATTACCCTGTTAACTGCAGCAGCCTTGCCAGGTCAGTTTTGGTTTCATTCCACTGCTCATGCTGTGTATCTTATAAATCGAATGCCCAGCTATGTTTTACATAATCAGTCTCCTTATTTTTGTTTATTTGGCCATCATCCTGATCTTGCTTCTTTGAAAATATTTGGTACTGCGGTATATCCATATCTGAGACATTATAATGTGCATAAGTTACAACCGCGAACCACTCAGTGCGTGTTCTTGGGATATTCACCTGGTTACAAGGGAGTTATTTGCTACAATCGAATTACTGCAAAATGTGTAATCTCAAGGCATGTTCTTCATGATGAAGCTATATTTCCTTTTAAGCAAATTAACCCTGGTATATGTGGGCAGTCTTCTCAGTTTTCTTCTACTGCATCAGTGGCTCCTGTCATTGTTTCTCTGCCTTCAAGGCCTTATCAAGCTTCTCTTAATGCTCAAGATCCATCGTCTCTAGCCTCTGATACACAAGTATCTACTTCTCAGTCTCAGTCCATCTCATCTACTCATGAGTCTTTATCTCCCATCCAACATCAAGCATCGTTGGATGATATTCTGGTGGCTTCTACAGGTTCTGTACCTGTGTTGAATGAACAACAATTACAAGTTATGTTTCCGTTTGAGGTCTCTGATGCTTCCTCTTCTTCTGTTAGCACTCAGGACAAATCAATTTCTAATGCTTCCTCTTCTTCTGTCAGTACTCAAGACTCATCGGTTTCTTTATTTCCTATCAATAATCATTCCATGATTACTCGGGCCAAAAATGGTATAGTTCAAAACAAACAGTTTCCAGATTATCAAGGTTATTTTACATGTCTTCATGCTATTCCTGAATTAGATGAGCCTTCTAGTTTTAAGGTGGCCTCTTTTTCTTCTGAGTGGAGGCAGGCTATGAAAGAGGAGATTGATGCTCTTCATATGCAAGGCACATGGCTTTTAGTTCCTAATCCAGGTGATAAAAATATTATTGGCAGTAAGTGGGTTTATAAAATAAAGAGAAATCCAGATGGTACAGTGGGTAGATATAAGGCTAGACTTGTTGCTCAGGGGTTCAGTCAAGAGCCTGGTTTTGACTTTGGGGAAACCTTCAGTCCTGTTGTTAGACACACAACAGTAAGGTTAGTATTAAGCATAGCTGCTATGAACCAGTGGAAACTACGACAACTTGATGTCAAGAACGCTTTCCTACATGGCGATCTTGAAGAAGAAGTTTTTATGTAACAGCCTCTTGGTTTTGAAGATTCTACTCATCCACAGTTTGTATGTAAACTGAAAAAATCTTTGTATGGTCTTAAACAGGCTCCAAGGGCATGGAATGCCAAATTCACAGGTTACTTACCTACTCTTGGCTTTAAATCTTCACATTCAGATCCAAGTCTATTTGTGCAGCATACTGGGAATGATATTATCATTCTACTCCTATATGTTGATGATATCATTATAACAGGTTCTAGTGATCAGTTGATTCAAAGAGTGGTTACAGACTTAAGTGAGGTGTTTGAAATGAAAGATATGGGGCAGCTCACTTTTTTCTTAAGTCTGCAGATTTCCTATAATTCCTCTGGTGACATATTCGTGAGTCAAACTAAGTATGCCAAGGATCTACTACATAAAGCCGGCATGAGTTCATGTAGAGCTTGTGCAACACCTTGTAAGCCACACACTCAAGTGTTACAGACTGATGGTGAGCCCTTGGCAGATCCCACTATTTTTCGCAGTCTAGTAGGTGCTTTACAGTATCTAACATTTACAAGACCTGATCTGGCCTATGCTGTGAATCATGTGTGTCAATATATGAATAATCCTACTGAGGTTCACTATTTTTTGGTGAAGCGTATTCTCAGATATGTACAGGGTACATTAGAATATGGAATCAGTTTTACAAAGGGTCCTTGGCAGCTTAATGCATACAGTGATGCAGATTGGGCAGGGGATATCAATACTAGAAGATCTACAACCGGATCTGTAGTATTCTTGGGTAGTAATCCTATCTCCTGGCAGTCCAAGAAGCAAGGTTCTGTGTCTAGGAGTTCAACAGAGGCAGAATACAGGGCCTTAGTAAACACAGCTGCTGACTTGTCATGGATTCGACAGGTTCTCTTGGATCTGAAGATGTTTCTGCCAGATGCTCCTCTTATGTATTGTGACAACTTATCAGCACTGGCTTTAAGCTCAAACTCAGTTTACCATTCTCGAATTAAGCATTTGGATATAGACTTCCACTTTGTGAGAGAGAAGGTACAAAGAAAGGATCTTATTGTCCAGTACATACCTACTGAAGAACAAATAGCAGATGTTTTTACAAAGGGGTTACACAGTCCCATTTTCTTACAGCACTGTCTTCATCTTAGACTGAGGAGTTCAGCTAGGTAGGGAAAATGTTAACCATGTGTTTCAGTTAAGAAATTGTTAAGTCATCATGTGCAGCTCACGTGCTCTCTGTTAAGTCTGTTAGTGAGAGTTAGCTGTATTTGTTAAGTCTGTTAGCGTGATATTAGGAGATAAGTACTGTACTAAAGCTGAGCTTTTATATTTTCCATTAATCAAGATCTGAAATACAGAATATACAGCTATTTTCCTTCTTTCTTCCTCTCTACCTTCTTCTATGGAAATCCCTAAATCTCATCCTCTTCTTCTTGTTAAGATCTAGCATCCAAAATTGACTTCCAGGCCACAGAATGATTAGATTTTTTCTACATGCTAAAAAAATTTTCATATCTTAAATATTTTTTAGAAACAATACGTTAGTGACAAAAAGGTGACTATTGCCCCCTTTTCTAGTAGTGAAACTTTAATCAACCCTAAATCTACATACACTAACTCATAAGTTTTATCTCAAAATTACAATAGGAAAGGATGAAGTCATGAATCTTTGAAAGGGTGGATTAGCTAATTTTGTGTCTACATACCGTTAACAAAACTCTAAGTAAAATCTTATCAGCCAGACTAGTTCATTATTCATTTTTAACAAGCTTTATGCATATACATTATTTAAAATAAATAAAAAAAATCACACTTTTTCAAGTTTGATACAAAAATATTCAACAAAAGAAGTAAGATTGTATATATGTTAATGGGCTATAATCAATATTCTCCCCAGATTTTCTGTAAAAAAAGAGAGACTTTCAAGTGTTTCTCTATCTCCCAAAAGAAATGCATATACTCTCAGTGAAGTACATATAAAATCAGTGGATGTAACTTAATTATGAGTAAACACACTCAAACACTTGTTTATGTATATGAGATTATGATTTTATCATCTAGGATGTTGATCCAAAATTTGGTATCAACATTACTAATTTTTCATAGGGTTTAGGGATTAATTATAAAGGCTTGGCAACAAATTAAACATGCTTTCTACATGAAAAATCATTCGTTCTTTTCATCTTTTTCATAGGGTTCTTTTTTGCTATTTTATCCACATATTATTCTCTTCTCTCTCATACTTTGAAGGATTTGTTGTCCATTATTTACTGCAACCATTATATTATAAAAAGTAAAGTTAAGCACAAGAACCTCATATTTTTAGTTTGTCTGGTAATTTTTTTTATTTTATTGCTAATTTAAGCATTGATACGGATACGACAATATGATATTATACGACACGGGAATACAGTAAATCTTCAAAAATTAGGATATGGTTATTAAAAATATATATAACTCAAAACAAATTCTAAATAAAAAAATTGAAAATTATAAATAGCATAGCATTTTGGGCTTTCTTTTCTGATTCTTTATATTTGTTTAGGTCTGTATAGCTTTTTTCACCCAAAGCCCATTTTAATACTGTTGCTTAAGACCCAAACCCATAAACAGATCTATGTAAAAGAAATATACTACAAATCCTGTTTTAGCAAACGACGTCGTCACTTGAGATAATAAAAATTAGGTCAGTCGACATCTTCTTCTTCCTCGCGCGCACTGATCTCTCTCTCTCTCCCTCTTCACACGCCGCGCCCAGGGGCTCCCAACAGCCCCTCAACGGCAAGCTTCGCCCGGAGGAACGTATCCGAAAAGTCAAATACTCGTGTCCGGAATATGGGATACACGTATCTGTTAGTGCAATACGTATCTAATGCGTGTCGGACCGTATCCGAAGAGTATCGTATCCAAACGAGTATCCGATACGGGATACGCCACTAAATAGCTTTCTGAAAATTGTAAGCACCTTCCTTGGACTACATGCAGGGCAGCAGGAGACAATCAAGAACTTGCTTCATGTTCTTCTGGACTGACAGAGAGGTAGCTCTCATCTACTTATAACCTTATATCTGTCGATTGGAATTTCTATAAAAAAATTTCATTTATTGAAAACTAAAGTGGGCATCAAAACATGGTTAATAGCATTCACACTACAGCTTCTTCTTCTATTCTTCACCCACCTCCCAACCCAACTCACTGTAACTCAATGGCAACGGTGGAGCCAAGTGAACCCCCAACAGTAGAAACTTTATGCCCAGAAACCCCTTCTTCTTTTTCTTCTTCTCCTCTGCTTTCTCCAAAATCAGCAACCCCATGTCCCCAAATCCCAACCCAAAGCTCCTCACCGTCATCAGTACTAGCGACACCGCTGTCAAGGCTATGGAGACCCACTGCACAGAGAAACCTGAGAAATCAATGGTCCAAATTAGCTTCTTACAGACAACAATGGGCATCTTCTTCTTCTACTGCACGATCACATGCCACCGCTCTTGTAAACGCCTATCTTTCTCAAAAGTACTGCTCTCCACTCTCTACTTATACATGCCTTTTTATCATGGAGACCATGTGCTGTTCTGGGGCATGGTTGGAATTCAATTTCATGCTTAAAAATCCATAATTTTGCATAAAAGCTTCATATTTACTGATTCTTTCAGATACATGCCTTCCATGGAGTTGGGCGCCTTGAGGGATATTCCTAATATAAAAAAGAAAGCTTCTCAGAAATTGTTTAAGCAGCAGGTAACGGTAACAAGCAAGCGTTTACTTACTTGACTGCTTTTACAACTCTTGTATCGTGATTAGTGTACAGCTTGTGCTATTTGTTTCAGGTGCTTCATCGAGGCAAACTTTTATCATCATATAAACACATGGTACTCATCTTCTTCTTTTACCGTCTTATTTTCTTTTCTTGTTTTATTAGAATTCACAAATCTTTATTTTCTTTTTCTTTTTTGGGAAAAATTAGATTGGATGAGGAACTAGAAACATTTTTCGTCTTAGTTTATTATGTCTTCAAATTGTCAACTGCTTATCTCCTGGCAGGAGGAAAATATTCTGTTCTTATTTTAGAGTGGGACTTACATCATGTGACCACATTTTCAAAGAATACAGTAAGTCTGGTTCTGGTGTTGGACTTGTTCACAACCTCAGACTATAACAAACTAGAATCTAGCTGCTACTTGACAATATGACTTCTTATTGTTTATATAATCAGTGAGTTGTATTATCTAATCTAAAAGTAGACAGCATATAGTGCTTGTTTTGACTCAAACATTGAGGATATTAATTTTAGAATAACACATTGGTACATCAAATGTTCTTTTAGGATCATGTCAAAATGATTCAGATAAGCACTTTGGACCTAAAAGTTACTGAATAATAAGTTTGGTTTGACTTCTCTGGTGATTATCATCTTTATGACGTAGAGTTGCATATTAAATAATAAGCAAGGATCTTTATGACGTAGCATTGTTTTATCTCCAGGTCTCAGTTGTAATTCACATGGTTAACATTAGTAGATCCATGAAATGCTTTCTCAAAGGCGCAAGCAGTAGCCCACTTGTACACTTTTCTGGATATTCCGAAGATAAGAATGATCCTGGGGATGGTGGTGGAATTCCAGTCTTTACATTTTGGACGATATCTTGCTTCGGTTAGTTAAAATTCATCTATACTGCGTCTTTCTATATGATATTGATTAATCATGCCTGTATGTTTTGTTCTTATTCATACAATCTCAACTGGAATAAACCCAGTCTAATTTTGGGTTCAGTTCTTCAAATTAATTTTTAGTTATTATTAATTGGGTCATGGAAACACATTTGATTCAAAATGGCTTTCCCTAGGTCCTATATGCACCTACCAAATTAGTTATCTTTGTTACTTTTTAGGAATAATATACACAATCAGCATGTGGTTGCAGAAAATCAAGAACTAACTCTTGATTTATGACAATAGCATTAGATGATATCATGCAAGGAAAATACAAAATTATGCTCTGTCATTACGTAAGATTATGTTTATCTTGTCACAATGTGGAAGGTTTTTGTTGCTTGAAAATTTTCAGATTCCAATTTACCTTGCGTAGTTACATGAACACGTGCATGGTATAGAGGTTCAAATTTTGTGATGAGTTTCTCGCCATTTTGTTAATAACTAATTTGAGAGGTTAGGGAATAATCTCAAGTGACAAAAGACAATATGGGTTAGGACAAGTAAAGGGAATATAGTATATGAGGGGTCTCTATCCAAACTTTGCCTTACTAGCAACATTTGTCCCTTGGTACTGTACAGTTAGTAAAAGAGTTAGCAAAAGAGTGATTGTGGTATTTTGCATCAAAGTAAAAAATCTGTATATGTATAAAGCTACTGTCATATTAGTTCCACATGACTGTGAACTGTGATTCTTGAACAATCTCAGAAGAAGTGGCAGAGGAGCTTGTCCAGATGTTTATATTGGAGTTAAATTTGAAGGTTAGTTGCTGCTTATTTGCTTCTATGGTAATTTCAGCATGTTCTTAGTTACATTTTTTGTTTTGTTTTGTCACTTTATTACTTGTTTGTGCAGCGTTTGCTAGTGGTGGAGTTACTATCCATTAGTTGCAAAGTTCCACCTTTAAACAGTTTGCATTGGTCAGACGATCTTTATCCGGGAGAATTTAGTGATTTGAGTATATGTAACTTATACTCTGAGGAAACTTGTAAGCCAGTCTATCCAAGATTGGATGATCAGAAATCTGAAATGCCAGCTGCGCGATTTAACAACCAGCAGCCAGATCATGATGTTTTGCAGGTATGGTTGCCGTTGATTTAAGCTATTGGTAAAATATGTTTGTGCTCAAATGGGTTCTCCTCTATTTTTGTATTTACCCAATACATATGGAATTTTCTAGTCAGGATATACAATATGGAATCAGTTTTCTAGGATGGAAAAAATTTCCAGTATGGATCTTAAGAGTTGAGACTGATGCAGATTCAACATGTTTTCTTATTCGCTTTCAAATAGTTGTTTACCTAAGTGAAATAGAAAATTGCCCATTATAGTCGAACAATAGAAGTTCGGATGATATTCAGTTCCTCTGGGAGGTTCTCATCAGCACTAGGCCTCACATTCTGAAATGCAAAACATCCCTTACATCATCAGTAAAACTTAGCAGTACCTAAGCATTTTGGAGAGTAACTAAAATGATTAAGATGGGAAATATCATATAGATGGGGAAGGTATGTTTACTTTAAATGCAGCTGCATATACAGCCTGGAGAGATAACAATATCAATTAGTCCTAATATTTGCTATGGATTTCAGTACCTCTAAACCAATTTGATTTTGCAGGTTTATCTAACAACATGGCTTGCAGAGGTGAACATAGATTCTGACAGGTTAGAATGATCTTGGTTACTTTCTAAGGTCATTTCAGACATTCTATTTCTATTTTGATAACATTTGCGCAGTTGCGTACCATAAATTATTGTTTCTTAAGTCGCACAAAAATGAAATACCAGGATGCAAATTCATGTTTTAAAGGTTTGATTAGTTGCTTCTCTTTGTAAAGGGTGGATGAAATATTTGTGGAAGTTGGCGATGAAATGCATGTTACGATTTCATGAGTTGCTGGCCTGTCTAGAAACAAAACGTTTGAAATTTTGTCAAGGAGGTATTTATGTTGATACGTTGAAGATTTGAGACTCTTTTGAAGTGTCCGTGTTATTTGTAAAGAGGGAAATGCTTGAAAATGCCCGAAGGTCGATTCTGCCAAAGTCCCCAAAGCCCACGGGAAAAAACAAAGAACCTTCAAAAGGTGTAGGCGTCTACATAACAGAAGTCACTCCAACTTTGCAAGTGAATTGAAATACTGATACTACTGTAGTTGTTTATGTTACGTGACCCGTATTTAACATAAATTAGAACTAATTCCTATCAATTGCTTTTAATCTTTGCTTTAAGTTTTCATGGACTATTTGACAATTTTGAAGCTGAAATTACTGAGAACTAGCTTGTGGGGCAGACTATTAATCAAGAATGGGAGATTCAAACTTGGAACATTTCCAACATTAGGAAGAGACGTACCACTAGATCAAGAGCAACTTGTCATCAATCTTGAGGTAGAAAAACGTTATAGAATGATTTCGATTTAATTTATAGGGATTCCAAAAAATAAACTCAAAGATCCACTGTCATGTGCGCTGAAAAGAAACTAAAGCAGAAATTCACAAATCAAAGATCATGTACCATTACAATTACTTAAGTACTTGTTTCCTAATTCCTACAGTTCATAAATGCCTAGAAATGGCATTAAAACTGACCCAATCCACAGCTTGCCATCCTTCTCCTCCACTTCACTAATGAATCTCATATTCTTTCCCTCACAATCTTCCAAAACTTCCAAAATTTCACCTCTATCGCTTAACTTGATAGCAGTTGCATGAGCCTTCCCTCCGACTAGTAGCGAATGCAGTTGTTTAAAATCAAGGGGAAGCTTTAGCAGTGACTTCCCAACCAATTTGTTAGAGACAAACCACTTAGCGAAAAATCCCCTCTTTGCATGCAGTGCAACCCAAAACTCCCCTTTCGAGTTCCTTCTTACGTTGTCTGGGAATCCTGGAAGCTCTGCAAAAGTATCAGTATTTCCAGCATTTGGACCATGAAGCCAAAGCCTCAAGATCCTGCAAGTAGTGGTTTCAGCCACTAGCACAAAAGAGTGGTCTTTGCTCAATGCAACACCGTTGGCAAAGGCAAGACCTCGTAGTAAAACCGTTACTTCTTTGTTTGATTTATTGTATTTGAGTAATCTGCCAGTCCTGTCTCCATTCAAGATTGATGACATGAATTGCCTGCAAGCCCACAGAAGCATGAAATTCTAAACTTTGAAGTAATTTTAGCAAAGAAGAATGGCAATGGAGTAATAAAATCCAAATGCAGACAGATCTTAGATTATGGAAATAAAGGATAATGATGGCAAAAGAGAACAACAAAACAAGAAAAGAGCTAGCACTCCCTTTCAACTCAATCTGGCACTGTTGATTTGGCATCCAAATTTTCGAAGAATCAATTGGACACTGATGCTTATAGAATGCAAAAAAGAGACCATAACACCGAAATATAACTTTTGCATAGATATTTCTACTGGATGCTTTCTACAGGCAACACATCAAATATTTTACACAGGTTTTTTCATATTTTGATACATCTGGTCCAGATGATCTGGAGCCAAAATGTGTGATCATTGAAGTGAAGCAGCCTACAAGTTATCTGGAGTTTGAAATTGAAAGAGCTTAAATGCCAAATTATCCCAAAAAATGTCTCTCAAACACACTACTCTTATGAAATTTGAAATTTTAATTTGCAGATTAAACTGTTGAAGGCTACATACTTTTGGCATGTCCTACCATTCCATCCACATTGTTCTCTGACAAAAACTGAAGTGGCTGGTGAAAGGGAAATTCTACTTCAAATCACTTTCAGATGCAACCCTAAAGCCTAAGGAGATAAAGTAAGTCTTTGTGCTTAAATTACCTTCTGTGGAATATTGTGCTTGAATCTGTGAAGTAAATCACATCCTTATGCTCATCAATGTCCATATCATTGGTGAAGCGAAGTGGCTGACCTTCAACTTCTCTGACCACTTGAGATGCCAAACCTCCAGCAGGGCCTACTACTTGAAGGCCAAGGTATGCATCAGCAATATAGAGATCTCCAGTTTTTGTATCAAACTTTAGTCCTAAAGGCCTTCCACAAACATGCTCCAGTTCTGGTGCAAAAGGGCGAATACACTCCTTCCTGAAAAGAATAATTTCAATTAATTAAAGCTTAATAGAAAGCATTGCTATGAAACAGATGATATCAGTAATATACGTAAGCTTGAATTTAATTTAACAGGTTATGAAGCATAATCCCAATGAACAATGCAAACTATCCCCCTTTCAGCTTAACTCTGTGTGACTATGTTGGTAACTCCTTGCTGTAAATAAATTGACAAAAAGTTTAACATGAAATAAACAGAGAAATATTTTAATGGTAAACCTTTTGGCATAGTATAATCATGCAACTGTTTAGAAATGTTATCAAACTTTGTGCATCACAAAGTAAAACTTGGAAAATATTTCATTTACTCTTTGATGTTAAAGACTCCATGTTCAAGTATGGCTTAACGCTAAACTGGGTATTAAGTGATTCAGGGGCTAACTGCATGATCATTTTTGAGGTGATGCTCCATGAATTGAAAAGCTTTTCTAGGAGCAAACTTTCTTTATTCAAATACTATGTGGTCATGCACCAACTTTGACATGTTCCTGACATCCAGTGTTACATCGTTTAGATTGGGTTCCCTACAATACTGCTTGTGAAGTAAGCAGTGCTGCAGAAAGAAGTCTACCCCATTAGCTAAAGTACTTGTGAGGTTGTGTCTCTCCACTGCGTGACATGCTTCTGGTTATCACTACAGTGGGTATAAATTCTCAGTTCCTAGAACAAGTTGCAAAATAATTACATGGTATTAAATCCCTCTTCGTGCAGAAAAAAACTATTTATGTCATTATTTCATTTATATACTGTGAAGGTTTCAATGTTCATTGATAGGCTCTATTTCTAGTTAGCCATACTGCAGCTTTTGACCAAAACAGCGGTTACTAACAGCAGTTGTCAGCTAGTTGTTAGTCGAAAGCCAAAAGTACATACTAGAAAGAACATACATCAGCTCTTGCATACACTTCAATAGTTCAAAGTAATAATAACAAAATAATTGAAAGCATTGGATGACATTATTGAAACTTGGCACAGAAAGTTAAATTACGGAAAAAGGTTAGATTGTCTGAAAATCAAATTCCTAGGTTCTTCTGGGAGTGAAAATCCTAATTATATAAGTTGTATCTAAAATATAGACAACCACAATCAAATGTATGTCATTTCCTAATAAAACTAAAGCACAAAGTGTTTTGTGTGTGTTTTCAGTCAATCCCACTCCTTACTAAGAACAGAATCTTGAAAAGTTAGACTTATTACAACATTTTACAGACCAAGGAATAAGGATCCTCTAGCCATATAAGGTTCCAGTCCACTTCAAGCACATTCACACATTTTTCGTCAGCTTGAGCTCTGCTTAATTGGGTTTTGATTTATGGGCGCTTAGTCGAAAACCAACTAAAATCCTCTTAAGCTAGAGACAATCTGTTTGTATGAGATTCATCAGAAGAAAAGAAAACAAAAAAGTTGCTGCAAGAATTGTGAGAGCTTTTCTGCAATTTGGTCCCATCCATTAGTTACACTGATGAACTCCACAAGTGTGCTTCTTGCCACAAGGTGCACAATAGAGCCTAATTTGATCATTCGAATTCAATGGTAGTAATTCTAGTGCAAGTGCAAGATAACGTGAACTGGGTAAAATCTAAATTTCAAAGACCCTTTACAATCCATTTGGTCAGGTTGCTAAATGATCACATATTAGTACATTTTGGCCAGAAATGCATGAACCCAAATCAAATTTTGAAGTGGTCAGTCTATTGAATTGATTGTCACATAAAAAACAAAAACAAAATAGTATAAGCAGCTGATATAATTCAATACTTGCAAAGCACAAACACCAGCAACATGTAGAATTACTGAATGAAGCAAACAATATTCAATGCTTCAACAAAATGCTTGCAAGCACAAAACAGACATAAATAAGAATGTTGGTTACCTCTGAGAAGAGGTGACAGCAAAGTCAGTCCAACGACGGTCGTTTTGATCCCACTTGAGAATACGGCCGTCGGCGACGCCGGTGTAGGGCCCACCGCCGTTGGGGTCGAAGGCAAGGCTCTCTGGGCCAAGGGCTCCGGGTACCTGGATTAATTGTGCAGTGTGGAGGAGGTCATGGGACCCTGAAATAGGAGCTACTCCATTACCAAAAAGCTTCAACAAATAAAGTGGGTTCAGAGCCAACACTACGGACACTACAGCTAGTGTTGCTGCAATCAAAGTTAACTTTAAGTTCATCTTTTTCTTTTAGAAAAATTATTGGGCTTGACCCTCCACTTAGATGAGGTCTGTTCTGTGTTGCTCTCGAGATACCTGTTGTAAGGAGTTGGGTTTGACCCTCCACTTCCAGAATTGGCAAGGTGATCATCCAATTACAACAACTTTTCTTCACCTAACAATTCCATTCAATTTCAAAATACAGTTTCTTCTGTCCGGCCAAAAAAAAAGTGAGTTTATTTTGTAAATAACACTCGTTTCCTTGATCAGAAAATATTAGGAGAGATTAATTCAAAATTATGATAAATTTCACTTTATTATCTGAAAATTTACTGAATTTCAGCATTTATTACCTAAGATATTCGTCGCATCAAATTCGCACCCAAATTTTGATTTCACTATAATTTTATATCCATCGTAACTTTTACACTTAGAAAGTGTTTTAACTTGTGACGTGGCAATGAATGAGCCTATATGAACTCATTTATGTGGTGCCACGTGGAAAATCAAAATAAAACAAATTAATTAAAACATAATGAAAAAAATCTGTATGTTTTTTTTTAAGTCAATAAAAACTTTAATAATGTGGAAGATATATTCATATTTTTTTATATCAAAAATATATATATATATATTAATATAAGGTCAATCATTACAAAATAATTTTTATATTTTAAATATGTAATCTTTTTTTGTAATACAAACAATAGTCTAAACTATAAGGGGAAGATGTTTCTCACACACACATGAACCTTAGACCATTAGTCTGCAAAATCAAGACTTTTTTTTATTGGGCTAAGCCTCGTTAGCTAAATCCATAAAATTTTAACTCGTCAATTTAGCCCAAATACTAGTCCACTTACTTAAAGTAATTTGGGCTCTTCAAATCCAAATCCACCCACTGAAATTCCATAAAACCAAATAGGGCCTAATTGAAATGCACAAGTTGATTTGTGAGCTATACTTGGACAAGTGAAACTTTCTTTTGAAGACTCAAACGCATAATTATTGTCTCTCTTGACTCTTGACAATCAAGGAAGCAACAGTAACAAATTCAGAAGCTTTTAATTAAATCTACTATTGTTTGCTGCAAACTTATAAGATTAACAAAATTAAAGCTTTTCCCATTTCTTAAAGCATCTTGAAGTTACTATTAAGTATGTAATTTATACTGTAATATTATTTTACCTATTTGTTTTTCTTTTATCAAGTTCAATGATTTTAGCACTTAATTATAGACTAATAAAATTTTGAGATTTTTTTTTGGGTCAACAAAAAATTCAGAACAAATGGCTCGTTAGCTAACCCAAGCCCAATAAAGAAATGCTAGCCTAAGCCCAACTTAAATAGAAAATCCTTGCCCAATAGAGACCAATTAAGTTAGGGCCCCCAACTATTAAGCCATGCAAAAGTCTTCCAATGTTTCTTCCCTTTGTGTATATCTCATAGCTTTGAAAATTAAAGTAAAACTAAATAAAACTGAAAAAATATAAGTATTAAATTATTAGGATGCCTTCCATAAACTTCATAACTGATCTGTAAATTCCAAAACTTAGGCATTATTAAAGTTCAAAGTTCAAGCATGATACCCAACAAGCATAGGCTAGGCTGGCAACAAGATTTTGTAACAAATGTATGAGACAAGATTCTTGAATGGCAAAAAAATTATTGTTGTACGCCTACCTAATATGTATAATCTCATCTAACAAAACTTCCGTTAGCTATACACTTCTTTCTCACCAAATTTATTAGAAACGTGGAACATATATGTTGTTCAGTTACATTCAATGATGCAAATTCTTATGCGAGTTTATAATTTTTGGTATTATCATTTTACAGACGATAATTTACTTTAAACTAATAGAATCTACAGGAAGGTGAATTCAAATTTGGATGTGAGGG